GTATATTTAAAAAATAATTTTTAAAAAATCCACGCTTATTAATATATTTAAAAAAATAATTTTTAAAAAATCCACGCTTATTAATATATTTAAAAAAATAATTTTTAAAAAATCCACGCTTATTAATATATTTAAAAAAATAATTTTTAAAAAATCCACGCTTATTAATATATTTAAAAAAATAATTTTTAAAAAATCCACGCTTATTAATATATTTAAAAACTAATTTTTAAAAATCCACGCTTATTAATATATTTAAAAAAAAATAATTTTTAAAAAATCCACGCTTATTAATATATTTAAAAAGATAATTTTTAAAAAATCCACGCTTATTAATATATTTAAAAAAATAATTTTTAAAAAATCCACGCTTATTAATATATTTAAAAAACTAATTTTTAAAAATCCACGCTTATTAATATATTTAAAAAAAATAATTTTTAAAAAATCCACGCTTATTAATATATTTAAAAAGATAATTTTTAAAAAATCCACGCTTATTAATATATTTAAAAAAATTATTTTTAAAAAATCCACGCTTATTAATATATTTAAAAAAATAATTTTTAAAAAATCCACGCTTATTAATATATTTAAAAAACTAATTTTTAAAAATCCACGCTTATTAATATATTTAAAAAAAATAATTTTTAAAAAATCCACGCTTATTAATATATTTAAAAAGATAATTTTTAAAAAATCCACGCTTATTAATATATTTAAAAAAATAATTTTTAAAAAATCCACGCTTATTAATATATTTAAAAAAATAATTTTTAAAAAATCCACGATTATAAATCTATTGAAAAAATAATATCAATATATTTAAAAAAAATAATTTTTAAAAAATCCACGCTTATTAATATATTTAAAAAAATAATTTTTAAAAAATCCACACTTTTTAATATATTTGAAAAAATAATTTTTAAAAAATCCACGCTTATTAATATATTTAAAAAAATAATTTTTAAAAAATCCACGCTTATTAATATATTTGAAAAAATAATTTTTAAAAAATCCACGCTTTTTAATATATTTAAAAAAATAATTTTTAAAACTCCACGCTTATTAATAACTTAAAAAAAATAATTTTTAAAAAATTCACGCTTATTAATATATTTAAAAAAATAATTTTTAAAAAATCCACGATTATAAATCTATTGAAAAAATAATATCAATATATTTAAAAAAATAATTTTTAAAAAATCCACGCTTATTAATATATTTAAAAAAATAATTTTTAAAAAATCCACACTTTTTAATATATTTGAAAAAATAATTTTTAAAAAATCCACGCTTCTTAATATATTTGAAAAAATAATTTTTAAAAAATCCACGCTTATTAATATATTTAAAAAAATAATTTTTAAAAAATCCATGCTTATTAATATATTTAAAAAAATAATTTTTAAAAAATCCACGCTTATTAATATATTTAAAAAAAATAATTTTTAAAAAATCCATGCTTATTAATATATTTAAAAAAAATAATTTTTAAAAAATCCACGCTTATTAATATATTTAAAAAAATAATTTTTAAAAAATCCACGCTCATTAATATATTAAAAAAATAACTTTTAAAAAATCCACGCTTATTCATATGTTTAAAAAAATAATTTTTAAAAAATCCACGCTTATTAATATATTTAAAAAAAAATAATTTTTAAAAAATCCACGCTTATTAATATATTTAAAAAATAATTTTTAAAAAATCCACGCTTATTAATATATTTAAAAAATAATTTTTAAAAAATCCACGATTATAAATCTATTGAAAAAATAATTTTTAAAAAATCCACGCTTATTAATATATTTAAAAAATATTTTTTAAAAAATCCACGCTTATTAATATATTTAAAAAATAATTTTTAAAAAATCCACGATTATAAATCTATTGAAAAAATAACTTTTAAAAAATCCACGCTTATTAATATATTTAAAAATAATTTTTAAAAAATCCACGATTATAAATCTATTGAAAAAATAACTTTTAAAAAATCCACGCTTATTAATATATTTAAAAAATAATTTTTAAAAAATCCACGATTATAAATCTATTGAAAAAATAACTTTTAAAAAATCCACGCTTATTAATATATTTAAAAAATAATTTTTAAAAAATCCACGCTTATTAGTATATTTAAAAAAATAATTTTTAAAAAATCCACGCTTATAAATCTATTGAAAAAATAATTTTTAAAAATTCCACACTTATTAATATATTAAAAAAAAAATAATTTTTAAAAAATCCACGCTTATAAATACATTTAAAAAAATCATTTTTAAAACATCCACGATTAAAATCTATTGAAAAAATAATTTTTAACAAATCCACGATTAATACGCTTATAAATATATTAAAAAAAAATATATAAAAAATCCATGCTGATTAATATATTTAAAAAAAATATTTTTTAAAAAATCTACGCTTATTAATATATTTAAAAAATATTTTTTAAAAAATCTACGCTTATTAATACATTAAATTAATAATTTTTAAAAAATCCACGCTTATTAATATATTCAAAAAATAATTTAAAAAATAATTTTTAAAAAATCCACGCTTATTAATATATTTAAAAAATAATTTAAAAAATAATTTTTAAAAAATCCACGCTTATTAATATATTTAAAAAATAATTTAAAAAATAATTTTTAAAAAATCCACGCTTATTAATATATTTAAAAAATAATTTAAAAAATAATTTTTAAAAAATCCACGCTTATTAATATATTTAAAAAATAATTTAAAAAATAATTTTTAAAAAATCCACGCTTATTAATATATTTAAAAAATAATTTAAAAAATAATTTTTAAAAAATCCACGCTTATTAATATATTTAAAAAATAATTTAAAAAATAATTTTTAAAAAATCCACGCTTATAAATATATTTAAAAAAATCATTTTTAAAACATCCACGATTAAAATCTATTGAAAAAATAATTTTTAACAAATCCACGATTAATACGCTTATAAATATATTAAAAAAAAATATATAAAAAATCCATGCTGATTAATATATTTAAAAAAAATATTTTTTAAAAAATCTACGCTTATTAATATATTTAAAAAATATTTTTTAAAAAATCTACGCTTATTAATACATTTAATTAATAATTTTTAAAAAATCCACGCTTATTAATATATTTAAAAAATAATTTAAAAAATAATTTTTAAAAAATCCACGCTTATTAATATATTTAAAAAATAATTTAAAAAATAATTTTTAAAAAATCCACGCTTATTAATATATTTAAAAAATAATTTAAAAAATAATTTTTAAAAAATCCACGCTTATTAATATATTTAAAAAATAATTTAAAAAATAATTTTTAAAAAATCCACGCTTATTAATATATTTAAAAAATAATTTAAAAAATAATTTTTAAAAAATCCACGCTTATTAATATATTTAAAAAATAAATTAAAAAATAATTTTTAAAAAATCCACGCTTATTAATATATTTAAAAATAATTTAAAAAATAATTTTTAAAAAATCCACGCTTATTAATATATTTAAAAAATAATTTAAAAAATAATTTTTAAAAAATCCACGCTTATTAATATATTTAAAAAATAATTTAAAAAATAATTTTTAAAAAATCCACGCTTATTAATATATTTAAAAAATAATTTTTAAAAAATCCACGCTTATTAATATATTTAAAAAATAATTTAAAAAATAATTTTTATATATATATATATATATTTAAAAAATAATTTAAAAAATAATTTTTAAAAAATCCACGCTTATTAATATATTTAAAAAATAATTTTTAAAAAATCCACGCTTATTAATATATTTAAAAAATAATTTTTAAAAAATCCACGCTTATTAATATATTTAAAAAATAATTTTTAAAAAAATCCACGCTTATTAATATATTTAAAAAATAATTTAAAAAATAATTTTTAAAAAATCCACGCTTATTAATATATTTAAAAAATAATTTACAAAATAATTTTTAAAAAATCCACGCTTATTAATATATTTAAAAAATAATTTAAAAAATCCACGCTTGTTAATATATTTAAAAAATAATTAAAAAAAATATAATTTTTAAAAAATCTACCTTTATTAATATATTTAAAACGTAATTTTAAAAAAATTATATTTAAAAAAATAATTTTTAAAAAATCCACGCTTATTAATATATTTAAAAAAATAATTTTTAAAAAATCCACGCTTATTAATATATTTAAAAAAATAATTTTTAAAAAATCCACGCTTATTAATATATTTAAAAAAATAATTTTTAAAAAATCAACGCTTATTAATATATTTAAAAAAATAATTTTTAAAAAATCCACGCTTATTAATATATTTAAAAAAATAATTTTTAAAAAATCCACGCTTATTAATATATTTAAAAAAATAATTTTTAAAAAATCCACGCTTATTAATATTTTTAAAAAAATAATTTTTAAAAAATCCACGCTCATTAATATATTTAAAAAAATAATTTTTAAAAAATCAACGCTTATTAATATATTTAAAAAAATAATTTTTAAAAAATCCACGCTTATTAATATATTTAAAAAAAGAAATAAAAGAAATGAAAAAAGAAATAATTTTTAAAAAATCCACGCTTATTAATATATTTAAAAAAATAATTTTTAAAAAATCCCCGCTTATTAAAATATTTAAAAAATAATTTTTAAAAAATCAACGCCTATTAATATATTAAAAAAAATAATTTCTAAAAATTCCACGCTTATTAATATATTTAAAAAAATAATTTTTAAAAATCCACGCTTATTAATTAATTTAAAAAAATAATTTTTAAAAAAGCCACGCTTATTACTATATTTAAAAAAATAATTTTTAAAAATCCACGCTTATTAATTAATTTAAAAAAATAATTTTTAGATTATAAATCTATTGAAAAAATAATTTTTAAAAAATCCAACGCTTATTAATATATTTAAAAAAATAATTTTTAAAAAAGCCACGCTTATTACTATATTTAAAAAAATAATTTTTAAAAATCCACGCTTATTAATTAATTTAAAAAAATAATTTTTGGATTATAAATCTATTGAAAAAATAATTTTTAAAAAATCCAACGCTTATTAATATATTTAAAAAAATAATTTTTAAAAAAGCCACGCTTATTACTATATTGAAAAAAAATAATTTTTAAAAAGTCCACGATTATAAATCTATTGAAAAAATAATTTTTAAATATTTTTAAATAAATATAGGAATTTTTGTTATTCTATTAACACATTGGCTTATAATTTCCATGGCCCCAAAATTAGAACTGAAACATTCGACCAATAATAGCCTCAAATTCATTTTTCAATTCCCTATCGAAATGTCTCCTCTCAGCCATGCTAAAAATCAGATTCTCCATTGTGGCCGAATATATGCAACGATCAATAAAATGATTCATACCCTGGGGACACTGACAATGACCCCTTGGACTACAGCTGCCACCATCCAAACAATGTTGATGTCCTGGACCACAGGCACATATATTTGGAGCCACACAATGGCCATAGAGGCCACAGCCACTGAAAATAGAGAAATTATAAAAATCGGAAATTTTATTTTAATTTCTAAAGGAATTACTTTTCACAGATCGGCTTGCAGGTATTGTACCAAAGATAGTAACCCTCAAAACATCGACATATGCCCGGTGCTAGGCACACGCCATGCTCACAGGCATCTGGACACAGGGGTAGGCAATTTTGACTTTGGGGATCATAGGTAAAACCCACATGGCATTGACATTTGTAGGGTGACTCACAGAAGCCATTGGCACAGTTGCTGAAGGAGCGGGAAGAAAGGAAAAAAATGGAAATTCTTAGAGAAATTGTTGGGTTCATCGCCATATTCTCACACATACATACGCATAGCATTCTGATTCACAAATTTCCCTCCCCCGGCGCTTGATGTAGCCCGGAAAACATTCACATTTTTGGGGTGCCACACAGCGGCCATAACCACAATGGGGTTGACATACGGGCTGGCAACCCAAACCCTCCAGCCATTTATTAATATATTTAAAACGTAATTTTAAAAAAATTATATTTAAAAAAATAATTTTTAAAAAATCCACGCTTATTAATATATTTAAAAAAATAATTTTTAAAAAATCCACGCTTATTAATATATTTAAAAAAATAATTTTTAAAAAATCCACGCTTATTAATATATTTAAAAAAATAATTTTTAAAAAATCCACGCTTATTAATATATTTAAAAAAATAATTTTTAAAAAATCCACGCTTATTAATATATTTAAAAAAATAATTTTTAAAAAATCCACGCTTATTAATATATTTAAAAAAATAATTTTTAAAAAATCCACGCTTATTAATATATTTAAAAAAATAATTTTTAAAAAATCCACGCTTATTAATATTTTTAAAAAAATAATTTTTAAAAAATCCACGCTCATTAATATATTTAAAAAAATAATTTTTAAAAAATCAACGCTTATTAATATATTTAAAAAAATAATTTTTAAAAAATCCACGCTTATTAATATATTTAAAAAAAGAAATAAAAGAAATGAAAAAAGAAATAATTTTTAAAAAATCCACGCTTATTAATATATTTAAAAAAATAATTTTTAAAAAATCCCCGCTTATTAAAATATTTAAAAAATAATTTTTAAAAAATCAACGCCTATTAATATATTAAAAAAAATAATTTCTAAAAATTCCACGCTTATTAATATATTTAAAAAAATAATTTTTAAAAATCCACGCTTATTAATTAATTTAAAAAAATAATTTTTAGATTATAAATCTATTGAAAAAATAATTTTTAAAAAATCCAACGCTTATTAATATATTTAAAAAAATAATTTTTAAAAAAGCCACGCTTATTACTATATTTAAAAAAATAATTTTTAAAAATCCACGCTTATTAATTAATTTAAAAAAATAATTTTTGGATTATAAATCTATTGAAAAAATAATTTTTAAAAAATCCAACGCTTATTAATATATTTAAAAAAATAATTTTTAAAAAAGCCACGCTTATTACTATATTGAAAAAAAATAATTTTTAAAAAGTCCACGATTATAAATCTATTGAAAAAATAATTTTTAAATATTTTTAAATAAATATAGGAATTTTTGTTATTCTATTAACACATTGGCTTATAATTTCCATGGCCCCAAAATTAGAACTGAAACATTCGACCAATAATAGCCTCAAATTCATTTTTCAATTCCCTATCGAAATGTCTCCTCTCAGCCATGCTAAAAATCAGATTCTCCATTGTGGCCGAATATATGCAACGATCAATAAAATGATTCATACCCTGGGGACACTGACAATGACCCCTTGGACTACAGCTGCCACCATCCAAACAATGTTGATGTCCTGGACCACAGGCACATATATTTGGAGCCACACAATGGCCATAGAGGCCACAGCCACTGAAAATAGAGAAATTATAAAAATCGGAAATTTTATTTTAATTTCTAAAGGAATTACTTTTCACAGATCGGCTTGCAGGTATTGTACCAAAGATAGTAACCCTCAAAACATCGACATATGCCCGGTGCTAGGCACACGCCATGCTCACAGGCATCTGGACACAGGGGTAGGCAATTTTGACTTTGGGGATCATAGGTAAAACCCACATGGCATTGACATTTGTAGGGTGACTCACAGAAGCCATTGGCACAGTTGCTGAAGGAGCGGGAAGAAAGGAAAAAAATGGCAATTCTTAGAGAAATTGTTGGGTTCATCGCCATATTCTCACACATACATACGCATAGCATTCTGATTCACAAATTTCCCTCCCCCGGCGCTTGATGTAGCCCGGAAAACATTCACATTTTTGGGGTGCCACACAGCGGCCATAACCACAATGGGGTTGACATACGGGCTGGCAACCCAAACCCTCCAGCCATTGATATCCCTGCCGGCAGCGACATTCTCCCGGTGCAGCACAAAATTGATTCAAACCACATGGTATGTGGCTACATTCGGGTACACAATATTTCCTCGACTCCGGATCTAGGCTATAGCCAGGATTACACAAACAAACACCGTTCAGCAGGCATCGTCCATTTTCACAGCCCACCGGGCAAATGTGGACACATTTCCCCAGCGTATTTTTTACAAAGCCCTCAAAACACTCACATTGCTGGGGTGAGCGACAGAAACCGTTACGGCAATTATCCGCTGAGACTTTGGAGCAGTCGGGTATACACTTCGGAGGAGTGGTGGCTGGGGCCTTAGGGTCTCGGCGATATCCTTTGCAGCAAATTTCCAAACTCAGATGACCAGGTATTGAGGAATTTCCAGGCAAAGGCTGATTTTCCTTGGTTTGGAAAAATGAGGCCCTACGGAAAAAGGGAATTTTTTATGAATTCACACACACACACACATTTTCAATACTTACGGTAAATCTTCATAGCACCGCTTTTCCTGGTGCTGGGTTTCAAAATATAAATTCAGTTCCGCTCGAGTACTGGGATATATGTCACCATATAACTCCTGACATTTCACCAAATGATTCTGAACCCTGAGATCAGTTATTAAAATTAATAAAATTTTGAAAATGTCTATGGCCTCCATGGTATTTGTTTTTAAATAAAATATTTGTTGTAAAAAATCTCGGCTTATCTCGCCATTGTTTTTGTCATTACATGAGAGATTTGAATTCGTTTAGAATTGAGATTAGGAAATTGTTTACTTTGAACAATCACTGGGAAATGGGAGCTGGCAGTGATGTCAATAAAAAATTATTAGTTTGAAGCTCGAAATAATCATGCAATTTGAGAAAAGTTCTCCATAAGATTTTGTTTTTCAATTCAGCGAAGCTTTCCTATAGAAAAATGCAAGTCGCAGACTATAGAAATGCAAGCATCTACCCAATGCCTTATTTTTCACAGTGTAATGCTGATGTTTGTTTAAATACAAAGTTTAATTTTAAAATTTCTTATCGTTTTTTGTTCTTCAGCAAAAACTGCATTTTTTCTCAGCACCAAATCTAGAGCATAAATGAATTCAAAAAAAAAAAAAAAAAAAAAAAATTGCAAGGCCAAGGTTATATGATATAATATTTTTAGGGCACGTGTTTGTGTTCGAATGCAAAATTCTTATCAGTGTTGTTTGGTAATTGTTTATTTATATTACCACAATGTTTGCTGCAGAAAAATAATTTTTAAAAAATCCACGACTTGTTAATTCTTTGAAAAATAATTTTTAAAAAATCCGCGACTTGTTAATTCTTTGAAAAATAATTTTTAAAAAATCCACGACTTGTTAATTTTTTGAAAAATAGTTTTTTAAAAATCCACGACTTATTAATTCTTTGAAAAATAATTTTGAAAAAATCCACGACTTGTTAATTCTTTGAAAAATAACTTTTAAAAAATCCACGACGTGTTAATTCTTTGAAAAGTAATTTTGAAAAAAATCCACGACTTGTTAATTCTTTGAAAAATAATTTTTAAAAAATCCATGACTTGTTAATTCTTAGAAAAATAATTTTTAAAAAATCCACGACTTGTTAATTCTTCGAAAAATAATTTTTAAAAAATCCACGACTTGTTAATTCTTCGAAAAATAATTTTTAAAAAATTCTCGACTTGTTAATTCTTTGAAAAATAATTTTTTAAAAAATCCACGACTTGTTAATTCTTTGAAAAATAATTTTTAAAAAATTCTCGACTTGTTAATTCTTTGAAAAATAATTTTTTAAAAAATCCACGACTTGTTAATTCTTTGAAAAATAATTTTTTAAAAAATCCACGACTTGTTAATTCTTTGAAAAATAATTTTTTAAAAAATCCACGACTTGTTAATTCTTTGAAAAATAATTTTTAAAAAATCCACGACATGTTGATTTCTTGAAAAATAATTTTTAAAAAATCCACGCCTAGGTATTTCTTGGAAAAATAATTTTTAAAAAATCCACGACTTGTTAATTCTTTGAAAAATAATTTTTAAAAAATCCACGACTTGTTAATTCTTTGAAAAATAATTTTTAAAAAATCCACGACTTGTTAATTCTTTGAAAAATAATTTTTAAAAAATCCACGACTTGTTAATTCTTTGAAAAATAATTTTTAAAAAATCCACGACTTGTTAATTCTTTGAAAAATAATTTTTAAAAAATCCACGACTTGTTAATTCTTTGAAAAATAATTTTAAAAAATCCACGACTTGTTAATTCTTTGAAAAATAATTTTTAAAAAATCCACGACTTGTTAATTCTTTGAAAAATAATTTTTAAAAAATCCACGACTTGTTAATTCTTTGAAAAATAATTTTTAAAAAATCCACGACTTGTTAATTCTTTGAAAAATAATTTTTAAAAAATCCACGACTTGTTAATTCTTTGAAAAATAATTTTTAAAAAATCCACGGCTTGTTAATTCTTTGAAAAATAATTTTAAAAAATCCACGACTTGTTAATTTTTTGAAAAATAATTTTTAAAAAATCCACGACTTGTTAATTCTTTGAAAAATAATTTTTAAAAAATCCACGACTTGTTAATTCTTTGAAAAATAATTTTTAAAAAATCCACGACTTGTTAATTCTTTGAAAAATAATTTTTAAAAAATCCACGAATTGTTAATTCATTGAAAAATAATTTTTAAAAAATTCACGACTTGTTAATTCATTGAAAAATAATTTTTAAAAAATCCACGACTTGTTAATTCATTGAAAAATAATTTTTTAAAAAACCACGACTTGTTAATTCATTGAAAAATAATTTTTAAAAAATCCACGACTTGTTAATTCATTGGAAAATAATTTTTAAAAAATCCACGACTTGTTAATTCTTTGAAAAATACATTTTAAAAAATCCACGACTTGTTAATTCTTTGAAAAATAATTTTTAAAAAATCCACGACTTGTTAATTTATTGAAAAATAATTTTTAAAAAATCCACGACTTGTTAATTCTTTGAAAAATAATTTTTAAAAAATCCACGATTTGTTAATTCTTTGAAAAATAATTTTAAAAAATCCACGACTTGTTAATTCTTTGAAAAATAATTTTTAAAAAATCCACGACTTGTTAATTCTTTCAAAAAATAATTTTCAAAAAATCCACGACTTGTTAATTCTTTGAAAAATAATTTTTAAAAAGTCCACGACTTGTTAATTCTTTGAAAAATAATTTTTAAAAAATCCACGACTTGTTAATTATTTGAAAAATAATTTTTAAAAAATCCACGACTTGTTAATTCTTTGAAAAATAATTTTTAAAAAATCCACGACTTGTTAATTCTTTGAAAAATAATTTTTAAAAAATCCACGACTTGTTAATTCTTTGAAAAATAATTTTTAAAAAATCCACGACTTGTTAATTCTTTGAAAAATAATTTTTAAAAAATCCTCGACTTGTTAATTCTTCGAAAAATAATTTTTAAAAAATCCACGACTTGTTAATTCTTTGAAAAATAATTTTTAAAAAATCCACGACTTGTTAATTCTTTGAAAAATAATTTTTAAAAAATCCACGACTTGTTAATTCTTTGAAAAATAATTTTTAAAAAATCCACGACTTGTTAATTCTTTGAAAAATAATTTTTAAAAAATCCACGACTTGTTATTTCATTGAAAAATACATTTTAAAAAATCCACGACTTGTTAATTCTTTGAAAAATAATTTTTAAAAAATCCACGACTTGTTAATTTATTGAAAAATAATTTTTAAAAAATCCACGACTTGTTATTTCTTTGAAAAATAATTTTTAAAAAATCCACGACTTGTTAATTCTTTGAAAAATAATTTTTAAAAAATCCACGACTTGTTAATTCTTTGAAAAATAATTTTTAAAAAATCCACGACTTGTTAATTCTTTGAAAAATAATTTTTAAAAAATCCACGAATTGTTAATTCATTGAAAAATAATTTTTAAAAAATTCACGACTTGTTAATTCATTGAAAAATAATTTTTAAAAAATCCACGACTTGTTAATTCATTGAAAAATAATTTTTAAAAAAACCACGACTTGTTAATTCATTGAAAAATAATTTTTAAAAAATCCACGACTTGTTAATTCATTGGAAAATAATTTTTAAAAAATCCACGACTTGTTAATTCTTTGAAAAATACATTTTAAAAAATCCACGACTTGTTAATTCTTTGAAAAATAATTTTTAAAAAATCCACGACTTGTTAATTTATTGAAAAATAATTTTTAAAAAATCCACGACTTGTTAATTCTTTGAAAAATAATTTTTAAAAAATCCACGATTTGTTAGTTCTTTGAAAAATAATTTTAAAAAATCCACGACTTGTTAATTCTTTGAAAAATAATTTTTAAAAAATCCACGACTTGTTAATTCTTTCAAAAAATAATTTTCAAAAAATCCACGACTTGTTAATTCTTTGAAAAATAATTTTTAAAAAGTCCACGACTTGTTAATTCTTTGAAAAATAATTTTTAAAAAATCCACGACTTGTTAATTATTTGAAAAATAATTTTTAAAAAGTCCAAGACTTGTTAATTCTTTGAAAAATAATTTTTAAAAATCCACGACTTGTTAATTATTTGAAAAATAATTTTTAAAAAATCCACGACTTGTTAATTCATTGAAAAATACATTTTAAAAAATCCACGACTTGTTAATTCTTTGAAAAATAATTTTTAAAAAATCCACGACTTGTTAATTTATTGAAAAATAATTTTTAAAAAATCCACGACTTGTTAATTTATTGAAAAATAATTTTTAAAAAATCCACGACTTGTTATTTCTTTGAAAAATAATTTTTAAAAAATCCACGACTTGTTATTTCTTTGAAAATAATTTTTAAAAAATCCACGACTTGTTAATTCTTTGAAAAATAATTTTTAAAAAATCCACGACTTGTTAATTCTTTGAAAAATAATTTTTAAAAAATCCACGAATTGTTAATTCATTGAAAAATAATTTTTAAAAAATTCACGACTTGTTAATTCATTGAAAAATAATTTTTAAAAAATCCACGACTTGTTAATTCATTGAAAAATAATTTTTAAAAAAACCACGACTTGTTAATTCATTGAAAAATAATTTTTAAAAAATCCACGACTTGTTAATTCATTGGAAAATAATTTTTAAAAAATCCACGACTTGTTAATTCTTTGAAAAATACATTTTAAAAAATCCACGACTTGTTAATTCTTTGAAAAATAATTTTTAAAAAATCCACGACTTGTTAATTTATTGAAAAATAATTTTTAAAAAATCCACGACTTGTTAATTCTTTGAAAAATAATTTTTAAAAAATCCACGATTTGTTAATTCTTTGAAAAATAATTTTAAAAAATCCACGACTTGTTAATTCTTTGAAAAATAATTTTTAAAAATCCACGACTTGTTAATTCTTTCAAAAAATAATTTTCAAAAAATCCACGACTTGTTAATTCTTTGAAAAATAATTTTTAAAAAGTCCACGACTTGTTAATTCTTTGAAAAATAATTTTTAAAAAATCCACGACTTGTTAATTATTTGAAAAATAATTTTTAAAAAATCCACGACTTGTTAATTCTTTGAAAAATAATTTTTAAAAAATCCACGACTTGTTAATTCTTTGAAAACTTTGAAAAATTATTTTAAACAAACCCATTCTTTGTTAATTCATTGAAATTTTTTTTAATTCCTGGGTATAGCTTTGAAAAATAATTTAAAAAAGCCAGCATTGGTGAGAAAATTATTCTTAAAAATCCACGCTTGGTATTTCTTCGAAGATTCTTAAAAAAGTACATGCCTTGAAGAATCCAAATCTTGTTTTTTAATTGAAAAAATAATTTTTAAAGAATCCAAGCAATGTTAATTATTTGAAAAATCAAAAAATAAAGATGCGTATCCCCATTTGCCTTAAAATTTTAGATATTTAAAATGTACTGCTACTGTTTCTAATACATTCTCGTCATTTATTTCATATTCATATTTCGACAACAAATATAGTATTCGCCCCACAAACTTAGTTTGCTGGGTTGCAGAAGTGGCGACCCTTCACCCCGCTCTTAATGAAACCAGGATTGCAGGAACAGAAATTGGGTGCCGAGCAGTATCCATTGGGGCAACCCTGAGGGCAGTGCGGAACACACTTGTTCGAATCTTTGTCATCGGGGACATACCCCGGTTCGCATTCACATTTATTTGGGCTGGCACAGACCCCATTGACACAAGGGCTATCGCAGCGGGGATTGCATTTAATACCAGAACGGTCCAATTCCGAACCCACAGGGCAGGAACAGGTATCGGGGGCAATGCAGAAACCTTTGTCACATCCACTAAAATTATTAAAAGAGAGAAATAGAGAAGTTAATAAAAACTCTAAATATCATAAAAATCTTCTTGACTTACAGAGCACACACCGGCTCACAGGCATCGCCCACCTTGGTATAGCCCGTGTGACAGCTGCACAAACCCGGTGCGGTACATTTGCCATTCAGGCAATTCTCACAATGCGGTTCACATGTGCCCACACCGGTTAGATGATATCCTTTATCGCACTCACACTGATTGGGTCCAATGCATTTGCCAAATTGACAGCCATTCTCACAGGTGGGTACACAATATTTTCCCTGTTTGGGTTCCAAGCTATAACCAGGTTTGCACTGACACTGACCATCATCGGAGCATACACCATTTTCACAACCAATTGGACACGTGGTGACACATTTACCTAATGAGTTGCGAACATGACCTGGTATACAGACACATTGATTGGGCGCTACGCAGATGCCATTGGGACAATCATCCTCGCAGATCGGATCGCATCGCTTGAAGACATGAGGATTACGTTCGTAACCTTCACAGCAGACCTGTATGGTGCTCATACCGGGAGCGGTACCATTGCTGACGGGCTCTTGGCCATTTTTCACCAGCGTTGAGGTGCTGCAAAGATAAGGGAAATACATTTTTATTAAAGAAATCATAGCAAAATTCGTTGAAAATAATTTTTAAAAATCCAAGTCTTGATATTTGTCGCAAAAATAATTTTTAAAAAATCCAAGCATTGGTATTTGGCGGAAAAAAATTTAAAAAAAATCTACGATCTGATATTTGGAGAAAAAATATTTTTTTCAAAAATATTTGGCGGAAAAATTATTTTTAAAAAATCTACGTCTTGATATTTGTCGGAAATATTATTTTTAAAAAATCCACGCCTAGTCATTTGTCGGAAAAATAAATTTTAAAAATTCCAGGCCTTGATATTTCTTTGAAAAATAATTTTTAAAAAATCCACGCCTAGTCATTTGTCGGAAAAATAAATTTTAAAAATTCCAGGCCTTGATATTTCTTTGAAAAATAATTTTTAAAAAATTCACGCCTAGTCATTTGTCGGAAAAATAAAATTTAAAAATTCCAGGCCTTGATATTTCTTAGAAAAATAATTTTTAAAAAATCCACGCCTAGTCATGTGTCGGAAAAATAAATTTTAAAAATTCCAGGCCTTGATATTTCTTTGAAAAATAATTTTTAAAAAATCCACGCCTAGTCATTTGTCGGAAAAATAAATTTTAAAAATTCCAGGCCTTGATATTTCTTTGAAAAATAATTTTTAAAAAATCCACGTCTTGTTATTTCTTGGAAAAATAATTTTTAAAAAATCCACGTCTTGTTATTTCTTGGAAAAATAATATTTAAAAAATCCTCGTCATGTTATTTCTTGGAAAAATAATTTTTAAAAATCCATTCTTCTTGTTATTTCTTGGAAAAATATTTTTAAAAAATCCATGTCCTGTTATTTCTTGGAAAATAATTTTAAAAAGTCCACACCTTGTTATTTATATATATTTTTAAAAAAATCCACGCCTTGTTATTTGTAGGAAAAATAATTTTTAAAAAATCCTCGCCTTGATATTTGTGGGAAAAATAATTTTAAAAAAATCCACGCCTTATTATTTGTAGGAAAAATAATTTTTAAAAAATCCACGCCTTATTATTTCTGGGAAAAATAATTTTTAAAAAATCCACGCCTTATTATTTGTAGGAAAAATAATTTTTAAAAAATCCACGCCTTATTATTTCTGGGAAAAATAATTTTTAAAAAATCCACGCCTTATAATTTCTGGGAAAAACAATTTTTAAAAAATCCACGCCTTATAATTTCTGGGAAAAATAATTTTTAAAAAATCCACGCCTTATTATTTCTGGGAAAAATAATTTTTAAAAAAATCCACGCCTTGTTATTTGTAGGAAAAATAATTTTAAAAAAAAAATCCACGCCTTGATATTTGTAGGAAAAATAATTTTTAAAAAAATCCACGCCATGTTATTTGCAGGAAAAATAATTTTTAAAAAATCCACGCGTTTTTATTTCAGGGAAAAATAATTTTTAAAAAATCCACGCGTTATTATTTCGGGGAAAAATATTTTTTAAAAAAATGCACGCCTTGTTATTTGTAGGAAAAATAATTTTTAAAAAAATCCAAGAATTGTTATTTGTAGGAAAAATAATTTTTAAAAAAATCCAAGAATTGTTATTTGTAGGAAAAATAATTTTAAAAAAATCCACGCATCGTTTTTTGTGGAAAAAATTATTTTTAAAAAATCCACGCTTTGTTATTTGGGAAAAATAATTGTTAAAAAAATCAACGCCTTGTTATTTGTGGGAAAAATAATTGTTAAAAAAATTCACGCCTTGTTATTTGTGGGAAAAATAATTTTTAAAAAGTCCACGCCATATTATTAGTGGGAAAAATAATTTTTAAAAAATCCACGTATTGTTAGTTTTTTGAAAAAAAAATTAAAAAATTCACGCCTTATTATTTATTTGAAAATAATGTTTAAGAAATCTAAGCCTTCATATTTGTGGGAAAAATAATTTTTAAAAAATCTAAGCCTTGGTATTTGTGGGAAAAATAATTTTTAAAAAATTCGTGACTTATTATTTTAGGGAAAAATGATTTTTAAAAAATCCGTGACTTATTATTTCAGGGAAAAATAATTTTTAAAAAAATCCGTGACTTATTATTTCAGGAAAATATAATTTTTAAAAAAATACACGATTTGTTAATTGTTGGAAAAAATATTTTTTAAAAAATCCACACCTTGTTATTTATGGAAAGAATAATATTTAAAAAATACACGCCTTGTTATTAGTGGGAAAAATAATTTTTAAAAAATCCACGCCTTGTTATTTGTGGGAAAAATAATTTTTAAAATATCCACATCTTGTTTTTAGTGGGAAAAATAATTTTTAAAAAATCCACGCCTTGTTATTTGTGGGAAAAATAATTTTTAAAAAAATCCACGCCTTGTTATTTGTAGGAAAAATAATTTTTAAAAAAAATCCACGCCTTGTTATTTGTAGGAAAAATAATTTTTAAAAAAATCCACGCCATGTTATTTGCAGGAAAAACAATTTTTAAAAAATCCACGCGTTTTTATTTCAGGGAAAAATAATTTTTAAAAAATCCACGCGTTATTATTTCGGGGAAAAATATTTTTTAAAAAAATGCACGCCTTGTTATTTGTAGGAAAAATAATTTTTAAAAAAATCCAAGAATTGTTATTTGTAGGAAAAATAATTTTTAAAAAAATCCACGCATCGTTTTTTGTGGAAAAAATTATTTTTAAAAAATCCACGCTTTGTTATTTGGGAAAAATAATTGTTAAAAAAATCAACGCCTTGTTATTTGTGGGAAAAATAATTGTTAAAAAAATTCACGTCTTGTTATTTGTGGGAAAAATAATTTTTAAAAAGTCCACGCCATATTATTAGTGGGAAAAATAATTTTTAAAAAATCCACGCATTGTTAGTTTTTTGAAAAAAAAAATTTAAAAATTCACGCCTTATTATTTATTTGAAAATAATGTTTAAGAAATCTAAGCCTTCATATTTGTGGGAAAAATAATTTTTAAAAAATCTAAGCCTTGGTATTTGTGGGAAAAATAATTTTTAAAAAATTCGTGACTTATTATTTTAGGGAAAAATGATTTTTACCGTGACTTATTATTTCAGGAAAATATAATTTTTAAAAAAATACACGATTTGTTAATTGTTGGAAAAAATATTTTTTAAAAAATCCACACCTTGTTATTTATGGAAAGAATAATATTTAAAAAATCCACGCCTTGTTATTAGTGGGAAAAATAATTTTTAAAAAATCCACGCCTTGTTATTTGTGGGAAAAATAATTTTTAAAAAATCCACGTCTTGTTATTTCTTGGAAAAATAATTTTTAAAAAATCCACGTCTTGTTATTTCTTGGAAAAATAATATTTAAAAAATCCTCGTCATGTTATTTCTTGGAAAAATAATTTTTAAAAATCCATTCTTCTTGTTATTTCTTGGAAAAATATTTTTAAAAAATCCATGTCCTGTTATTTCTTGGAAAATAATTTTAAAAAGTCCACACCTTGTTATTTATATATATTTTAAAAAAATCCACGCCTTGTTATTTGTAGGAAAAATAATTTTTAAAAAATCCTCGCCTTGATATTTGTGGGAAAAATAATTTTAAAAAAATCCACGCCTTATTATTTGTAGGAAAAATAATTTTTAAAAAATCCACGCCTTATTATTTCTGGGAAAAATAATTTTTAAAAAATCCACGCCTTATTATTTGTAGGAAAAATAATTTTTAAAAAATCCACGCCTTATTATTTCTGGGAAAAATAATTTTTAAAAAATCCACGCCTTATAATTTCTGGGAAAAACAATTTTTAAAAAATCCACGCCTTATAATTTCTGGGAAAAATAATTTTTAAAAAATCCACGCCTTATTATTTCTGGGAAAAATAATTTTTAAAAAAATCCACGCCTTGTTATTTGTAGGAAAAATAATTTAAAAAAAAAATCCACGCCTTGATATTTGTAGGAAAAATAATTTTTAAAAAAATCCACGCCATGTTATTTGCAGGAAAAATAATTTTTAAAAAATCCACGCGTTTTTATTTCAGGGAAAAATAATTTTTAAAAAATCCACGCGTTATTATTTCGGGGAAAAATATTTTTTAAAAAAATGCACGCCTTGTTATTTGTAGGAAAAATAATTTTTAAAAAAATCCAAGAATTGTTATTTGTAGGAAAAATAATTTTTAAAAAAATCCAAGAATTGTTATTTGTAGGAAAAATAATTTTTAAAAAAATCCACGCATCGTTTTTTGTGGAAAAAATTATTTTTAAAAAATCCACGCTTTGTTATTTGGGAAAAATAATTGTTAAAAAAATCAACGCCTTGTTATTTGTGGGAAAAATAATTGTTAAAAAAATTCACGTCTTGTTATTTGTGGGAAAAATAATTTTTAAAAAGTCCACGCCATATTATTAGTGGGAAAAATAATTTTTAAAAAATCCACGCATTGTTAGTTTTTTGAAAAAAAAAATTTAAAAATTCACGCCTTATTATTTATTTGAAAATAATGTTTAAGAAATCTAAGCCTTCATATTTGTGGGAAAAATAATTTTTAAAAAATCTAAGCCTTGGTATTTGTGGGAAAAATAATTTTTAAAAAATTCGTGACTTATTATTTTAGGGAAAAATGATTTTTACCGTGACTTATTATTTCAGGAAAATATAATTTTTAAAAAAATACACGATTTGTTAATTGTTGGAAAAAATATTTTTTAAAAAATCCACACCTTGTTATTTATGGAAAGAATAATATTTAAAAAATCCACGCCTTGTTATTAGTGGGAAAAATAATTTTTAAAAAATCCACGCCTTGTTATTTGTGGGAAAAATAATTTTTAAAAAATCCACATCTTGTTTTTAGTGGGAAAAATAATTTTTAAAAAATCCACGCCTTGTTATTTGTGGGAAAAATAATTTTTAAAAAATCCATGCCTTGTTATTTGTAGGAAAAATAATTTTTAAAAAAATCCACGCCATGTTATTTGTAGGAAAAACAATTTTTAAAAAATCCACGCATTGTTTTTTGTGGACAAAATAATTTTTAAAAAATCCACGCCTTGTTATTTGTGGGAAGAATAATTTTTAAAAAATCCACGCCTAGTTATTTGTGAGAAGAATAATTTAAAAAAAATCCACGCTTTGTTAATTGTTGGAAAAATAATTTAAAAAAAATCCACGCTTTGTTAATTGTTGGAAAAATAATTTTTAAAAAATCCACGCCTTGTTATTTTGTGGGAAAAAATAATTTTTAAAAAATCCACGCCTTGTTATTTGTGGGAAAAATATTTTTTTAAAAAATCCACTCTTTGTTATTTGTGGGAAAAATAATTTTTAAAAAATCCATGCCTTGTTTTTTGTTGGAAAAATTACTACAAATTTTTCAATAAAAAATATGACACAAAATATTAAAATTATCAATATTTCGAGGAAACAGAGATCGCCAGCGGGTCAATAACAGATTGTATTTGTCCCACTATTTGCAAAACAAAAATAAATAAAAAATTCAAACTTACGGTACTTCCTTAAAACAAATACCCGAAGCAATGCCAGCCCTGGTCTTGTTAATAAATTCTGCAGTTGCATCCAAAATCTGGGGTTGAGGAGATGGTTCAGGTTTCACCAATGCCTCTCCTTGATAATATTCCGCAGGTTTGAAATTACCATTGTAACGCTCATAGACACTACCCTGGTATTGGCTGTGCGAATTGAACTCCTCTTGATGGTTGTAATTCAATTGCTCCGATTGTTGTGGCGGATTGGGAGGTTGACGCGTCTTAATACCGGTTTTGAATTGACCCAACACCCCAATCGAAAGTGTACCAATGATACACAAAATTAAAAGAACTTTCATTTCGAAATAAAATTAGTTTTGATTTTCTTCTAAAGAACTAACGTCCGATTTCAACAATAGCCACAAAACGACTAAAATTATCGCATAATTTCACATTGAAATTCATTTCAAGATTTTTGTTTTATTTCTTTTGTTGTTGTGATTATTGGGTTTGAATGCAAAACTGTTTTGTTTCTAATCTTGTGGCTTTATTGTTTGTTTAGAAATTCAATATTTTTTATTTAATTTGTGATTTATTTCAAACTGAGATCATTTGTCTGGTTGGGGTTGGTTAGTCATGCTCCACTACCAGCAGCCTGAGATCTTAAAAACGTCGATTTTGATGTTCAAACTGATGGGGTCTGTGTTGTTCTTGTTGCTTTCCTGTCACTCGTGATTGTTAATTGATTTATTCAATATATTTGTTATCTAAATACTGGTTTTGGTTTAAATGAGATTAATGGTTCTGTTTCGAAACGTGATTATCATAGGAAAAAATATTGCAGTTCTGGGAAGAGATGATAACGTCACATATTGAATGAAGTAATGGAAAAAAGGCGGTCAAGAATTTGAGTCTAATTATCGTGGATTTTTAAAAATAATTTTTCCACAAACAACAAAGCGTGGATTTTTTCAAAATTATTTTTCCCACAAATAACTAGGCCTGGATTTTTTAAAAATTATTTTTTCTTACAAATATCAAGGCGTGGATTTTTTTTAATTTATTTTTTCTTACAAATATCAAGGCGTGGATTTTTTAAAATTTATTTTTTCTTAGAAATATCAAGGTGTGTATTTTTTAAAAATTATTTTTCCCACAAATAACAAGGCGTGGATTTTTTAAAAATAATTTTTCTCAAAAATAACATGGCGTGGATTTTTTAAAAATAATTTTTCTCAAAAATAACATGGCGTGGATTTTTTAAATATTATTTTTCCCAGAAATAATAAGGCGTGGATTTTTTAAATATTATTTTTCCCACAAATAACAAGGCGTGGATTTTTTAAAAATTATGTTTCCCACAAATAACCAGGCGTGTTTTTTTTAAAAATTATTTTTCCCCAAAAATAACAAGGCGTGTATTTTTTAAAAATTAATTTTCCCAGAAATAATAAGGCGGGGATTTTTTAAAAATTATTTTTCCCACAAATAATAAGGCGTGGACTTTTTAAAAGTTATTTTTCCCAGAAATAATAAGGCGTGGATTTTTTAAAAATTATTTTTCCCAAAAACAATAAGGCGTGGATTTTTTAAAAATTATTTTTCCCAAAAATAATAAGGCGTGGATTTTTTAAAAATTATTTTTCCCACAAATAACAAGGCGTGGATTTTTTAAAAATTATTTTTCCCACAAATACCAAGGCGTGGATTTTTTAAAAATTATTTTTCCCACAAATACCAAGGCGTGGATTTTTTAAAAATTATTTTTCCCAAAAATAATAAGGCGTGGATTTTTTAAAAATTATTTTTCCCACAAATACCAAGGCGTGGTTTTTTTAAAAATTATTTTTCCCACAAATACCAAGGCGTGGTTTTTTTAAAAATTATTTTTCCCACAAATACCAAGGCGTGGATTTTTTAAAAATTATTTTTCCCAGAAATAATAAGGCATGGACTTTTTAAAAATTATTTTTCCCAGAAATAATAAGGCGTGGACTTTTTAAAAATTATTTTTCCCAGAAATAATAAGGCGTGGATTTTTTAAAAATTATTTTTCGAAGAAACATCAAGGCGTGGATTTTTTAAAAATTATTTTTCGAAGAAACATCAAGGCGTGGATTTTTTAAAAATTATTTTTAATAAAATACTATGGCTTGAATTTTTTAAAAATTATTTTTTAATAAAATACTATGGCGTGAATTTTTTAAAAATTATTTTTTAATAAAATACTATGGCGTGAATTTTTTAAAAATTATTTTTTAATAAAATACTATGGCTTGAATTTTTTAAAAATAATTTTTTAATAAAATTCTATGGCTTGAATTTTTTAAAAATTATTTTTTAATAAAATACTATGGCTTGAATTTTTTAAAAATTATTTTTTAATAAAATACTATGGCGTGAATTTTTTAAAAATTATTTTTTAATAAAATACTATGGCGTGAATTTTTTAAAAATTATTTTTCCCAAAACTAATAAGGCGTGGATTTTTTTAAAAATTATTTTTCCCAGAAATAATAAGGCTTGGATTTTTTAAAAATTATTTTTCCCAGAAATAATAAGGCGTGGATTTTTTTAAAAATTATTTTTCCCAGAAATAATAAGGCGTGGATTTTTTTAAAAATTATTTTTCCCAGATATAATAAGGCTTGGATTTTTTAAAAATTGTTTTTCCCAGAAATAATAAGGCGTGGATTTTTTTAAAAATTATCTTTACCAGAAATAATAATGCGTGGATTTTTTTTAAAAAATTTTTTAATAAATTACTATGGCGTGAATTTTTTAAAAATTATTTTTCCCAAAAATAATAAGGCGTGGATTTTTTTAAAAATTATTTTTCCCAGAAATAATAAGGCGTGGATTTTTTAAAAATTTATTAAATTACAAATAACAAGACGTGGAATTTTTAAAAATCTATTTTCTCACAAATAACAAGACGTGGATTTTTTAAAAAATTATTTTCTCACAAATAACAAGACGTGGATTTTTTAAAAAATATTTTTCACAGAAATAATAAGGCGTGGATTTTTTAAAAATTATTTTTCACAGAAATAATAAGGCGTGGATTTTCTAAAAATTATTTTTCACAGAAATAATAAGGCGTGGATTTTTTAAAATTTATTTTTTCTTACAAATATCAAGGCGTGGATTTTTTAAAATTTATTATTTCTTACAAATATCAAGGCGTGGATTTTTTAAAATTTATTTTTTCTTACAAATATCAAGGCGTGGATTTTTTAAAATTTATTTTTTCTTACAAATATCAAGGCGTGGATTTTTTAAAATTTATTATTTCTTACAAATATCAAGGCGTGGATTTTTTAAAAATTATTTTTTCTTACAAATAACAAAGCGTGGATTTTTTAAAAATTATTTTTCCCACAAATAACAATGCGTAGATTTTTTAAAAATTATTCTTTCTTGCAAATATCAAGGCGTGGATTTTTTAAAAATTATTTTTCCCACAAATAACAATGCGTAGATTTTTAAAAAATTATTTTTTCTTGCAAATATCAAGGCGTGGATTTTTTAGAAATTATTTTTCCCACAAATAACAATGCGTAGATTTTTTAAAAATTATTTTTTCTTGCAAATATCAAGGCGTGGATTTTTTAAAAATTATTTTTCCCACAAATAACAATGCGTAGATTTTTAAAAAATTATTTTTTCTTGCAAATATCAAGGCGTGGATTTTTTAGAAATTATTTTTCCCACAAATAACAATGCGTAGATTTTTTAAAAATTATTTTTTCTTGCAAATATCAAGGCGTGGATTTTTTAAAAATTATTTTTCCCACAAATAACAATGCGTAGATTTTTAAAAAATTATTTTTTCTTGCAAATATCAAGGCGTGGATTTTTTAGAAATTATTTTTCCCACAAATAACAATGCGTAGATTTTTTAAATTTTTTTTTTCCCAGAAATAATAAGGCGTGGGTTTTTTAAAATTTTTTTCCCAGAAATAATAAGGCGTGGATTTTACAAAAATTATTAATAAGCCGTGGATTTTTTAAAAAATAATTTTCTCACAAATAACAAGACGTGGATTTTTTAAAAATTTATTTTCCTAGAAAAAATAAGCCGTGGATTTTTTAATAATTAATCTTCTCACAAATAACAACACGTGGATTTTTTAAAAATTTATTTTCCTAGAAATAATAAGCCGTGGATTTTTTAAAAATTTATTTTCTCACAAATAACAAGACGTGGATTTTTTAAAAATTTATTTTCTCACAAATAACAAGACGTGGATTTTTTAAAAATTTATTTTCCTAGAAATAATAAGCCGTGGATTTTTTAAAAATTTATTTTCTCACAAATAACAAGACGTGGATTTTTTAAAAATTTATTTTCTCACAAATAACAAGACGTGGATTTTTTTAAAAATTTATTTTCTCACAAATAACAAGACGTGGAATTTTTAAAAATTTATTTTCTCACAAATAACAAAACGTGGATTTTTTAAAAATTTATTTTCTCACAAATAATAAGGCGTGGATTTTTTAAAAATTATTTTTCACAGAAATAATAAGGCGTGGATTTTTTAAAAATTATTTTTCACAGAAATAATAAGGCGTGGATTTTTTAAAAATTATTTTTTCTTACAAATATCAAGGCGTGGATTTTTTAAAAATTATTTTTTCTTACAAATATCAAGACGTGGATTTTTTAAAAATTATTTTTTCTTACAAATATCAAGACGTGGATTTTTTAAAAATTATTTTTTCTTACAAATATCAAGACGTGGATTTTTTAAAAATTATTTTTTCTTACAAATATCAAGGCGTGGATTTTTTAAAAATTATTTTTTCTTACAAATATCAAGGCGTGGATTTTTTAAAAATTATTTTTTCTTACAAATATCAAGGCGTGGATTTTTTAAAATTTATTTTTTCTTACAAATATCAAGGCGTGGATTTTTTAAAATTTATTTTTTCTTACAAATATCAAGGCGTGGATTTTTAAAATTTATTTTTTCTTACAAATATCAAGGCGTGGATTTTTTAAAAATTATTTTTTCTTACAAATATCAAGGCGAGGATTTTTTAAAAATTATTTTTTCTTACAAATATCAAGGCGAGGATTTTTTAAAAATTATTTTTTCTTACAAATATCAAGGCGTGGATTTTTTAAAAATTATTTTTTCTTACAAATATCAAGGCGTGGATTTTTTAAAAATTATTTTTTCTTACAAATATCAAGGCGTGGATTTTTTAAAAATTATTTTTTCTTACAAATATCAAGGCGTGGATTTTTTAAAAATTTTTCTTCAACAAATATCAAGGCGTGGATTTTTTAAAAATTATTTTTTCTTACAAATATCAAGGCGTGGATTTTTTAAAATTTATTTTTTCTTACAAATATCAAGGCGTGGATTTTTTAAAATTCATTTTTTCTTACAAATATCAAGGCGTGGATTTTTTAAAAATTATTTTTTCTTACAAATATCAAGGCGTGGATTTTTTAAAAATTATTTTTTCTTAAAAATATCAAGGCGTGGATTTTTTAAAAATTATTTTTTCTTACAAATATCAAGGCGAGGATTTTTTAAAAATTATTTTTTCTTACAAATATCAAGGCGAGGATTTTTTAAAAATTATTTTTTCTTACAAATATCAAGGCGAGAATTTTTTAAAAATTATTTTTTCTTACAAATATCAAGGCGTGGATTTTTTAAAAAATATTTTTTCTTACAAATATCAAGGCGTGGATTTTTTAAAAATTATTTTTTCTTACAAATATCAAGGCGTGGATTTTTTAAAAATTATTTTTTCTTACAAATATCAAGGCGTGGATTTTTTAAAAATTATTTTTTCTTACAAATATCAAGGCGTGGATTTTTTAAAAATTATTTTTTCTTACAAATATCAAGGCGTGGATTTTTTAAAAATTATTTTTTCTTACAAATATCAAGGCGTGGATTTTTTAAAAATTATTTTTTCTTACAAATATCAAGGCGTGGATTTTTTAAAAATTATTTTTTCTTACAAATATCAAGGCGTGGATTTTTTTAAAATTTATTTTTTCTTAGAAATATCAAGGCGTGGATTTTTTTTAAAATTTATTTTTTCTTAGAAATACCAAGGCGTGGATTTTTTTTAAATTTATTTTTTCTTAGAAATATCAAGGCGTGGATTTTTTAAAATTTATTTTTTCTTAGAAATATCAAGGCGTGGATTTTTTTAAAATTTATTTTTTCTTAGAAATATCAAGGCGTGGATTTTTTAAAATTTATTTTTTCTTAGAAATATCAAGGCGAGGATTTTTTTAAAATTTATTTTTTCTTAGAAATATCAAGGCGTGGATTTTTTAAAATTTATTTTTTCTTAGAAATATCAAGGCGTGGATTTTTTTAAAATTTATTTTTTCTTAGAAATATCAAGGCGTGGATTTTTTAAAATTTATTTTTCTTAGAAATATCAAGGCGTGGATTTTTTTAAAATTTATTTTTTCTTACAAATACCAAGGCGTGGATTTTTTAAAATTTATTTTTTCTTAGAAATATCAAGGCGTGGATTTTTTTTTAAATTTATTTTTTCTTAGAAATATCAAGGCGTGGATTTTTTAAAATTTATTTTTTCTTAGAAATATCAAGGCGTGGTTTTTTTGTAAATTATTTTATTAATTATAGCAAAATTTAAAAAAAAAATATATTTTTTAAAACGGCAACCCTGCCGAACTACTCTGCTTCGTAAATGAGAATTTTCTCATCATTTATAATTGTTTTCAAAAAATAAAAACAAAAACGAATCTTGGTGAAAGAACGCATTAAACTGATAAGAAGAGGGAACCAGTAGCAAAGAAAAAAAAAAAAAAACAAAGCCAATGAAAAATATTAAATATTCAAGCCTCTCAGAAAATCCACACACAACGCTCAGTCACATTTATTTAGTCGCTGCAGAAGTTGGGTGTAGAAAAAAGTGCTTATTTTCTTGTTTTCATTTCATAATTGAAAATTTCGTCGTCGTCGTCTTAATTGCGATATGTTGATGAAATTGAAATATTTTCTGTTGATATGTCTCAGTTTCGGTGTGACAATGGGACAATTTTGGAAACTAAATACGCCAAGTGAACGTGATCTATTTATTATGGAGGTGAGGAGTACAATGTCGGCGGGTATTTGTTACAAACAAGTGGAGTAAGTATAAGTGGGATAAAAAAATCAGAATTTTTAAAAACGAATATGTTCCAGGGCCAAGGTCAATGATCCGGAAGTACGCATGCGCACCGTGTCCTTCTGCTGTCCCGGCTATAAACGTAACCGTTTGGTAAGACACGCTGTGAAATGTGATCCCATTTGCACCAATGACTGCAACAATGGCATTTGTGTGGCGCCCGATTATTGTGAATGCTATCCCGGCTATAAACGGGAGAATGCTCGCTGCATACCATTTTACTAGAACTTCCATGGACTGGCTAGGCTATGATTTTGCGCGTTAGAATTTTTTTTGTAATAAATAATAATTTTCAAAAATTATTTTTAGAAACTTTTACTATGTGTAGTGATTAGATTCATTGATAAGTGTCTAAATGCCTCAAATTTCCCCTCCAAAAAAAAAAAAAAAGAATAAGAAAAGCCAAACTATGTCATTGCTATTTTAATTTGTATATGAACCAATTTCTGAAATCTCTCGACATAATTAATACAAACAAGCATCATAACATGCCTGCCCGCCTGTAGCCGGAGATTGCATTGAAAAAGTTCATGTGCGATAATAAGCTAAGATTACCGACAGTCAAGCACACATGGCTTTGAAAATTTCGGTTTAGGTTGTAAATAAATAATGTACGCCTAAAAGTATGCTGTATTTTTTAAGAAGTGCATTTGTTAAGAGCTTCAATTGAGGACTTTTTAAAACTATTTTTCAAGAATATTTAATGCTGTATTAATGGATTTTTTAATAATATCCTTAAAGGACCTTCAGAGCTATAATCAGAGATATTAAATAAAAATTAAAGGAAATTAGAGCTTAGACCACAAAATTTCGCAGAATATTTTTTGAAGGGCTTTGAAAGGTGAATTTAAAATTAAAAAAAAAAACTTTCACAGATACTATCGTGAAATTTAATTTTCCATCGATTTCCAGACCTATAATTGTGGATTCTTAAAAATAATTTTTATTAGGACTTTCCGAGATTTAATAGTGGATTCACATATACATATACATATACATATAAACTTGTACTTTTAAATATTATTTTTTAAATACTTCTAGAACTATATTCGTTTTATTTTTTTTTTGCCATTTCCAGGGTTATAATCGTGGACTTTTAAAACTATTTTAAAGGGAATTTTAGTGCTATAATCTAGAATTTTTAAATAGACATTTTTCAATAGTCAAGAGAGGGTTGTATATTTAAAAAATTATTTTTTCCAACAAATATCCATGCGTAAATTTTTTAAAAAGGATTTTTCAAAAATTATTTTTCCACGAAATATCAAGGCGTGGATTTTTTAAAAATTATTTTTCTAACAAATATCAAGGCGTAGATTTTTCAAAAATTATTTTTCCACGAAATATGAAGGCGTTAATTTTTTAAAAATTATTTTTCCACGAAATATTAAGGCGTGGATTTTTTAGAAATGATTTTTCTAAGAAATATCAAGGCGTGTATTTTTTAAAAATGATTTTTATAAGAAATATCAAAGCATAAATTTTTTAAAAATTATTTTTCCACGAAATGTCAAGGCATGGGTTTTTTAAAAATTATTTTTCCACGAAATATCAAAGCGTGGATTTTTTAAAAATTGTTTTTATAAGAAATATCAAGGCGTGAATTTTTTAAAAATTATTTTTCCACGAAATTCCAAGGCATGCATTTTATAAAAATTATTTTTCTAAGAAATATCAAGGCGTGAATTATTTAATAATTATTTTTCTACGAAATATCAATGCGTGGATTTTTTAAAAATAATTTTTTTTTTTTAAAATAAAAATGCGTGGATCTTTAATTTTTTTCTAAGAAATATCAAGGCGTGGATTTTTTAAAAATTATTTTTCTAAGAAATATGGAGGCGTGAATTTTTAAAAATTATTTTTCTAAGAAATATCAAGTCGTGGATTTTTTAAAAAATTATTTTTCTGAGAAATATCAAGTCGTGGATTTTTTAAAAAATTATTTTTCTGAGAAATATCAAGTCATGAATTTTTTTAAAAATTATTTTTCAAAGAAATATCAAGGCCAGGATTTTTTAAAAATTATTTTTCTAAGAAATATTAAGGCGTGGATTTTTTAAAAATTATTTTTCCACGAAATATTAAGGCGTGGATTTTTTAAAAATTATTTTTCCACGAAATATCAAGGCATGGATTTTTTAAAAATTATTTTTCTAATAAATATCAAGTCGTGGATTTTTTAAAGATTATTTTTCCACAAAATATCAAAGAGTGGATTTTTTAAAAATTATTTTTCCACAAAATATCAAGGCGTGGATTTTTTAAAAATTATTTTTCCAGGAAATATCAAGTCATGAATTTTTTTAAAAATTATTTTTCTAATAAATATCAAGTCGTGGAATTTTTAAAGATTATTTTTCCACAAAATATCAAAGCGTGGATTTTTTAAAAATTATTTTTCCACAAAATATCAAGGCGTGGATTTTTTAAAAATTATTTTTCCAGGAAATATCAAGTCATGAATTTTTTTAAAAATTATTTTTCCAGGAAATATCAAGTCATGAATTTTTTTAAAAATTATTTCTCAAAGAAATATCAAGGCGTGGATTTTTTAAAAATTATTTTTCAAAGAAATATCAAGGCCTGGCTTTTTAACAAATATTTTTCAAAGAAATATCAAGGCGTGGATTTTTTAGAAATTATTTTTATAAGAAATATCAAGGCGTTGATTTTTTTAAAAATTATTTTTATTAGAAATATCAAGGTGTGGATTTTTTAAAAATGATTTTTATAAGAAATTTCAAGGCGTGGATTTTTTTAAAAATTATTTTTCTAAGAAATATCAAGGCGTGTTTTTTTTGAATGATTTTTATAAGAAATATCAAGGCGTGGATTTTTTAAAAATTATTTTTCTAAGAAATATCAAGGCGTGAATTTTTTAATAATTATTTTTCAAAGAAATATCAAGGCCAGGATTTTTTTTAAAAATTATTTTTCTAAGAAATATCAAGGCGTGGATTTTTTAAAAATTATTTTTCTAAGAAATATCATGGCGTAAAATTTTTAAAAATTATTTTTCAAAGAGATATCACGGCGTGGATTTTTTAAAAATTTATTTTTCTAAGAAATGTCAAGGCGTGGATTTTTTAAAAATTGTTTTTCTAAGAAATATCAAGGCGCGAATTTTTTAAAAATTGTTTTTCTAAGAAATATCAAGGCGTTAATTTTTTAAAAATTATTTTTCTAGAACAGTGTTGGCATGTTTGTTTGGGATACCGTAGTATTTTGTTGTTGCGAAAATCGTCAGGGTTAATCCCATTATTGTTGTTTTTATAAAACAATATTTGTTTATTAGTGGAGAACGAGGGTAATATTTACCAGGGGGTAAGGCAGGGAGTACCTAGGTCCAAGGATCATTGGTCTGTTGGTCCTCGAAAAAAATTCCTTAAAATTCTACGGAAACTCATCTGTTGGACCTCAAACAAATATTCTGTAAAATCTACGATTTTATCTACGAAATTTACGATTATTTGCTTTTAGTCCTTGAAAAAATATCCTTAAAAAAACCTATAAATATCCTTCTTGAAAAAATATTATTTTAATATACATTTCTTCGTAGTTTTCAATATTTTTATTTACTCTTATCTCTATTTCCCTTATCCACTTATCCCAATTTATCGGTAAAATTAAAATATCTGCCAATCAATAGATTGAATTCATCCACAAAGTCTTCATTCAATTTCTGATGATGCATCGTGGCATAGGTGGTGACCTTATCTGGCGACAGACACTGATTGATGAAACGCGTTGTGCCCGTCTGACAACGGCAACGACCCTTCGACGTACAATAGCCTAATTCACATTTTTGATACGTTTTAAAGGGGCCATCCGTTATGGAACAGCCACAGACGCCGGGTGCAATACATTTGCCATAATAACCGCAACCACTGCGAGAGAGAGAGAGAGAGAGAGAGAGAGGAGACGAAGTGAGGGGAATTATTAAATACTTATTTTTGTATAATTATCAATAGAGTACCTACTGTTCACAGATGGCTTCACATTTGGGACCATTCCTCTGATAGCCATTAAAACAACGACATATTCCAGGCGAAATGCAGACGCCATTGTCACAGTCGTCACCGCAGTCGGGGAGGCATGAGGTGGTATTTTCATCATAACGATAACCCTCCTGGCAGATGCATCGGGGCCCACGAACCTGGAAGCCATTATCGCAGCGTCTACAAAAAAGAAAACAATTTTGAGATTAAAGGGCTTTCACATAAATGTTTTTTTTTTTCAAATCCAAGTTTGTGACTTTGAAAGTGCATAAAAAATATTCTTTAAAAAATCCACGTTTCTAGAATTCCTTGAAAAAATATTTTTTAAAAAATCCACGTTTCTAGAATTCCTTGAAAAAATATTCTTTAAAAAATCCACGTTTCTAGAATTCCTTAAAAATATTTTTTAAAAAATCCACGTTTCTAGAATTCCTTGAAAAAAAATTCTTTAAAAAATCCACGTTTATGGAAGTCCTTGAAAAAATATTCTTTAAAAATCCACGTTTATGGAAGTCCTTGAAAAGATATTCTTTAAAAATCCACGTTTATGGAAGTCCTTGAAAAAATATTCTTTAAAAAATCCACGTTTCTGGAAGTCCTTGAAAAAATATTCTTTAGAAATCGGCGTTTATGGAAGTCCTTGAAAATATATTCTTTAAAGAATCCATGTTTATGGAAGTCCTTGAAAAAATATTCTCTAAAAAATCCACGCTTATGGAAGTCCTTGAAAAAATATTCTTTAAAAATTGGCGTTTATGGAAGTCCTTGAAAAAATATTCTTTAAAAAATCCACGTTTATGGAAGTCCTTGAAAAAATATTCTCTAAAAAATCCACGCTTATGGAAGTCCTTGAAAAAATATTCTTTAAAAATTGGCGTTTATGGAAGTCCTTGAAAAAATATTCTTTAAAAAATCCACGCTTATGACAGAGCTTGAAGAAATATTCTTTAAAAAATCCAAGTTTATGGAAGTCTTTGAAAAAATATTCTTTAAAAAAGCCAAGTTTATGGAAGTCTTTGAAAAATTATTCTTTAAAAAATCCACGTTTCTAGAATTCCTTGAAAAAATATTTTTTATAAAATCCACGTTTCTAGAAGTCCTTGAAAAAATATTTTGTTTTAAAATCCACGTTTCTAGAAGTCTTTGAAAAAATATTTTTAAAAAAATCAACGTTTCTAGAAGACCTTGAAAAAATATTTTTTGAAAAATCCACGTCTATGGCAGTCCTTGAAAAAATATTTTTTAAAAAATCCACGTTTATGGAAGTCCTTGAAAAAATATTCTTTAAAAAATCCACGTTTACGGAAGTCCTTGAAAAAAATATTTTTTTAAAAATCCACGTTAATGGAAGTCCTTGAAAAAATATTTTTTAAAAAATCCACGTTTCTGGAAGTCCTTGAAAAAATATTTTTTAAAATATCCACGTTAATGAAAGTCCTTGAAAAAAATATTATTTAAAAAATCCACGTTTCTGGAAGTCCTTGAAAAATCCACGTTTATGGAAATCCTTGAAAAAATATTCTTTAAAAAATCCACGTTTATGAAAGTTCTTGAAAAAATATTCTTTAAGAAATCCACGTTTATGAAAGTCCTAGAAAAAATATTCTTTAAAAAATTCACGTTTATCGAAGTCCTTGAAAAATATTTTTCCTTTGAACAAAATATCCCTTAAAAAATTTGTATTGAAAACAATTCTTATACTCACAAAAATCCCAAATATTCACACACCGTCCCATTGGTCTTCTTGCCATAGCCGGGGAAGCATTCACACTTATTCGGTCCCGAACAATAACCAAATCCACAGTCGGGAATACAGATCGGTTGACATCCAATTTTGGTCAATTGGTGATTAGGCGATCGCGAATAACCCTCAGCACATTCACACCTCTCCGGCTCCACACAAATCTCATTTCGACCACAACCCATTTTACAGATAGGGACACAATATTTCTTGGTGGGATCCAATTCATAGCCCGAATTACAGACACAAGTTCCATTCAGGTAGCATCGCCCGTTGGGACAGCCCAGCGGGCAGGTGGGTACACAGTCATTGCGATGATTCAGCACAAATTCATCGAAACACTGACACACACCGCCCTCCAAGCAGAATCCATTCTTCAAACATTTATTACCACAATCCGGCACACATTTGCTCCAGTCGAAGTCGTAACGCTTAAAGCCCGGACAGCAGACATCAATTTCGTTGTAATTCGGATTACCGGTACTGCTGTTGCCTCGGATGGGTACATCTTTTTCGTATTGGAAAAATATGGCCCTGGAAAATTGAAAATATGAATTCTCTCTCTTACTCTCTCTCTCTCTTATTCTCTCTCTCCCTCTTCTCTCTCGAAGTATTTCCACTTACGGTACTTCTTTTTTACACTTGGACGGATTCATGTCCTTACGGGGCAATGACAGACCCGGTGATCTTACAAACGGCTGTTTTGTTGTCGTTGTTGTGGTGAACCGCACATTTTCCATTTGTATACAATTGAAAATGCTGGCGCAGAGGAAAACTAGCGATAAGACTATCTTCACCAATGTTGATGAACTGATGTCGAAAGGTCGTCTATTTGTCATGATGTTGAGATTTTTTTAGAGGCAGAACTCCGCTCCGTTTTATGTCTTAATTGGGTAAGGTCCAGAGCATAACTGAAGATAATCGATTTGAGTTTTTGGTTTCAAAGAGAAGATTTTCAAATGAAATACCATCAATTTTTAAATACTGATAACATAGATTATGGGGTAGAGTGGGAGAATATTATCTCCCAATGCCCTACACGAAATTGGAAAGGCAAGGTCGGCGATGGCATCTTTAGGAGACCAGAGGAGGCCAGAAACGTGGATTTTTTAAAGAATATTTTCTTAGAGACTTCCATAAACGTGGATTTTTTAAAGAATATTTCCTTAGAGACTTCCATAAACGTGGATTTTTTAAAGAATATTTTTTCAAGGACTTCGATAGACGTGGATTTTTTTAAAGAATTTTTTCTCAAGGACTGTCAAAAAACGTGGATTTTTTTAAAGAATATTTTTTCAAGGACTTCCATAAACCTGGATTTTTTTAAAAGAGTATTTTTTCAAGGACTTCCATAAACGTGGATTTTTTAAAGAATATTTTTTCAAGGACTTCAATAGACGTGGATATTTTAAAGAATATTTTTTCAATGACTTCCATAAACGTGGATTTTTTAAAGAACATTTTTTCAATGACTTCCATAAACGTGGATTTTTTAAAGAATATTTTTTCAATGACTTCCATAAACGTGGATTTTTTAAAGAATATTTTTTTAATGACTTCCATAAACGTGGATTTTTTTATAGAATATTTTTTCAATGACTTCCATAAACGTGGATTTTTTAAAGAATATTTTCTCAATGACTTCCATAAACGTGGATTTTTTAAAGAATATTTTTTTCAGGACTTTCATAAACGTGGATTTTTTAAAACATATTTTTTCAAGGACTTCAATAGACGTGGATTTTTTTAAAGAATATTTTTTTAAGGACTTCAATAAACGTGGATTTATTAAAAAATAGTTTTTCAAGGACATTCATTAACGTCGATTTTTTAACGAATATTTTTCAAGGACTTTCATAAACGTGTATTTTTTAAAAAATATCTTTTCAAGGACTTCCATAAACGTGGATTATTTAAAGAATATTTTTTCAAGGACTCCCGTAAACGTGGATTTTTAAGGAATATTTTTTCATGGACTCCCGTAAACGTGGATTTTTTAAAGAATATTTTTTCAAGGCTCCCGTAAACGTGGATTTTTTAAAGAATATTTTTTCAATGACTTCCATAAACGTGGATTTTTTAAAGAATATTTTTTCAATGGATTTTTTAAAGAATATTTTTTCAATGACTTCCATAAACGTGGATTTTTTAAAGAATATTTTTTCAATGACTTCCATAAACGTGGATTTTTTAAAGAATATTTTTTCAATGACTTCCATAAACGTGGATTTTTTAAAGAATATTTTTTCAATGACTTCCATAAACGTGGATTTTTTAAAGAATATTTTTTCAATGACTTCCATAAACGTGGATTTTTAAAGAATATTTTTTCAATGACTTCCATAAACGTGGATTTTTTAAAGAATATTTTTTCAATGACTTCCATAAACGTGGATTTTTTAAAGAATATTTTTTCAATGACTTCCATAAACGTGGATTTTTTAAAGAATATTTTTTCAATGACTTCCATAAACGTGGATTTTTTAAAGAATATTTTTTCAATGACTTCCATAAACGTGGATTTTTTTATCGAATATTTTTTCAATGACTTCCATAAACGTGGATTTTTTAAAGAATATTTTTTTAATGACTTCCATAAACGTGGATTTTTTTATAGAATATTTTTTCAATGACTTCCATAAACGTGGATTTTTTTATAGAATATTTTTTCAATGACTTCCATAAACGTGGATTTTTTAAAGAATATTTTTTCAATGACTTCCATAAACGTGGATTTTTTTATAGAATATTTTTTCAATGACTTCCATAAACGTGGGTTTTTTAAAGAATATTTTTTTAATGACTTCCATAAACGTGGATTTTTTTATAGAATATTTTTTCAATGACTTCCATAAACGTGGATTTTTTAAAGAATATTTTTTCAATGACTTCCATAAACGTGGATTTTTTAAAGAATATTTTTTCAATGACTTCCATAAACGTGGATTTTTTAAAGAATATTTTTTCAAGGACTTCGATAGACGTGGATTTTTTTTAAATATTTTTTCAAGGACTTCGATTGACGTGGATTTTTTTAAAGAATATTTATTTCATGGACATCAGTAAGCGTGGACTTTTTAAATAATATTTTTTCAAGGACTTCGATTGACGTGGATTTTTTTAAAGAATATCTTTCAGGGACTTCTAAGGATTTTTTAAAGAATATTTTTTCAAGGACTTCCATAAACGTGTATTTTTTAAAGAATTTTTTTTCAAGGACTTCCATAAATCTGGATTTTTTAAATAATATTTTTTCAAGGACTTCCATAAACGTGGATTTTTTAAAAAATATATTTTCATGGCCTTCCATGAATGTGGCTTTTTTAAAAATTATATATTTACATGGTCTTCCATAAACGTGAATTTTTTAAAAAATATATTTTCATGGTCTTCCATAAACGTGGATTTTTTACAGAATATTTTTTCAAGGACTTCAATAGACGTGGATATTGTAAAGAATATTTTTTCAAGGACTTCCATAAACGTGGATTTTTTAAAGATTATTTTTTCAAAGACTTTTAATTAACGTGGATTTTTTAAAGAATATTTTTTCAAGGACTTTGATAGACGTAGATATTGTAAAGAATATTTTTTCAAGGACTTCCATAAATGTGGATTTTTTAAAGAATATTTTTTCAAGGACTTCCATAGACCTGGGTTTTTTAAAAAAATATATTTTCATGGTCTTCCATAAACGTGGATTTTTTAAAAAAATATATATTTTCATGGTCTTTCATAAAAGTGGATTTTTTAAAAAATATATTTTCATGGTCTTCCATAAACGTGGATTTTTTAAAAAAATATATTTTCATGGTCTTCCATAAACTTGGATTTTTAAAGAATATTTTTCAACGATCTATAGAGGCAAAAACGTGGATTTTTTTAAAGATTATTTTTCAAGGATCTACAGAGGCAAAAAACGTGGATTTTTTTAAAGATTATTTTTCAAGGATCTACAGAGGCACATTGAAAATAATGTTCGCTGCCATTCGCTATTTCAAATGTAATTATGAATGAAATCCAGCGTTTTTCATTATCAGTAAGTCTTACAGACATTTGAAAAAAAAAACTGCATTTAAAGGTCAAGATTAGAAAGCAAATAGAGATTAGAAATTTTGCAGTTTTTTCTCAATTCATCAGTTTACAAATCAGTTTATTTGCAGCGATCCAACGCTCAGCTCCGTCGTAGTGAAATGCAAAATTGCAAACTAGTTTACTTTTTCATATGTTTCCATATCGCTTTCGCAGATCGTTTATACAGTGATTACATCGATGACATTGATCAGGACGAAATTCGTATAAACCCCTCGGATGAAAAATGGCAACATCCAAATTTCCATCCGCCCATGAGAAAGAAGCCGACGAAGAAACCAAAACATATTGTGGCAACCACAGAGGGTATGTGTGTACGTAACTATCATAAGCGGAAGGCTGCGGAGGAGCGTGAAAATCCCCAAAAGGAATATAAGCCAAGTGGTAATCGTTGGCATGGTTCGGTGATCTATGCCAGCGATCGTTTCAAACACAACAAACACAGTGGGAGGAGTACGAAAGTGAGGGATATAACACCGGTGGAAAGGAATCAACACAAATGCTATAAGTGGATAAGGTAGGTTGTCAGGAGTTATGAGGTTTTTCAGGGACTCACGATGCTACAATCATGGACTTTTAGAGAATTATTTTTTCAAGGACTTCCATAAACCTGGATTTATTAAAGAATATTTTTTCAAGGACTTCCATAAAAGTGGATTTATTAAAGAATATTTTTTCAAGGACTAAATAATATTTTTTCAAGGACTTCCATAAACGTGGATTTATTAAAGAATAGTTTTTCAAGGACTTCCATAAACGTGGATTTATTAAAGAATATTTTTTCAAGGACTTCCATAAACGTGGATTTTTTAAAGAATATTTCTTCAAGGACTTCCATAAACGTGGATTTTTTAAAGAATATTTTTTCAAGGACTTCCATAAACGTGGATTTTTAAAGAATATTTTTTCAAGGACTTCCATAAACGTGGATTTTTTAAAGAATATTTTTTCAAGGACTTCCATAAACGTGGATTTTTTAAAGAATATTTTTTCAAGGACTTCCATCAACGTGGATTTTTTAAAGAATATTTTTTCAAGGACTTCCATAAACGTGGATTTTTTAAAGAATATTTTTTCAAGGACTTCCATAAACGTGGATTTTTTAAAGAATATTTTTTCAAGGACTTCCATAAACGTGGATTTTTTAAAGAATATTTTTTCAATGACTTCCATAAACGTGGATTTTTTTATCGAATATTTTTTCAAGGACTTCCGTAAACGTGGATTTTTTACAGAATATTTTTTCAAGGACTTCCATAAACGTGGATTTTTTAAAGAATATTTTTTCAAGGACTTCCATAAACGTGGATTTTTTAAAGAATATTTTTTCAAGGACTTCCGAGGCTACAAACTTGGATTTTTAAAGAATATTTTTCAAGGACTTTTGAAGCTACAAAGGTGGATTTTTAAAGAATATTTTTCAAGGACTTCGGAAGCTATAAACGTGTTTTTTTAAAGAATGTTTTTTCAAGGACTTTCGATGCTACAAACCTTGATTTTTAAAAGATATTTTTTCAAGGACTGCCGAGGCTAGAATAGTGGATATTTAAAGAATATTCTTTTAAGGACTTCTGAAGCTACAGACGTGGATTTTTAAGGAATTTTCTTTCAAGGACCAAAAGAGTGGATTTTTTAAAGAATATTTTTAAAAGTCCTTGAAGACCATATGCGTGGATTTTTTAAAGAATATTTTTAAAGGTCCTTGAAGGCCATATGCGTGGATTTTTTAAAGAATATTTTTAAAGGTCCTTGAAGGCCATATGCGTGGATTTTCTAAAGAATATTTTAAAGGTCCTTGAAGGCCATATGCGTGGATTTTTTAAAGAATATTTTAAAGGTCTTTGAAGGTCATATGCGTGGATTTTTTACAGAATATTTTAAAGGTCCTTGAAGGCCATATGCGTGGATTTTTTTAAAGAATATTTTTAAAGGTCCTTGAAGGCTATATGCGTGGATTTTTTAAAGGTCATTCGAAGTTATAAGCGTGGATTTTTTCAAATAATATTAGTACAGGTCCTTCAAGGCTATAGGCTTGGATTTTTTTAAAGAAAATCAGACTCAAGTAGGGCTAAAAGTCTTCGACCTTCCCATCTAATTTTTTGGGGCTCGAACAAACTGTGAGTTTTAAAAACAAACTCTCTCTAATTCCCAGATCTTCAGGAGATGATAACAGCGCACAAAAAATTAATATTGGGGGGTCAAGAGCAGACATCAAATTTTGACAATAGAAATAACAACAAAATTCGAAACGTTTGAAAAAATAAACAAACATGTGTTGTTTGCCAAAACAGCAATTCACAGACAGAATCATTAGTCTTACCCTCACAACTCGAAACTAGCGGACTATTCACCATTAAACGTCATTTTTTGAGAAATGCAAATTATTTCCTGGTTAATTTTTTTCGCGCATTTTCAATGGTCAATCCCTGAACATTTGTATACGGGTTATATAGACGACATACCAGCCCACCCTCAAAAGGGAATTCTCTACAAGCCATCGTTGTCATCCGCCATTTTGACCGCACCGACGCCAATTGAAAAACGCCATCCAAATTTCCAAGGTGGTGCCACCGGGAGAAAACCCACAATAAAACCTAAACCATTTTTACTGGAGGCCACCGAAAGTTCGTGTGTAAAAAATGCCCGTAAGAAACAGGAAGAAGACGACTCGGATAATTCCAATGGCAATAGTCGACCCAGTGGAAATCGTTGGCACGGCCCCATCACCTATGGCCGGGAGCAATTTCAACATCAGAAACCCAATAGAAGGGCAACAAAGTATAAGGACATAACTCCGGTGGAGAGAAAGTTGCATAAGTGTTATAAGTGGATAAGGTATAAAAATAACTTAAACACAAAAAAAAAAAAAAAAAAAAAAAAAAAAAAAAAAAAAAAAACATTAAAAGTGTAAGGAAATAAGTTTTTGTGAACCTGTAAGTTCTGGAAAAAAATTATTATATTATCTTATAGCCTTGAAGGACCTTAAAAAATAATATTTTAAAAATCCACGCTTATAGCCGTGAAAGTCCGTTAAAAATAATAAATAAAGGCCTTAGCCTCAAAAATATTATTTAAAAAATGCACGCTTAAAGCCTGGAAGGATCATAAAAAATATACTTTAAAAAATCCACGCTTAAAGCCTGGAAGGACCATAAAAAATATACTTTAAAAAATCCACGCTTAAAGCCTGGAAGAACCTTAAAAAATATACCTTAAAAAATGCACTCTTAAAGCCTGGAAGGACCATAAAAAATATACTTTAAAAAATCCACGCTTAAAGCCTTGAAGGACCTTAAAAAATAATATTTAAAAAATCCACGCTTAAAGCCTTGAAGGACCTTAAAAAATAATATTTAAAAAATCCACGCTTAAAGCCTTGAAGGACCTTAAAAAATAATATTTAAAAAATCCACGCTTAAAGCCTTGAAGGACCTTAAAAAATAATATTTAAAAAATCCACGCTTAAAGCCTTGAAGGACCTTAAAAAATAATATTTAAAAAATCCACGCTTAAAGCCTTGAAGGACCTTAAAAAATAATATTTAAAAAATCCACGCTTTGGCCTTGAAGGACCCTTAAAAATATTCTTTAAAAAATCCACGCTTTGGCCTTGAAGGACCCTTAAAAATATTCTTTAAAAAATCCACGCTTTGGCCTTGAAGGACCCTTAAAAATATTCTTTAAAAAATCCACGCTTTGGCCTTGAAGGACCCTTAAAAATATTCTTTAAAAAATCCACGCTTTGGCCTTGAAGGACCCTTAAAAATATTCTTTAAAAAATCCACGCTTTGGCCTTGAAGGACCCTTAAAAATATTCTTTAAAAAATCCACGCTTAGGCCTTGAAGGACCCTTAAAAATATTCTTTAAACAATCCACGCTTTGGCCTTGAAGGACCCTTAAAAATATTCTTTAAAAAATCCACGCTTTGGCCTTGAAGGACCCTTAAAAATATTCTTTAAAAAATCGACGCTTTGGCCTTGAAGGACCCTTAAAAATATTCTTTAAAAAATCCACGCTTTGGCCTTGAAGGACCCTTAAAAATATTCTTTAAAAAATCCACGCTTTGGCCTTGAAGGACCCTTAAAAATATTATTTAAAAAATCCACGCTTTGGCCTTGAAGGACCCTTAAAAATATTCTTTAAAAAATCCACGCTTTGGCCTTGAAGGACCCTTAAAAATATTATTTAAAAAATCCACGATTAAAGCCTAGAAGGACCTTCAAAAATATTCTTAAAAAAATCCACGCTTAAAGCCTGGAAGGACCTTAAAAATTATACTTTAAAAAATCCACGCTTAAAGCCTGGAAGGACCTTAAAAATTATACTTTAAAAAATCCACGCTTAAAGCCTGGAAGGACCTTCAAAAATATACTTTAAAACGTCCACGCTTCAAGCCTTGAAGGACCTTCAAAAATATACTTTAAAAATTCCACGCTTAGAGCCTTGAAGGACCTTAAAAAATATTCTTTAAAAATCCACGCTTATTGCCTCGAAAGGCCACAATTGAAACTATTATTCAAAAAATTCACGCATATAGCCTGGAAGGTACTTTAGAATTATATTTAAAGAAACCTCAATTATATCCTTGAAGGACCTTTAAAATATTATTTAAGAAATCTAGGCTTATAGCCCCGAAGGACCTTTTAAATATTATTTAAAAAATCCACGCTTAAAGCCTTGAAGGACCTTCAAAAATATATTTTAAAAAATCCACGCTCAAAGCCTTGAAGGACCTCCAAAAATATACTTTAAAAAATCCACACTTAAAGCCTTGAAGGACCTTCAAAAATATACTTTAAAAAATCCACGCTTAAAACCTTGAAGGACCTTAAAAAATATACTTTAAAAAATCCACTCTTTTAGCCTTGAAAGACCTTAAAAAATATTATTTAAAAAATCCACGCTTATAGCCTTGAAAGGCCTTAAAAAATATTATTAAAAAAATCTACGTTAATAGCCTTGAAGTACCTCAAAAAATATTATTAAAAAATCTACGTTAATAGCCTTGAAGGACATTAAACGTATTCTTTAAAAAATCCACGTTTTTGGTCCCAGCGGTCCTTGAGAATTTTTTTTTTAAAAATCCACGTTTTTGGTCCCAGCGGTCCTTGAGAATTTTTTTTTTAAAAATCCACGTTTTTGGTCCTAGAGGTCCTTGAGAACTTTTTAAAAAAAAATCCACGTTTTTATTCCTATATGTCTTTAAAAAGTATTATTAAAAAAAATCAACGTTTGTGGCATTAGATGTCCTTAAAAAGTATTCTTTAAAAAATCCACGTTTGTGCATTTGGAAGTCCTTGAAAAATATTCTTTAAAAAATCCACGTTTGTGCCTTTGGAAGTCCTTGAAAAATATTCTATAAAAATTCAACGTTTGTGCCTTTGGAAGTCTTTGAAAAATATTCATTAAAAAACCCACTTTGTGCCTTTGGAAATCCTTGAAAAATATTCTTTAAAAAATCCAAGTTTGTGCCTTTGGAAGTCCTTGAAAAATATTCTTTAAAAAATCCACGTTTATGACTTTGGAAGTCCTTGAAAAATATTCTTTAAAAAATCCACGTTTGTAGCTTCGGAAGTCCTTGAAAACTTTTCTTTAAAAAATCTACGTTTGTAGCTTCGGAAGCCCTTGAAAACTTTTCTTTGAAAAACCTACGTTTGTAGCTTCGGAAGTCCTTGAAAACTTTCCTTTAAAAAATTCAGGTTTGTAGCTTCGAAAGTCCTTGAAAATATTCTACAAAAAACCACATTTGTAGCTTCGAAAGTCCTTGAAAAATATTATTTTAGAAATCCACATTTGTAGCTTCGGAAGTCCTTGAAGAATATTCTTTAAAAAACCACATTTGTGGCTTCGGAAGTCCTTGAAAAATATTATTTTAGAAATCCACATTTGTAGCTTCGGAAGTCCTTGAAAAATATTTTTTAAAAAATCTACTTTTGTACTTAAAGAAATTCAAGTTTGTGGCCTTCGAAGTCCCTAAAAGATATTCTTTTAAAAATTAAGGTTTTTGGAAGTCCTTCAATAAAATGTATTCTTCAAAAAATCCACGTTTGTAGAAGTCCCCGAAAAAATATTTGTTAAAAAATCAACTTTTGCGGAAGTCTTTGAATAATTTTTTTTGCTATAAAAGAATCCACGTTGGTGGATGTCCTTAAAAATATTCTTTAAAAAATTTACGTTTGTGGAAGTCTTTGAAAAATTCCAAGTTTTAATATTTAATCCTTCCCTCTCCCTTTCAGATCCGAGGACATCAAACGCTACGAATGGCCAGCGGTAATAAAGAAAAACGAACTCTACAATACTGTCCTCATTGAGATTTGCTGCCCGCATTTTGGACCCGTTCGGCTGATGGGCAATACCTTGTGTCAGCCCTACTGTCAGTCGTGTCACAATGGCAAATGCATTGCCCCCGAAGTGTGTCAATGCTACGATGGTTATGTGTTAAGTGATAATAAGGATTGCGTCTTCACATGTCCCATATCCTGCCTGAATGGCAGGTGTAATTTGCTGAGAGGTGGCTGTCTGTGTAATTCCGGTTATAAACTTGATGAGACGGGGCAATTTTGTCGACCCATATGCCGGGCGGGATGTGGCATCAATCCACTGCATAATTGTACGGCACCAGATGTATGCGGGTGTGTTAAAGGGTTCTCATTGACCGATAATGATTGTCAGCCCATAGTTGGTCAGGGGACATGGGGAAGGAGGTATTAGTTAAGATTGATATGCGTCATATAATTATTGTTAAAAATTAGGTTTTAAGATTTTTTTGTAATAAAAATTTTTTAAAATATTATAGCCTTGATATTTCTTTGAAAAATAGTTTTTAAAAAATCCACGCCTTGGTATTTCTTATAAATAATTTTTGAAAACTCCATGCCTTGATATTTCTTTGAAAAATAATTTTTGAAAACCCCAATCCTTGTTATTTTTGGGAGAAAAAAATTTTTTAAAACCCCAACCCTTGCTATTTTTGGAAAAAAAAATTTTTGAAAAATCCAGGCCTTGTTATTGTTGGAAGAAATAATTTTTGAAAAATCCAGGCCTTGTTATTTTTGGAAAAAATAATTTTTGAAAAATCCAGGCCTTGTTATTTTTGGAAAAAATAATTTTTGAAAAATCCAGGCCTTGTTATTTTTGGAAAAAATAATTTTTGAATAATCCAGGCCTTGTTATTTTTGGAAAAAATAATTTTTAAAAAATCCAAGCCTTATTATTTGTTGGAAATATAATTTTTAAAAAATCCACGCCTTATTATTGGTTGGAAATATAATTTTTAAAAAATCCACGCCTTAATATATGTTGGAAAAATAATTTTTAAAAAAAATCCACGCCTAGTTATTTGTTGGAAAAATAATTTTTAAAAAATCCACGCCTAGGTATTTGTGAGAAAAATAATTTTTAAAAAATCCACGTCTTGTTATTTATGGGAAAAATAATTTTTGAAAACCCCATGCCTTGTCATTTTTGGGAGAAATAATTTTTGACAAATCCACACCTTAGTATTTGAAGGAAAAATAATTTTTGACAAATCCACACCTTAGTATTTGAGGGAAAAATGATTTTTAAAGAATCCAGGCCTTGCTATTTTTGGGAAAAATAATTTTTAAAAAATCCACGCCTTGATATTTCTTAGAAAAATAATTTTTAAAAAATCCCAGTCTTGATATTTCTTAGAAAAATAATTTTTAAAAAATCTGAGGAAAATAATTTTTTAAAAATCCACGCCTTGATATTTCTTAAAAAACTAATTTTTAATATTTAATAACTTTAATATTTGTTGGAAAAATAATTTTTAAAAAATCCACGCTTTAATATTTGTTGGAAAAATAATTTTTAAAAAATCCACGCTTTAATATTTGTTGGAAAAATAATTTTTAAAAAATCCACGCTTTAATATTTGTTGGAAAAATAATTTTTAAAAAATCCACGCTTTAATATTTGTTGGAAAAATAATTTTTAAAAAATCCACGCTTTAATATTTGTTGGAAAAATAATTTTTAAAAAATCCACGCTTTAATATTTGTTGGAAAAATAATTTTTAAAAAATCCACGCTTTAATATTTGTTGGAAAAATAATTTTTAAAAAATCCAAGCTTTAATATTTGTTGGAAAAATAATTTTTAAAAAATCCACGCTTTAATAATTGTTGGAAAAATAATTTTTAAAAAATCCACGCTTTAATATTTGTGGGAAAAATAATTTTTAAAAAATCAACGCTTTGTTATTTGTGGAAAAAATAATTTTTAAAAAATCCACGCCTTGTTATTTGTGGGAAAAATAATTTTTAAAAAATCCACGCCTTGTTATTTGTGGGAAAAATAATTTTTAAAAAATCCACGCCTTGTTATTTGTGGGAAAAATAATTTTTAAAAAATCCACGCCTTGTTATTTGTGGGAAAAATAATTTTTAAAAAATCCACGCCTTGTTATTTGTGGGAAAAATAATTTTTAAAAAATCCACGCCTTGTTATTTGTGGGAAAAATAATTTTTAAAAAATCCACGCCTTGTTATTTGTGGGAAAAATAATTTTTAAAAAATCCACGCCTTGTTATTTGTGGGAAAAATAATTTTTAAAAAATCCACGCCTTGTTATTTGTGGGAAAAATAATTTTTAAAAAATCCACGCCTTGTTATTTGTGGGAAAAATAATTTTTAAAAAATCCACGCCTTGTTATTTGTGGGAAAAATAATTTTTAAAAAATCCACGCCTTGTTATTTGTGGGAAAAATAATTTTTAAAAAATCCACGCCTTGTTATTTGTGGGAAAAATAATTTTTAAAAAATCCACGCCTTGTTATTTGTGGGAAAAATAATTTTTAAAAAATCCACGCCTTGTTATTTGTGGGAAAAATAATTTTTAAAAAATCCACGCCTTGTTATTTGTGGGAAAAATAATTTTTAAAAAATCCACGCCTTGTTATTTGTGGGAAAAATAATTTTTAAAAAATCAACGCCTTGTTATTTGTGGGAAAAATAATTTTTAAAAAATCCACGCCTTGTTATTTGTGGGAAAAATAATTTTTAAAAAATCCACGCCTTGTTATTTCTGGGAAAAATATTTCTTAAAAATCCACTTTTTGATATTTCTGGAAAAAATAATTTTTAAAAAATAGACGCCTTGTTATTTTTGGAAAAAAATAACTTTTCAAAGCTTCACGCCTTGTTATTTAAAAAAAAATATTTTTTAAAAAATAATATATTTCCTTGTTTTTTATTTCCACTAAATTTGAAGTTCTTAAAAAATTTTACCTAAACTACGAAATTCATAATTATGTCCCACTTCTGTGAAACATATCTCTGCAGAATCACTTTTTCTTTTCACTGGGGTATACAATTTTTTGTACGTTCGTGATACACAAAGCCAGGCTTACAGATACATCTATTGCGGTTGTAACAAATGCCATTGGCACATGACCTTGAAAAAAGAAAAGCGACATTTTAAATTAAAAATAAAGGTAAAATTTTTCACCACTTACTGATAACAATCCGATTGGCAAACCCCATCCTGCAGCCTATAGCCGGGATTGCACACACACATGCGTGTTACACCAAAAGCCTGGCACTCACCGCCCGGCCCGCATTCGGGCTCACACACCGGCTTACAACCACCATCTGTCAGCGTGAAGCCCTCAATACAGCCACACACCTCAGGAGCGGTACAATTGTGTAATGGGTCTGTACCGCAGCCTTTGCTACAAATTGGACGGCAATAAACACGTGTTTCGTCCAGCTTATAACCTGGTTCACATTCACAACTGCCATCTAAATAGCACCGGCCATTCAGACATCCCAAAGGGCAAATGAAAACACAATCTCCGCTGTCGTTGCGCACATATTCGTCATAGCACTCACACACGTTGGGCGCCACACATTGGCCATTGCGACATTTCTCACAGACGGGAATGCAACGGCGTTCTCCTCGCCAACGTAGCAGGCCATAGCCGGGGCAGCAAACCTTAATGGGTGTAACACGTTGGGACTTGTCTTCGGTCATTTTAATGACCCAGGAATACTTGTCCACAGCTTCGGTCCTGGAAAATGAATTTCATTTTTATTTTTGAAACAAATCCCATTTCTCATACTTACGGTACATATATCAACTGCATATGATCCCCGTGGGTGCCACACTCCTCCTTGGTCAGTGGCGGGTCAATTGGACTACCATCCCGCCATTGATTCTCATTGGGTACCATATACAAAGCCCTTCTCTCCAATCTTTCAAACTTATAGGAGTCTTGATCGTCCAGGTCTTCATCTTCATGATAATCATTTTCTATATGTGAATTATATGCCGCGAATTCCGTCTCATCCATCATAGATGAAACGTTGTAAATTTTTTGCAGAAGCAGGAGGTAGGAAATTGCGATTACAATTTTTTGTACTTCAATCATTTTTCAATTTTGATTTTCAGAATTTCGTACAATAACCCTTGCCTCTTTTCGTTTATATGGCTAAATTAAAACTAAAGCTAAGACAATTTTTTCGCATAGCATTTAGAATGAGAGATACAGCTGAAGCTCTCTTCAACAGAAGAAAAAAATCTGTCCAGAAAATGATAAGATTCCATTGTTTTGATTAGAGTTGTTGGTGGTTTTGTGTTGTTTTCAAGATTTTGTTTTGAGTCAGAATTCAGCATTCACATTGACTTTTTTTGGAACAAAAGGGAATGGAAAATTCTTTTGGCTTTGATGCTATAATAACAAGGCGATGCCTTAGAACTGTATTTCTTTAAAAAAAAATTAAAAAAAATTCCACTTCTTTACATTTTCTTAAAAAATAATTTTTGATATTTCTTGATTGAACTTGATATTTCTAAGAAAAATAATTTCTAAAAAATTTATACCTTGATATTTCTAAGAAAAATAATTTTTAAAAAATCCATACCTTGATATTTCTAAGAAAAATAATTTTTAAAAGATCCATGCCATGATATTTCTTAGAAAAATAATTTTTAAAAAATCCACGCCTTGATATTTCTTAGAAAAATAATTTTTAAAAAATCCACGCCTTAATATGTTTAAGAAAAAATAATTTTTAAAAAATCCACGCCTTGATATGTCTAATGTTATTTGTGGGAAAAATAATTTTTAAAAAATCCACGCCTTGATATGTCTAATGTTATTTGTGGGAAAAATAATTTTTAAAAAATCCACGCCTTGATATGTCTAATGTTATTTGTGGGAAAAATAATTTTTAAAAAATCCACGCCTTGATATGTCTAATGTTATTTGTGGGAAAAATAATTTTTAAAAAATCCACGCCTTGATATGTCTAATGTTATTTGTGGGAAAAATAATTTTTAAAAAATCCACGCCTTGATATGTCTAATGTTATTTGTGGGAAAAATAATTTTTAAAAAATCCACGCCTTGATATGTCTAATGTTATTTGTGGGAAAAATAATTTTTAAAAAATCCACGCCTTGATATGTCTAATGTTATTTGTGGGAAAAATAATTTTTAAAAAATCCACGCCTTGATATGTCTAATGTTATTTGTGGGAAAAATAATTTTTAAAAAATCCACGCCTTGATATGTCTAATGTTATTTGTGGGAAAAATAATTTTTAAAAAATCCACGCCTTGATATGTCTAATGTTATTTGTGGGAAAAATAATTTTTAAAAAATCCACGCCTTGATATGTCTAATGTTATTTGTGGGAAAAATAATTTTTAAAAAATCCACGCCTTGATATGTCTAATGTTATTTGTGGGAAAAATAATTTTTAAAAAATCCACGCCTTGATATGTCTAATGTTATTTGTGGGAAAAATAATTTTTAAAAAATCCACGCCTTGATATGTCTAATGTTATTTGTGGGAAAAATAATTTTTAAAAAATCCACGCCTTGATATGTCTAATGTTATTTGTGGGAAAAATAATTTTTAAAAAATCCACGCCTTGATATGTCTAATGTTATTTGTGGGAAAAATAATTTTTAAAAATTCCACGCCTTGATATGTCTAATGTTATTTGTGGGAAAAATAATTTTTAAAAAATCCACGCCTTGATATGTCTAATGTTATTTGTGGGAAAAATAATTTTTAAAAAATCCACGCCTTGATATGTCTAATGTTATTTGTGGGAAAAATAATTTTTAAAAAATCCACGCCTTGATATGTCTAATGTTATTTGTGGGAAAAATAATTTTTAAAAAATCCACGCCTTGATATGTCTAATGTTATTTGTGGGAAAAATAATTTTTAAAAAATCCACGCCTTGATATGTCTAATGTTATTTGTGGGAAAAATAATTTTTAAAAAATCCACGCCTTGATATGTCTAATGTTATTTGTGGGAAAAATAATTTTTAAAAAATCCACGCCTTGATATGTCTAATGTTATTTGTGGGAAAAATAATTTTTAAAAAATCCACGCCTTGATATGTCTAATGTTATTTGTGGGAAAAATAATTTTTAAAAAATCCACGCCTTGATATGTCTAATGTTATTTGTGGGAAAAATAATTTTTAAAAAATCCACGCCTTGATATGTCTAATGTTATTTGTGGGAAAAATAATTTTTAAAAAATCCACGCCTTGATATGTCTAATGTTATTTGTGGGAAAAATAATTTTTAAAAAATCCACGCCTTGATATGTCTAATGTTATTTGTGGGAAAAATAATTTTTAAAAAATCCACGCCTTGATATGTCTAATGTTATTTGTGGGAAAAATAATTTTTAAAAAATCCACGCCTTGATATGTCTAATGTTATTTGTGGGAAAAATAATTTTTAAAAAATCCACGCCTTGATATGTCTAATGTTATTTGTGGGAAAAATAATTTTTAAAAAATCCACGCCTTGATATGTCTAATGTTATTTGTGTGAAAAATAATTTTTAAAAAAATCCACGCCTTGTTATTTATGGAAAAAATAATTTTTTAAAAATCCACGCCTTGTTATTTGTGAGAAAAATAATTTTTAAAAAATCCACGCCTTGTTATTTGTGAGAAAAATAATTTTTAAAAAATCCACGCCTTGTTATTTGTGAGAAAAATAATTTTTAAAAAATCCACGCCTTGATATGTCTAATGTTATTTGTGGGAAAAATAATTTTTAAAAAATCCACGCCTTGATATGTCTAATGTTATTTGTGGGAAAAATAATTTTTAAAAAATCCACGCCTTGATATGTCTAATGTTATTTGTGGGAAAAATAATTTTTAAAAAATCCACGCCTTGATATGTCTAATGTTATTTGTGTGAAAAATAATTTTTAAAAAAATCCACGCCTTGTTATTTATGGAAAAAATAATTTTTTAAAAATCCACGCCTTGTTATTTGTGAGAAAAATAATTTTTAAAAAATCCACGCCTTGTTATTTGTGGGAAAAATAATTTTTAAAAAATCCACGCCTTGATATGTCTAATGTTATTTGTGGGAAAAATAATTTTTAAAAAATCCACGCCTTGATATGTCTAATGTTATTTGTGGGAAAAATAATTTTTAAAAAATCCACGCCTTGATATGTCTAATGTTATTTGTGGGAAAAATAATTTTTAAAAAATCCACGCCTTGATATGTCTAATGTTATTTGTGGGAATAATAATTTTTAAAAAATCCACGCCTTGATATGTCTAATGTTATTTGTGGGAAAAATAATTTTTAAAAAATCCACGCCTTGATATGTCTAATGTTATTTGTGGGAAAAATAATTTTTAAAAAATCCACGCCTTGATATGTCTAATGTTATTTGTGGGAAAAATAATTTTTAAAAAATCCACGCCTTGATATGTCTAATGTTATTTGTGGGAAAAATAATTTTTAAAAAATCCACGCCTTGATATGTCTAATGTTATTTGTGGGAAAAATAATTTTTAAAAAATCCACGCCTTGATATGTCTAATGTTATTTGTGGGAAAAATAATTTTTAAAAAATCCACGCCTTGATATGTCTAATGTTATTTGTGGGAAAAATAATTTTTAAAAAATCCACGCCTTGATATGTCTAATGTTATTTGTGGGAAAAATAATTTTTAAAAAATCCACGCCTTGATATGTCTAATGTTATTTGTGGGAAAAATAATTTTTAAAAAATCCACGCCTTGATATGTCTAATGTTATTTGTGGGAAAAATAATTTTTAAAAAATCCACGCCTTGATATGTCTAATGTTATTTGTGGGAAAAATAATTTTTAAAAAATCCACGCCTTGATATGTCTAATGTTATTTGTGGGAAAAATAATTTTTAAAAAATCCACGCCTTGATATGTCTAATGTTATTTGTGGGAAAAATAATTTTTAAAAAATCCACGCCTTGATATGTCTAATGTTATTTGTGGGAAAAATAATTTTTAAAAAATCCACGCCTTGGTATGTCTAATGTTATTTGTGGGAAAAATAATTTTTAAAAAATCCACGCCTTGATATGTCTAATGTTATTTGTGGGAAAAATAATTTTTAAAAAATCCACGCCTTGATATGTCTAATGTTATTTGTGGGAAAAATAATTTTTAAAAAATCCACGCCTTGATATGTCTAATGTTATTTGTGGGAAAAATAATTTTTAAAAAATCCACGCCTTGATATGTCTAATGTTATTTGTGGGAAAAATAATTTTTAAAAAATCCACGCCTTGATATGTCTAATGTTATTTGTGGGAAAAATAATTTTTAAAAAATCCACGCCTTGATATGTCTAATGTTATTTGTGGGAAAAATAATTTTTAAAAAATCCACGCCTTGGTATGTCTAATGTTATTTGTGGGAAAAATAATTTTTAAAAAATCCACGCCTTGATATGTCTAATGTTATTTGTGGGAAAAATAATTTTTAAAAAATCCACGCCTTGATATGTCTAATGTTATTTGTGGGAAAAATAATTTTTGAAAAATCCACGCCTTGATATGTCTAATGTTATTTGTGGGAAAAATAATTTTTGAAAAATCCACGCCTTGATATGTATAATGTTATTTGTGGGAAAAATAATTTTTAAAAAATCCACGCCTTGATATGTCTAATGTTATTTGTGGGAAAAATAATTTTTAAAAAATCCACGCCTTGATATGTCTAATGTTATTTGTGGGAAAAATAATTTTTAAAAAATCCACGCCTTGATATGTCTAATGTTATTTGTGGGAAAAATAATTTTTAAAAAATCCACGCCTTGATATGTCTAATGTTATTTGTGGGAAAAATAATTTTTAAAAAATCCACGCCTTGATATGTCTAATGTTATTTGTGGGAAAAATAATTTTTAAAAAATCCACGCCTTGATATGTCTAATGTTATTTGTGGGAAAAATAATTTTTAAAAAATCCACGCCTTGATATGTCTAATGTTATTTGTGGGAAAAATAATTTTTAAAAATCCACGCCTTGATATGTCTAATGTTATTTGTGGGAAAAATAATTTTTAAAAAATCCACGCCTTGATATGTCTAATGTTATTTGTGGGAAAAATAATTTTTAAAAAATCCACGCCTTGATATGTCTAATGTTATTTGTGGGAAAAATAATTTTTAAAAAATCCACGCCTTGATATGTCTAATGTTATTTGTGGGAAAAATAATTTTTAAAAAATCCACGCCTTGATATGTCTAATGTTATTTGTGGGAAAAATAATTTTTAAAAAATCCACGCCTTGATATGTCTAATGTTATTTGTGGGAAAAATAATTTTTAAAAAATCCACGCCTTGATATGTCTAATGTTATTTGTGGGAAAAATAATTTTTAAAAAATCCACGCCTTGATATGTCTAATGTTATTTGTGGGAAAAATAATTTTTAAAAAATCCACGCCTTGATATGTCTAATGTTATTTGTGGGAAAAATAATTTTTAAAAAATCCACGCCTTGATATGTCTAATGTTATTTGTGGGAAAAATAATTTTTAAAAAATCCACGCCTTGATATGTCTAATGTTATTTGTGGGAAAAATAATTTTTAAAAAATCCACGCCTTGATATGTCTAATGTTATTTGTGGGAAAAATAATTTTTAAAAAATCCACGCCTTGATATGTCTAATGTTATTTGTGGGAAAAATAATTTTTAAAAAATCCACGCCTTGATATGTCTAATGTTATTTGTGGGAAAAATAATTTTTAAAAAATCCACGCCTTGATATGTCTAATGTTATTTGTGGGAAAAATAATTTTTAAAAAATCCACGCCTTGATATGTCTAATGTTATTTGTGGGAAAAATAATTTTTAAAAAATCCACGCCTTGATATGTCTAATGTTATTTGTGGGAAAAATAATTTTTAAAAAATCCACGCCTTGATATGTCTAATGTTATTTGTGGGAAAAATAATTTTTAAAAAATCCACGCCTTGATATGTCTAATGTTATTTGTGGGAAAAATAATTTTTAAAAATCCACGCCTTGATATGTCTAATGTTATTTGTGGGAAAAATAATTTTTAAAAAATCCACGCCTTGATATGTCTAATGTTATTTGTGGGAAAAATAATTTTGAAAAATCCACGCCTTGATATGTCTAATGTTATTTGTGGGAAAAATAATTTTTGAAAAATCCACGCCTTGATATGTCTAATGTTATTTGTGGGAAAAATAATTTTTAAAAAATCCACGCCTTGATATGTCTAATGTTATTTGTGGGAAAAATAATTTTTAAAAAATCCACGCCTTGATATGTCTAATGTTATTTGTGGGAAAAATAATTTTTAAAAAATCCACGCCTTGATATGTCTAATGTTATTTGTGGGAAAAATAATTTTTAAAAAATCCACGCCTTGATATGTCTAATGTTATTTGTGGGAAAAATAATTTTTAAAAAATCCACGCCTTGATATGTCTAATGTTATTTGTGGGAAAAATAATTTTTAAAAAATCCACGCCTTGATATGTCTAATGTTATTTGTGGGAAAAATAATTTTTAAAAAATCCACGCCTTGATATGTCTAATGTTATTTGTGGGAAAAATAATTTTTAAAAAATCCACGCCTTGATATGTCTAATGTTATTTGTGGGAAAAATAATTTTTAAAAAATCCACGCCTTGATATGTCTAATGTTATTTGTGGGAAAAATAATTTTTAAAAAATCCACGCCTTGATATGTCTAATGTTATTTGTGGGAAAAATAATTTTTAAAAAATCCACGCCTTGATATGTCTAATGTTATTTGTGGGAAAAATAATTTTTAAAAAATCCACGCCTTGATATGTCTAATGTTATTTGTGGGAAAAATAATTTTTAAAAAATCCACGCCTTGATATGTCTAATGTTATTTGTGGGAAAAATAATTTTTAAAAAATCCACGCCTTGATATGTCTAATGTTATTTGTGGGAAAAATAATTTTTAAAAAATCCACGCCTTGATATGTCTAATGTTATTTGTGGGAAAAATAATTTTTAAAAAATCCACGCCTTGATATGTCTAATGTTATTTGTGGGAAAAATAATTTTTAAAAAATCCACGCCTTGATATGTCTAATGTTATTTGTGGGAAAAATAATTTTTAAAAAATCCACGCCTTGATATGTCTAATGTTATTTGTGGGAAAAATAATTTTTAAAAATCCACGCCTTGATATGTCTAATGTTATTTGTGGGAAAAATAATTTTTAAAAAATCCACGCCTTGATATGTCTAATGTTATTTGTGGGAAAAATAATTTTTAAAAAATCCACGCCTTGATATGTCTAATGTTATTTGTGGGAAAAATAATTTTTAAAAAATCCACGCCTTGATATGTCTAATGTTATTTGTGGGAAAAATAATTTTTAAAAAATCCACGCCTTGATATGTCTAATGTTATTTGTGGGAAAAATAATTTTTAAAAAATCCACGCCTTGATATGTCTAATGTTATTTGTGGGAAAAATAATTTTTAAAAAATCCACGCCTTGATATGTCTAATGTTATTTGTGGGAAAAATAATTTTTAAAAAATCCACGCCTTGATATGTCTAATGTTATTTGTGGGAAAAATAATTTTTAAAAAATCCACGCCTTGATATGTCTAATGTTATTTGTGGGAAAAATAATTTTTAAAAAATCCACGCCTTGATATGTCTAATGTTATTTGTGGGAAAAATAATTTTTAAAAAATCCACGCCTTGATATGTCTAATGTTATTTGTGGGAAAAATAATTTTTAAAAAATCCACGCCTTGATATGTCTAATGTTATTTGTGGGAAAAATAATTTTTAAAAAATCCACGCCTTGATATGTCTAATGTTATTTGTGGGAAAAATAATTTTTAAAAAATCCACGCCTTGATATGTCTAATGTTATTTGTGGGAAAAATAATTTTTAAAAAATCCACGCCTTGATATATCTAATGTTATTTGTGGGAAAAATAATTTTTAAAAAATCCACGCCTTGATATGTCTAATGTTATTTGTGGGAAAAATAATTTTTAAAAAATCCACGCCTTGATATGTCTAATGTTATTTGTGGGAAAAATAATTTTTAAAAAATCCACGCCTTGATATGTCTAATGTTATTTGTGGGAAAAATAATTTTTAAAAAATCCACGCCTTGATATGTCTAATGTTATTTGTGGGAAAAATAATTTTTAAAAAATCCACGCCTTGATATGTCTAATGTTATTTGTGGGAAAAATAATTTTTAAAAAATCCACGCCTTGATATGTCTAATGTTATTTGTGGGAAAAATAATTTTTAAAAAATCCACGCCTTGATATGTCTAATGTTATTTGTGGGAAAAATAATTTTTAAAAAATCCACGCCTTGATATGTCTAATGTTATTTGTGGGAAAAATAATTTTTAAAAAATCCACGCCTTGATATGTCTAATGTTATTTGTGGGAAAAATAATTTTTAAAAAATCCACGCCTTGATATGTCTAATGTTATTTGTGGGAAAAATAATTTTTAAAAAATCCACGCCTTGATATGTCTAATGTTATTTGTGTGAAAAATAATTTTTAAAAAATCCAAGCCTTGATATGTCTAATGTTATTTGTGGGAAAAATAATTTTTAAAAAATCCAAGCCTTGATATGTCTAATGTTATTTGTGGGAAAAATAATTTTTAAAAAATCCACGCCTTGATATGTCTAATGTTATTTGTGGGAAAAATAATTTTTAAAAAATCCACGCCTTGATATGTCTAATGTTATTTGTGGGAAAAATAATTTTTAAAAAATCCACGCCTTGATATGTCTAATGTTATTTGTGGGAAAAATAATTTTTAAAAAATCCACGCCTTGATATGTCTAATGTTATTTGTGTGAAAAATAATTTTTAAAAAAATCCACGCCTTGTTATTTATGGAAAAAATAATTTTTTAAAATCCACGCCTTGTTATTTGTGAGAAAAATAATTTTTAAAAAATCCACGCCTTGTTATTTGTGAGAAAAATAATTTTTAAAAAATCCACGCCTTGTTATTTGTGAGAAAAATAATTTTTAAAAAATCCACGCGTTGTTATTTGTGGGAAAAATAATTTTAAAAAAATCCACGCATTGTTATTTGTGGGTAAAATAATTTTTAAAAAATCCACGCCTTGTTATTTGTGAGAAAAATAATTTTTAAAAAATCCATGCCTTGTTATTTGTGGGAAAAAATAATTTTTAAAATATCCACCCCTTGTTATTTGTGGGAAAAATAATTTTTAAAAAATCCACGCGTTGTTATTTGTGGGAAAAATAATTTTAAAAAAATCCACGCATTGTTATTTGTGGGTAAAATAATTTTTAAAAAACCCACGCCTTGTTATTTGTGAGAAAAATAATTTTTAAAAAATCAACGCCTTGTTTTTTGTGGGAAATATAATTTTTAAAAAAATCCACGCCTTGTAATATCTGAGAAAAATAATTTTAGTTTTATTAAAAAAATATTTGCTTTTTTTTAATTTTTCTCCGGCTTGTGTATACAATTCCCCGTGCTTTCCATGTAAATAAATCCGGGATTACATATGCAGCGATGCCGGCTATAACACATGCCATTTTCACAGGGTCTGTAATATAAAAAAGCATGGATCAACTAAATACCATATCATCCCCATATCACCCCCTACTTACTGATAACACACAGCATGGCAGACGCCATCCTTTGGCGTATATCCCGGTTTACATTCACATCGCCCGTAAGCATTGCACTCCCCACCGGGACCACACTCGGGATCACATACCGCCTTGCAACCAGCATCTGTTAGAATATAGCCATTCACACAGCCACACACCTCAGGGGCGGTACAATTTAACAGCGGATTAGTGCCACAACCTTTGCTGCAAATGGGCCGACAGAAACGTCGAGTCTCATCCAGCTTATAACCGGGATCACATTTACAGCTCCCATCCAAATAGCATCGGCCATTTAGACAGCCCAGCGGACAACTGAAGACACAGTCGCCATTGTCGTTGCGTACAAAGCCATCGTAGCATTCACAAAGTTCGGGTCCCACACATTGGCCATTGCGGCAATTTTCACACACCGGTGTACACAGATCACGTTGCCAGTTCCGGACCAGGGTATAGCCCTCACAGCACAGGCTGATGGTGCTAAAACGGCCTTTCTTTTCGATGATTTTTATGTAGCTATATTTGTCGATCTGGTCATGCCTGAAATTACAGAGTTCATGAGAAAATCGCAACTCAAGTCCCCTCTATGGGTCTTGACCTAGCTATTACATCATCTTACTTACGGTATTGTAACGGTATACATATGCGTCTGATTTCCCCCCTCCGAGCTGCATTCCTCATTCTCACCACGCCTTGGAATATTGCCAATAAGGGAATTATGCGCACCATATCTTCCAGCCGCCAGACCTGGTTCCATCGACTGGTATTGATTTCTCGCATTCGGTACATAGCTCTGTGGACTGGCATATGTGGAACGTTTTTGATCGTAAACTCTTGCCTCGGCTGATTGAAAAATATAACTCAGGTGCTGGGCGAACAGAGCCACCAGCAGAGCTCCAGCAATAAAATTAATCAATTTAAACATTTCTATAACTAATTTCTATTAAGTTTCCGATTCAACTAAAATTAATATTTGATTTTAAACTTCAGAATTTCAGAATTTCACTTGCGGAAAATTTTCTCTGTTGTAATTTAAAACCTTCATTGATTGGACTTCCGATTTGTCTGGTATACACTATTTTATTCTCACTCAGGCAGCAACTGATAACAAGCTTTGTTTTGATACAATACCGAGAGATTTGTTTGGTGAGAGCCAATACGGAGCTTATGATTTTGACATTAACATTGAATTGTCAAAACTGAAGGTATGTCCGGTATTCGATTGTGCGGGAAATAAATAAACAAGCTTATCGGTTGACCATGTTACAGGGTGAATCAAAAATTATTCAAAATAGAGGATGCTAGGTAAGCTAGGCAGCCTAGCTCCCTATAAGCTGATGCTAGGCAGCCTAGCTTCCTATGAGCTGATGCTAGGCAGCCTAGCTTCCTATGAGCTGATGCTAGGCAGCCTAGCTTCCTATGAGCTGATGCTAGGCAGCCTAGCTTCCTATGAGCTGATGCTAGGCAGCCTAGCTCCATATTAGCTGAAGCTGGGCAGCCTAGCTCCCTTTGAGCTGAAGCTAGGCAGCCTAGCTCCCTTTGAGCTGAAGCTAGGCAGCCTAGCTCCCTATGAACTGAAGCTAGGCAGCCTAGCTCCATATGAGCTGAAGCTAGGAAGCCTAGATCTATAGGAGCTGAAGCTAGGCAGCCTAGCTCTAGATGAGCTAAAGCTAGGATGCCTAGCTCTAGATGAGCTGAAGCTAGGAAGTCTATCTCTATAGGAGCTGAAGATAGGCAGCCTAGCTCTGTAGGAGCTGAAGCTAGGCAGCCTAGCTCTATAGGAGCTGAAGCTAGGAAGTCTAGCTCTAGATGAACTGAAGCAAGGAAGCCTAGCTCTGTAGGAGCTGAAGCTAGGCAGCCTAGCTCTATAGGAGCTGAAGCTAGGAAGTCTAGCTCTAGATGAGCTGAAGCAAGGAAGCCTAGCTCTAGATGAGCTGAAGCTAGGAAGCCTAGCTCTATATTAGCTGAAGCTAGGAAGCCTAGCTCTAGGTGAGCTGAAACTAGGAAGCCTAGCTCTATAGGACCTGAAGCTAGCAACCTAGCTCTAGTTGAGCTGAATATTGGCAGCCTAGCTCTATAGGAGCTGAAGCTAGGCAGCCTAGCTCCCTATGAGCTGAAGCTAGGCAGCCTAGCTCCCTATGAGCTGAAGCTAGTCAGCCTAGCTCCCTATGAGTTGAAGGTAGGCAGCCTAGCTCCATTTGAGCTAAAGCTAGGCAGCCTAGCTCTTGATGAGCTGAAGCTAGACAGCCTAGCTCTTGATGAACTGAAGCTAGACAGCCTATCTCTTGATGAGCCGAAGCTAGACAGCCTAGCTCCATTTGAGCTAAAGCTAGGCAGTCTAGCTCTTGATGAGCTGAAGCTATACAGCCTAGCTCTTGATGAGCTTAAGCTAGACAGCCTAGCTCTTGATGAGCTGAAGCTAGACAGCCTAGCTCTTGATGAACTGAAGCTAGATAGCCTAGCTCCATATGAGCTGAAGCTAGATAGCCTAGCTCCATATGAGCTGAAGCTAGGCAGTCTAGCTCTTGATGAGCTGAAACTAGGAAGCCTAGCTCTATAGGACCTGAAGCTAGCAACCTAGCTCTAGTTGAGCTGAATATTGGCAGCCTAGCTCTATAGGATCTGAAGCTAGGCAGCCTAGCTCCCTATGAGCTGAAGCTAGGCAGCCTAGCTCCCTATGAGCTGAAGCTAGTCAGCCTAGCTCCCTATGAGTTGAAGGTAGGCAGCCTAGCTCCATTTGAGCTAAAGCTAGGCAGCCTAGCTCTTGATGAGCTGAAGCTAGACAGCCTAGCTCTTGATGAACTGAAGCTAGACAGCCTAGCTCTTGATGAGCTGAAGCTAGGCAGCCTAGCTCCCTATGAGCTGAAGCTAGGCAGCCTAGCTCCCTATGAGCTGAAGCTAGGCAGCCTAGCTCCCTATGAGCGGAAGCTAGGCAGCCTAGCTCCCTATGAGCTGAAGCTAAGCAGTCTAGCTCTTGATGAGCTGAAACTAGGAAGCCTAGCTCTATAGGACCTGAAGCTAGCAACCTAGCTCTAGTTGAGCTGAATATTGGCAGCCTAGCTCTATAGGATCTATCTCTTGATGAGCCGAAGCTAGACAGCCTAGCTCCATTTGAGCTAAAGCTAGGCAGTCTAGCTCTTGATGAGCTGAAGCTATACAGCCTAGCTCTTGATGAGCTTAAGCTAGACAGCCTAGCTCTTGATGAGCTGAAGCTAGACAGCCTAGCTCTTGATGAGCTGAAGCTAGGCAGCCTAGCTCCCTATGAGCTGAAGCTAGGCAGCCTAGCTCCCTATGAGCGGAAGCTAGGCAGCCTAGCTCCCTATGAGCTGAAGCTAGGCAGTCTAGCTCTTGATGAGCTGAAACTAGGAAGCCTAGCTCTATAGGACCTGAAGCTAGCAACCTAGCTCTACTTGAGCTGAATATTGGCAGCCTAGCTCTATAGGATCTGAAGCTAGGCAGCCTAGCTCCCTATGAGCTGAAGCTAGGCAGCCTAGCTCCCTATGAGCTAAAGCTAGGCAGCCTAGCTCTTGATGAGCTGAAGCTAGACAGCCTAGCTCTTGATGAACTGAAGCTAGACAGCCTATCTCTTGATGAGCCGAAGCTAGACAGCCTAGCTCCATTTGAGCTAAAGCTAGGCAGTCTAGCTCTTGATGAGCTGAAGCTATACAGCCTAGCTCTTGATGAGCTTAAGCTAGACAGCCTAGCTCTTGATGAGCTGAAGCTAGGCAGCCTAGCTCCCTATGAGCTGAAGCTAGGCAGCCTAGCTCCCTATGAACGGAAGCTAGGCAGCCTAGCTCCCTATGAGCTGAAGCTAGTCAGCCTAGCTCCCTATGAGTTGAAGCTAGGCAGCCAAGCTCCCTATGAGCTGAAGCTAGGCAGCCTAGCTCCCTATGGGCTGAATCTAGACAACCTAGCTCCCTATGAACTGAAGCTAGGCAGCCTAGCTCTCTATGAGCTGAAGCTAGGCAGCCTAGCTCCCTATGAACTGAAGCTAGGCAGCTTAGCTCCCTATGAGCTGAAGCTAGGCAGCCTAGCTCTACACGAACTAAAGCTAAGCAGCCTAGCTCTACACGAACAACATATGAACTGAAGCAAGGCTGCGTAGCAACATATGAGCAGAAGATAGGCAGCCTAGCTCCATATGAGTTGAAGCTATTCAGCCTAGCTCTACACGAACTGAAGCTAGGTAGCCTAGCTCGACACGAACTGTAGCTAGGCAGCTTAGCTCTACACGAACAGAAGGTAGGCAGCCTAGTTCCCTATGAACTAAAGCTAGGCAGCCTAGCTCCCTATGAGCTGAGGCTAGGCAGTATAGCTCCCTATGAGCTGAGGCTAGGCAGCCTAGCTCGCTATGAGCTGAGGCTAGGCAGCTCCCTATGAGCTGATGATAGGCAACTCCCTAGCTCTTCATGAGCTAAAGCTAGGCAGCCTAGCTCTATACGAGCTGAAGCTAGGCAGCCTAGCTCCCTATGATTTGAAGCTAGGCAGTCTAGCTCCCTATAAGCTGATGCTAGGCAGCCTAGCTCCCTATGAGTTGAAGCTAGGCAGCCTAGCTTCCTATGAACTAAAGCTAGGCAACCTAGCTCCCTATGAGCTGAAGCTAGACAGCCTAGCTCTTCATGAGCTGAAGCTGGAGAGCCAAGCTCTTCTTGAGCTAAAGCTAGACAGCCTAGCTCTTCATGAGCTGAAGTTGGCAGCCTAGCTCTTAATGAGCTGAAGTTGGCAGCCTAGCTCTTGATGAGCTGAAGTTAGACAACCTAGCTCTAGATGAGCTGAAGCTATAGTGCTAAAGCTGGGTATCCAAGCTCTCTCTATCTCTCCCTCTTTTTCTCTTTAGACGAGCTGAAGGCAGAAGGTCTAATTCCTTCTCTCTCTCTCTAGCAAGTTAATAGCAGCAAGTCTATTTCTCTATTTCTCTTAAGTAATCCATTCAATGTTTTAATATTTAGTCTATCTCTAGGTGAGTCGAAGAGGTTTCCATCTCTAGAAGAGCTGAAGAGAATAGTCTTTAAAATTTTTATTAATTAATTTATTTATAAATTTCCTTCACAATCTAAAATATTTTTTAATTATTATTTTTGTATATTCCACCTGCCCAACCGGCCTATCTCTCTATAATTCATATTCCACCAGGGGATCTGTAAATGAGAATATTATTCAGCATTTTTTGCAAGGATTCAAAATCCTATGGCGGCTCACCTTCATATTGGCAATATTTCCTATAGACGACAAATACCAGGGCAGCCAGACAGCAAACCCCCATAAACGATGACAATAGAAGCCACAGGAGATTTCCGGAATTTTCATTTGGATCTGCGGTAATTTTCATTTCATTGGAGGCGTTGGTTGTGGGCATGGATGTTGTGGTCTGAGGCTTTGGTATCTTACAAATGTAAATTTGTGGATCATCTTCAGAATAGTCTTCGATTTCCATGGCACACAGTAGCTGGAGCTTTTCATTGTCACAGTGACATTGGGTGACATTGCGGCAGGGCTTATCGTGCGAATCCAAACAGATGTGTACACACTTGGGCTGGGTGGAGATTGAGCCAAATTCATCATATTCCTGCCAGCACAGGCATTGATCCAAGCAGCTTTGCGGGGGAAAGGTTGGTTTGGGCGTCACTCTAGTAATATTTTGCGGTTGGGGACTTATGGCCAGGGTGGTGGTGGTGATGGCGGTGGAACTGGGGTTGGAGGTTTCTGTTGTCGTTACCAGCTCCGTACCGATACTTGCCGCTACAGTGCTGGTTGTAGACTTTTGACAATAGCTGTGATTGTAGGCCCCCTGTCGCATTTCCGTCGGCTCATAGTTGTCATGACAGAGGCAAATATTCGGTTCCACACATAGGCCATTGTGACATGCCGGCTCACACAGGGGCTCACAAATGTGTACACTCCCCGCCTGCAGCCTATATCCCTCGCTGCACTGACAAATCTCCGGCTCAACACAGGTACCATTTTGACATGGCAGCGAACAGGTGGGTTCGCATGTATTGAATGGTCCCATAAGATATCCTGGATTGCAGATACATACCCCCGGTCGGTAGCAGAGGCCATTTAAACAACCTCCTACACAAATGGGTTTACACTGTTCCACCTCATCCATTTCATAGCCTTCCAGGCACTCACATCGATTGGGCTGGACACATTTACCAAATGTCGAACAGTTGCCCCGGCACTGGGGCTCACAGAAGAGATTATAGCTCGAAGTCAATTTCAGTTGATAGCCATTGGAACATTCACATTTATTGGGCTGCGAGCAGTGGGCATATTCCGGACACTCATTTTCACATATGGGTTCGCAATGGTCATCCACCATGCGATAGCCTTTCAGGCAGGTACACTCATTGGGTCCGCTGCATTTTCCATTTTCAGGACATGCGGGATCACACACGGGATCACATGTTCCATTGCTGGACATTGCATATCCTTGATCACATTCACATTTATTGGGTTCTGCGCAAAAACCATTTTCTGGACACTCGTTCTCACACTTGGCAACACATACCAGGACCTCATCCGCTTTACCTATTTCATAGCCCTCCACACACTCACATTGATTGGGCTTCCGGCAATAGCCATTCTCCATGCAGGGAGTCTCACAAATCGGCTCACATATTCCATTCTTCATCAGATAACCCTCTTCGCAGCTACATTCATTTGGTTTAGAGCACAACGAATTGGCTGGACATTCAGGAGAACATGTGGCTTGGCAAACAAATGTGCCATTGTGCGACACACTCTCCACTTTCGCATAACCCTTAGAACAGGCACATTGATTTGGTTTCACACAATCAGCATTTTCAGGACAAGGTGACTCACATATTGGTACACATTTTTCGGCTTCGGAAACATCATAGCCTTGATTACAGCTACATACACCAGGTGCTGTGCACTGGGAATTTTCAGGGCAACCCCTGGGACATATAGGTTGACATTTTATTGTTGTTGGATGAGAAAACAAGCTGAAATAGCCACTGGAGCATTGGCAGACATTGGGTCGTATACACTGGGCATTTGAGGGACATTGTGGACTACACTCGGGCACACATTGTGAGGAGCTGAGCTTTTTGTAGCCGGGGCAACAATTATATACGGTCTCATAATCGGTATAGTACTAGAAGGGAGAGATGTGGAAGAGAGATTATTATTAGAATATGAAAGAGAGGGAGAGAGAGAAAATGTTTTAAAAAAATCCACGATTATAGAAAAAATATTCTTTAAAAAATCCACGATTATAGGAAAAATATTCTTTAAAAAATCCACGATTATAGGAAAAATATTCATTAAAAAATCCACGATTATAGGAAAAATATTTTTTAGAAAATCCACGATTATAGGAAAAATATTCTTTAAAAAATCCACGATTATGGGAAAAAATATTCTTTAAAAAATCCACGATTATAGGAAAAATATTCTTTAAGAAATCCACGATTATAGGAAAAATATTCTTTAAAAAATTAACGATTATAGGAAAAATATTCTTTAAAAAATCCACGATTATAGGAAAAATATTCTTTGAAAAATCCACGATTATAGGAAAAATAATTTTTAAAAATTCCACGATTATAGGAAAAATATTCTTTAAAAAATCCACAAATACAGGAAAAATATTCTCTAAAAAATCCACGATTATAGGAAAAATATTCTTTAAAAAATCCACGATTCTAGGGAAAATATTCTTTAAAAAATCCACAATTATAGGGAATATAATTTTTAAAATATTCACGATTATAGGAAAAATATTCTTTAAAAAATCCACGATTATAAGAAAAAAATACTCTTTAAAAAATCCACGTTTATAGGAAAAATATTCTTTAAAAAATCCACGATTATAGGAAAAATATTCTTTAAAGAATCCACGATTATAGGAAAGATAATTTTTAAAAAGTCCACGATTATAGGAAAAATATTCTTTAAAAAATCCACGATTATAGGAAAAATATTCTTTAAAAAATCCACGATTATAGGAAAAATATTCTTGAAAAAATCTACGATTATAGGAAAAATATTCCTTAAAAAAATTCACGATTATAGGAAAAATATTCTTTAAAAAATCCACGATTATAGGAAAAATATTCTTTAAAAAAATCCACGATTGGAGGAAAATATTCCTGAAAAAATCCACAATTATTGGAAAAATATTTTTAAAAAATCCAAAAAAACATTCTTTAAAAAATCCACTATTATAGGAAAAATATTCTTTAAAAAATCCAAAATATTCTTTAAAAAATTCACCATTATAGGAAAAATTTTCTTTAAAAATCTCCGATTATGGAAAAAGTGTTCTTCGAAAAATCCACGGCTGTAGGAAAAATTTAAAAAATCCACGATTATAGGAAAAACATTTTTTAAAAAATTCACGATTATAGGAAAAATATTCTTCAAAAAATTCACGATTATAGGAAAAATATTCTTTAAAAAATTCACGATTATAGGAAAAATATTCTTTACAAAAATCCACGATTATAGGAAAAAATATTCTTTAAAAAATTCACGATTAGAGGAGATATATTCTGTAAAAAATCCACGACTAGAGGAGAAATATTTTTAAAAATTCAACGACTAGGGAGAAATATTAAAAAAAAACACGATAAATTTTTTTTTGAAAAATCCACGATTATAGCTCAGTTGATCCTTAAGTACCTGTGTGTACATGTGACCATAATAATAGGCGAGACGCGTTTTGGTCACAGCCTTGCGTTTGATATCACAAATATGACTGTCAAAATTTGTTCTTCGAATTGCCACTATTTGATGTGGCAATAACCACGTTACAGTTACTAATATTAACACTAAATTTATTTTCATGATAATTTAAGCGGCCGACTCTATTATTGAAGCTTTTCCAAACAACAGAGCATTGGAATATTTTTCGCACCAAGCAACAACAAAAAAAGTGCAGTTCCTAGTTTTTTTCCTTTAATCAGAAAATTGTGAGATAAAACAAATTAGGATTATTAACTTAGAAAAACGGGCCAGCTCTTATATTTGCAAATGAATTTGAATTCCGGATTTCTTGTGAATTTATGAAGGCAAGTGCGATAAAGAAATGCCAAGGAAAATGTTTGAAATCAGAATACGTGATGTAATAAATACAGGGTGAGATAAAAAAACTGCAACCAACTCCAGACTGCTGTCATTTCTAAGTCACGCGTCCGACTCGTGGATTTTTTAAAGAATATTTTTGCTATAATCATGGATTTTTTAAAGAATATTTTTTCTATAATCGTGGTTTTTTTTAAGGATATTTTTCTTCTTATCGTGGATTTCTTAAAGAGTATTTTTTCCTATAATCGTTGATTTTTTAAAGAATATTTTACCAAAAAAGCGTGGATTTTTTAAAGAATATTTTTCCTATAATCGTGGATCTTTTAAAAAATATTTTTCCTATAATCGTGAATTTTTAAAGAATATTTTTCCTATATTCGTGGATTTTTTAAAGAATATTTTTCCTATAATCGTGGTTTTTTAAAAAAAAATATTTTTCCTGTATTCGTAGATTTTTTAAAGAATATTTTTCCTATAATCGTGGATAATCGTGGATTCTATTTTTCCTATAATCGTGAATTTTTAAAGACAATTTTTCCTATGTTCGTGGATTTTTTAAAGAATATTTTCCTATAATCGTGGTTTTTTTAAAAAAAAAATATTTTTCCTATATTCGTGGATTTTTTAGAGAATATTTTTCCTATAATCGTGGATTTTTTTAATAAATATTTTTCCTATATTCGTGGATTTTTTAAAGAATATTTTTCCTATAATAGTGGATTTTTTTAATAAATATTTTTCCTATAATCGTGGATTTTTTATAGAATATTTTTCCTATAATCGTGGATTTTTTAAAGAATATTTTTCCTATAATCGTGGATTTTTTAAAGAATATTTTTCCTATAATTGTGAAAGTTTTTCCTATAATCGTGGATTTTTTAAAAAATATTTTTCCTATAATCGTGAATGTTTTTCCTATAATAGTGAATTTTTTTAGAGAATATTTTTCCTATAATTGTGAAAGTTTTTCCTATAATCGTGGATTTTTTAAAAAATATTTTTCCTATAATCGTGAATTTTTTAGACAATATTTTTCCTATAATCGTGGATTTTTTAGGCAATATTTTTCCTATAATCGTGAATCTTTTTCCTATAATCGTGGATTTTTTAAACTATATTTTTCCTATAATCGTGAATGTTTTTCCTATAATCGTGGATTTTTTAAAGAATATTTTTCCTATAATCGTTGATTTTTTAAAGAATATTTTTCCTATTATCGTGGATTTTTTAAAGAATATGTTTCCTATAATCGTGAATGTTTTTCCTATAATCGTGGATTTTTTAAAGAATATGTTTCCTATAATCGTGAATGTTTTTCCTATAATCGTGGATTTTTTTAAGAATATTTTTCCTATAATCGTGGATTTTTTAAAGAATATTTTTCCTATAATCGTGGATTTTTTAAAGAATATGTTTCCTATAATCGTGAATGTTTTTCCTATAATCGTGGATTTTTTAAAGAATATGTTTCCTATAATCGTGAATGTTTTTCCTATAATCGTGGATTTTTTAAAGATTATTTTTCCTGTAATAGTGGATTTTTTAAAGAATTTTTTTTCCCATAATCATGGATTTTTTAAAGAATATTTTTCCTATAATCGCGGATTTTTTAAAGAATATTTCTCCTATAATCGCGGATTTTTTAAAGAATATTTTTCCTATAATCGTGGATTTTTTAAAGAATATTTTTCCTATAATCGTGGATTTTTTAAAGAATATTTTTCCTATAATCGTGGATTTTTTAAAGAATATTTTTCCTATAATCGTGGATTTTTTAAAGAATATTTTTCCTATAATCGTGGATTTTTTAAAGAATATTTTTCCTATAATCGTGGATTTTTTAAAGAATATTTTTCCTATAATCGTGGATTTTTTAAAGAATATTTTTCCTATAATCGTGGATTTTTTAAAGAATATTTTTCCTATAATCGTGGATTTTTTAAAGAATATTTTTCCTATAATCGTGGATTTTTTAAAGAATATTTTTCCTATAATCGTGGATTTTTTAAAGAATATTTTTCCTATAATCGTGGAGTTTTTCAAAGAATATTTTTCCTATAATCGTGGATTTTTTAAAGAATATTTTTCCTATAATCGTGGAGTTTTTCAAAGAATATTTTTCCTATAATCGTGGATTTTTTAAAGAATATTTTTCCTATAATCGTGGAGTTTTTCAAAGAATATTTTTCCTATAATCGTGGATTTTTTAAAGAATATTTTTCCTATAATCGTGAATTTTTTAAAGAATATTTTTCCTATAATCGTTGATTTTTTAAAGAATATTTCTCCTATAATCGTGGATTTTTAAAGAATATTTTTTCTATAATCGTGGATTTTTTAAAGAATATTTTTCGTATAATCGTGGAGTTTTTTAAAGAATATTTTTTCTATAATCGTGGATTTTTTAAAGAATATTTTTCCTATAATCGTGGAGTTTTTCAAAGAATATTTTTCCTATAATCGGGGTTTTTTTAAAGAATATTTTTCCTATAATCGGGGTTTTTTTAAAGAATATTTTTCCTATAATCGTGGATTTTTTAAAGAATATTTTTCCTATAATCGTGGATTTTTTAAAGAATATTTTTCCTATAATCGTGGATTTTTTAAAGAATATTTCTCCTATAATCGTGAATTTTTTAAAGAATATTTTTCCTGTGATCGTGGATTTTTTAAGGAATATTTTTCCCATAATCGTGAATTTTTTAAAAATGTCTTTCCTATAATCGTGGATTTTTTAAAGATTATTTTTCCTATAATCGTGGATTTTTTAAAGAATATTTTTCCTCTAATCGTGGATTTTTTAAAGAATATTTTTCCTATAATCGTGAATTTTTTAAAGAATATTTTTGCTCTAATCGTGGATTTTTTAAAGAATATTTTTCCTATATTCGTGGATTTTTCAAAGAATATTTTTCCTATAATCGTGGATTTTTCAAAGAATATTTTTCCTATATTCGTGGATTTTTCAAAGAATATTTTTCCTATAATCGTGGATTTTTTAAAGAATATTTTTCCTATAATCGTGGATTTTTTAAAAAATGTTTTTCCTATATTCGTGGATTTTTTAAAGAATATTTTTCCTATAATCGTGGATTTTTTAAAGAATATTTTTCCTATAATCGTGGATTTTTTAAAGAATATTTTTTCTATAATCGTGGATTTTTTAAAGAATATTTTTCCTATAATTGTGGATTTTTTAAAGAATATTTTTCCTATAATCGTGGATTTTTTAAAGAATATTTCTTCTATAATCGTGGATTTTTTAAAGAATATTTTTTCTATAATCGTGGATTTTTTAAAGAATATTTTTTCTATAATCGTGGATTTTTTAAAGAATATTTTTTCTATAATCGAGGATTTTTAATTTTTTTCCTATAATCGTGGTTTTTTATTTTTTTTCCCAAAGTCGTGGATTATTTTCGGGAACCCCACCGATAATCGAGTGTTTTTAATATTATACCTGGATCGGTATATAATGTTGTTATTTTATATACATTTTTCTTTACCTGAGTCGATGAATAAACATAGGGTTCATATTTATATTTCACATTTCCAAACCAGCCGCGTTTTGTGACCAAACGTTCACCGTTGTTCCATTGAATTCGAGTTCTCGTTACATATTTTCGATCAGTACAAAACTGGCCACTACTCTCACCTATCCATACACTGCATAGGAAAATTAATCCAAGGGTTTTGTAAAAAACGAACATTTTTTTTCGAATTGTGATTTTTTCAAAAAAGTCTTAAGTTTTGAATTTAGTTCACGTTCCGCCGCTTTGTTGTGAAATACTAGCCAATGGAGATGGTATACAAATTCCAGTCTATTAAAATTAAAAAGGAACAATGACAACAAAACATGAATGAAAATAACAAGAGAAAATATGAAAATATTTCCGATTTATCGCAAAAATATTTTTTTCTCCTAAACACTAGAGTGGGTCGACAATTGGTGATACTTTTTAAATAAAATGTATTTTGGACTTGATGGCTAAGCAATGGAGAGAGGAGAGCGGTCTCTGGTAACAATAACGAAAGCTCTTTCGTCCCTTGCAACATCTCCCGTCTCACATCTTCCCATGAGTCATAATGGGTTCTTAGACATTTTGGAGATTCAAAGTGGTTGATGTGCCTATCTTCCCCCTTCCTTTTGTTCTTCATTTTTTCTTTTTTTAGCGGACATACAAACGTCATGGTGACGATCAGTTACATTGTCATGACGGAAGATATCACTTTCATTTCATTTCTCTCAAAATAGATTCATTGTTTTGTTTTTTGTGCCAGAATGGAGAACATTCATTTACATTCATATCCGGTGGCTACAGTGGGAGCAGTGACGTTGTTTACAACTGTTTTAAATGTTTATTTAGAGCATACTTTTAGGGTCAATCTACTATTTTTTAAATTACCGAATAATAACCACCTGTTTTTAATCCGCAATCCTCACAATCCCTAAAACTATAAATCAAAGTATGCATTGCTAAATAGCCTAAACAAACTTGGATTTTTTAAGAATTATTTTCACGTCCTTTGAAAATAATTTTTTAAAAATCAACGTCCTTTGAAAATATTTATATATATATATATTTTTAAATCCACGTCCTTTTATTTTTTTTTTTAAATCCACGTCGTTTGAAAATATATATTTTTTTTTAAATCCACGTCATTTGAAAATATTTTTTTTTTAAAATCCACGTCATTTGAAAATATTTTTTTTAAAACCCACGTCATTTGAAAATATTTTTTTTAAATCCACGTCGTTTCAAAATATTTTTTTTTTTTTTTAAATCCACGTCATTTGAAAATATTTTTTTTAAAACCCACGTCATTTGAAAATATTTTTTTTAAAAACCCACGTCATTTGAAAATATTTTTTTAAAACTCACGTCATTTGAAAAAAATTTTGAAAAATCCACGTCCTTTGAAAATAATTTTTTAAAAATCCATGTCTTTTGAAAAATCCACGTCCTTTGAAAATAATTTTTAAAAAATTCAATTCCTTTGAAAAAATATTTTGAAAATCCACGTCATTTGAAAATAATTTTTGAAAAATCCACGTCCTTTGAAAATAATTTTTGAAACATCCACGTCCTTCGAAAATATTTTTTTATTAAATTCACGTCATTTGAAAGTAATTTTTAAAAAACCAAGTTCTCATCAGCGGAAATAATTTTTTCGAGTTTTGCCTTACTAAGGCGAAGAACATATGTTTTATGATTTATGTGTTTGATTTCTCTTTCGAGACGAGCTTAATGATCTGAAATTTGCAGTGAAAAGGAAAGCCAGATAGACACTATCACACACTCACCACTATGCGACGCGTTTCGCCGTTGGTTAAGCGGCTCATCAGGCATATTTGGTGTGGATGATGGCTTACAAGGGCCGTTCTCTGGAAAGTAGTATATATTTCGAACTTATTGCAAATTAGCATATGCGAATTATACATTAGAAACTCTCCAGGTTCGACTCAAGTTCTATTGGCAGATTTTTCACAGCAAAGTTTTTTTTTGTTTTAAATAAATAATTTTTGTTCTTTAAAATCAACTTTTAAAAAATCCACGTCCTTTAAAGTAATTTTTAAAAAAATCACTTACCGTGAAAAATAAATCCTTTGAAATATCAACGCATTTATGGATCCAAATCTTTTGTTATTTTCAAAAATTATTTTTAAAAAACGTAGATTTTTTAAAAATTATTTTATAAAGACGTGAATATTTAAAACAATTATTGTCAAAGGACGTTGATTTAAAAAAATAAATATTTTCAAAGGACGTGGATTTTTTAAGAAAAGAAACATTTTTTCAAAGGACGAGAATTTTTTAAAAAAATGATTTCAAAGGACGAATATTTTAAAAAAAAAACATTTCAAAGGACGAAGATTTTTTAAAAAATTATTTTCCAGGACGTATATTGTTTAAAAAAATATTTTCAAAGGACGTATACTTAAAAAAAATATTTCCCAAGGACGAAGTATTTTTCAATGAATTTCGGAAATGTTACATGTCAAGTACTTGTAGATGCCTGGTTTTTTTATAGAAATTATTTTTAAAAGGAATTGCAGAAGCATGGGTTTATAAAAAAATATTGTTCCAAGAATATGTGGAATCGTGGATTTTTTAGAATATTATTTTAAATAATTGTAGTTTGTCGATTGTAGAAACGTTGATTTTTTAAAAATATTTTTCCAAGGAATATTAGCAGCGTGGATTTTTTAAAATATTGGTCCAAGGGTTTGTGGAAGCGTATATTTTTTTAAAACAGTTTTTCCAAAGATCTGTCGAAGCGTGGATTTTTTAAATAGTTTTCAAAGGACTTTTTTTAAATATATTTTTCCAAGGACTTGTAGAAGCGTAGATTTTATTCAGAAACATTTTTCCAAGGACTTGTGGAAGCGTTGATTTTTTAAAAATATTTTTTTTTAAATAGTTTTCAAAGGACTTTTTAGAAGCGTAGATTCTTTAAATATATTTTTCCAAGGGCTTGTACAAGCGTGGATTTTTTTTAAATATTTTTCATATGGCTTTTAAAGGCGTTGATTTTTTAAAAATATTTTTTAAACGACTTTTTAAGGCGTTGATTTTTTAAAAATATTTTTCAAAGGGCTTTTAGAAGGATTGATTTTTTGGAAATATTTTTTAAGAACTTGTAGAAGTGTGGATTTTTGTAAAAATGTTTTTCCAAGGACATTTTGAAGCGTAAATATTTTAAAAATATTTTTCAAAAATTCACGCTTCTACAAGTCCATGGATAAATATTTTTACAAAAATCCACACTTCTACAAGTTCTTAAAAAATATTTCCAAAAAATCAATCCTTCTAAAAGGATTGTAGAAACGTGGATTTTTTAAAAATAGTTTTCCAAGGACTTGTCGATTTTTTAAAAATCTTTTTTCAAGGACATGTAGATGCGTGGATTTTTTGAAAAATATTTTTCAAAAATCTTGTTAACTCATGGTTTTTTTTTGGAAACATTTTTTCTAGAACTTGTAGAAGCGTGGATTTTTGTAAAAATATTTTTCCAAGGACTATTTGAAGCGTGGATTTTTTGGACATTTTTTTCAAGAATTTGTAGAAGCGTGGAGTTTTTGTAAAAATATTTTTCCAAGGATTTGTGGAGGCGTGGATTTTTTTTTTAAATATTTTTTCAGAGACTTATAGAAGTATGGATGTTTTTGAAATATTTCCCATGGACAATTTGAAGCATGGTTTTTCAAAAAGATTTTTTTAAGGACCTGTAGAAGCGTGGTTTTTAAAAAGATTTTTTAAGGACCTGTAGAAGCGTGGTTTTTAAAAAAATTTTCTAAGGACTTGTAGAAGCCTGGATCTTTTTTAAAATATTTTCCCAAGGGCTTGTAGAAGCCTGGATCTTTTTTAAAATATTTTTCAAAGGACTTGTAGATGCTTGGATTTTTTAAAAATATTTTCCAAAGCCATGTAGAAGCGTGAATTTTTTAAAAATATTTTCCCAAGGACTTGTAGAAGCCTGGATCTTTTTTAAAATATTTTCCCAAGGGCTTGTAGAAGCCTGGATCTTTTTAAAAAGATTTTTTTAAGGACTTGTAGAAGCGTAGATTTTTTAAAAAGATTTTTTAAGGACTTTAGAAGCGAAGATTTTTTTAAAAATATTTTTCAAGGACTTGTGGAAGCATGGATTTTTGTAAATATATTTTTCCAAGGACTTGTGGAAGCGTGTTTTTTTTTAAAAATATTTTTCCAAGGACTTGTAGAAGCGTGGATCTTTTTTAAAATATTTTTCAAAGGACTTGTAGAAGCGTGGATTTTTGAAAAAATATTTTTCTAAAAACATGTTGAAAGGTGGAGTTTTTGGAAATATTTTTTCAAGAACCTGCAGGAGCTTGGATTTTTAAGATATGTTTTTCTAAGGACTTTTGGAAGCGTGGATTTTTTAAAATTATTTTTCAAGGACTTGTATAATCGTAGATATTTTAAAAATATTTTGTAGAAGCGTGGATTTTTTAAAAATATTTTTCCAAGGACTTGTAGTAGCGTGGATTTTTTAAAAATATTTGTCCAAGGATTTGAAGTAGCGTGGAATTTTTAAATATATTTTTCCAAAAACCTGTAGAAGTGTGGATATTTTAAAAACATTTTCCAAGGATCTGTAGAGGCGTGGATTTTTTGGAAATATTTTTTCGAGGAGTTTTAGAAACGTGGATTTTTTAAAAATAGTTTTCCAAGGACTTGTAGAAGCGTGCATTTTTTAAAAATATTTTTCCAAGGACTTGTAGGAATGTGGATTTTTTAAAAATATTTTCCAAGGACTTGTAGAAGCGTGGATCTTTTTTAAAATATTTTTCCAAGGACTTGTAGAAGCGTGGATCTTTCTTAAAATATTTTTCAAAGGACTTGAAGAAGCGTGGATTATTGAAAAAATATTTTCCCAAGGACTTATAGAAGCGTGGATTTTTGTAAAAATATTTTTCCAAGGACTTGTAGAAGCGTGGATTTTTGTAAAAATATTTTCCAAAGACCTGTATTTTTTAAAAATATTTTTTTAAGGACTTGTAGAAGCTTAGATTTTTTAAAAATATTTTTTTTTAAAAAGTTGTAGAAGAATGGGTTTTTATAAAAATATTTTCCAAGGACTTGTAGAAGGGCTGATTTTTTAAAAATATTTTTAAAGGATTTGTGGAAGCGTGGATTTTTTAAAAAAAATATTTTTCAAAAAACTTATTGATGCGTCGATTTTTTTGGAAATATTTTTTCAAGAACTTGTAGAAGCGTGAATTTTTGGTAAAACATTTTCCAAAGGACTTGTAGAAGCCTGGATCTTTTTTAAAATATTTTCCCAAGGACTTGTAGAAGCCTGGATCTTTTTTAAAATATTTTTCAAAGGACTTGTAGAAGCGTGGATTTTTGTAAAAATATTTTTCAAGGACTTGTGGAAGCATGGATTTTTGTAAATATATTTTTCAAAGGACTTGAGGAAGCGTGTTTTTTTTTTTAAATATTTTTCCAAGGACTTGTAGAAGCGTGGATCTTTTTTAAAATATTTTTCAAAGGACTTGTAGAAGCGTGGATTTTTGAAAAAATATTTTTCTAAAAACATGTTGAAAGGTGGAGTTTTTGGAAATATTTTTTCAAGAACCTGCAGGAGCTTGGATTTTTAAGATATGTTTTTCTAAGGACTTTTGGAAGCGTGGATTTTTTAAAATTATTTTTCAAGGGCTTGTATAAGCGTAGATATTTTAAAAATATTTTGTAGAAGCGTGGATTTTTTAAAAATAGTTTTCCAAGGACTTGTAGAAGCGTGGATTTTTTAAAAATATTTGTCCAAGGATTTGAAGTAGCGTGGACTTTTTAAATATATTTTTCCAAAAACCTATAGAAGTGTGGATATTTTAAAAACATTTTCTAAGGATCTGTAGAGGCGTGGATTTTTTGGAAATATTTTTTCGAGGAGTTGTAGAAACGTGAATTTTTTAAAAATAGTTTTCCAAGGACTTGTAGAAGCGTGCATTTTTTAAAAATATTTTTCCAAGGACTTGTAGAAATGTGGATTTTTTAAAAATATTTTCCAAGGACTAGTAGAAGCGTGATTTTTTTAAAAATATTTTCCCAAGGACTTGTAGAAGCGTGTATATTCTGTATTAATATAGGAGATTATTTCCATTAGATGACAACTAAATACAGGCTTTCTTTTAATATTCCCCTCAAGATTTAGGGGGCAGATAATTGGGCATCCCTGTTGATAATGGCCCCACAGAGGGGGTCATACCCTTAAATCGCAATAAAAAATTTTATTCTTATTTTTTAATTCATTGTTCTTCTTTGTTTGGCTATTTTATTGCGAAAAAAAAAAACCAACAGCACGTGAACTACGTGCTCCCAATCACAATCGGAATCGAATCAAAAGCTGAAATAAAATATTTATAGAATGGTGACCCTTAAAAAATCTGCTCGTGTCTTTGCGCTTAATTTCAGATGTTCCACTGGTTATTTTTACGGGATTTTGAGGGCGATGTTTTAAAGTGCAACCAAATGAACAATTTTTGTAAGAAGAAATATTTTAGGTAACGGATCCAAAAAATTAAAAAAATAACAAGATGTTTTGGACCCCCACAAAGTCATCGAGAGGTCTCTGTGAAGACCCCTAGGAAGTTCGTGTAATCTTCCTAGACGAAAACCAATGCACCTAACCCCCATTACCTCAAATGTCTCAGCCAGCAACCAAATCTCATTGGAAATCTCATAATTTCCAATTAGTCGGCAATTTACATGCAAAGCATTTGAACTTAATCAGCTGACTGGACATTTTCATCTGAAAGATTCGGTTCTATTTTTTTTTTTTTTTTTTTGGTTTTGGTCCCATATCTCTTGTCGTTTCATTTGCTGGGTTGTTGCTGTTTTTCTGTCGATTACAGTGAGACATCACGCCAGTTTTGTTGGCATCGCAAAATGACTATCAACAACGCCTAAGAGATAAAGTTTTTCGAACTTCTGCCAGCGCCACTGGGAAAGAGGGTCACTCTGAGAGGAACTCAAAACAACGTAACAATTCATAAACACAGCCATAAAAACAATAAAAATATTCATAAATGAATTATAATTTTTAATGAGAGATTAATTGTGCATTCGGCGGTATTCGATTATCAGTAAAACAAACAGTGCGTTGCTTGGGCCAGAAGTGTTCCCAAATATGCGCCACAGGCACACACACACACACACGCACCCAAGTGTATATGTCCGGAGGACGTCCATGTGAACATATGATGCTTACAGTAGGCAACAGCGGACAACTGAACTGAAGAGATATTTCTTGTTTATTGTGTGGATTTTATCAGTTCTAGAGCTACTGCGGTACGGAGCACCCTACATACCCAAATAAATGTTATGGGATTTTTCAACCAGGAACCTCATAAACTCACAATAGAAAAACGTCAGAGCAACAACCCTGTGAAATGAGCACATAGAAGAGCAATAGCTATTCTCTTAAAAGAGAAACATATCTACTCAGAGAAGAGAACCAGCTACTCATAAAAGAGCAACCAATCTTCTCATAGGAGAGCCATTAGCTCTTCCCATAGGAGTTTCTCCTCTTTATTTCATAGAAGAGCACCAGTTGTTCTCGTAGAAGAGCTGTTGTAGCTCTTCTCATAAAGAGCTCTATCTAGCTCTTCTGCATAGAAGAGCTCTATCTAGCTCTTCTTCATAGAAGAGCTGTAGCTCTTCTTCATAGAAGAGCACTATCTAGCTCTTCTGCATAGAAGAGCTCTATCTAGCTCTTCTTCATAGAAGAGCTGTAGCCCTTCTTCACAGAAGAGCTGTAGCCCTTCTTCACAGAAGAGCTCTATCTAGCTCTTCTTCATAGAAGAGCTCTATCTAGCTCTTCTTCATAGAAGAGCTCTAGCTCTCGTCTTCATAGAAGAGCTCTAGCTCTCGTCTTCATAGAAGAGCTCTAGCTCCCTTCTTCATAGAAGAGCTCTAGCTCTTCTTCATAGAAGAGCTCTCTAGCTCTTCTTCGTAGAAGTGCTCTCTAGCTCTTCTTCGTAGAAGTGCTCTAGCTCTCTTCTTCATAGAAGAGCTCTAGCTCTCTTCTTCATAGAAGAGCTCTAGCTCTTCTTCAAACCAAAAAACAATTTAATTTTTAGTTCCTCACTTAGTCGTTCACACCATACCCCATTTTCTTGCTTGACATGAGACAATGGAAAAATTCATCCAAAGATTTATTCGCTCTCCATTAAATCATCATTTGCTACGCTCCGACATTCATTCATAAAGAAAACCACTCGGAATGCAAAGTGTGTATTGTAAAGGCAGAACGTCTCAGGAAATCGTCGGCAGTTCATTGTCGGAACCAAGATAGCGCACATAACAAACAACACTGGACGAATTATGAGCTGGGTCTGGGGAAGACATTTTATATTTCTCTACGTTTTCCAACAGCTGTGGGAATTCAACACAGCCCTGACCATTACCACGGGTCATTGCTTCAAGAACATCACAGTGAAATATCAGGCCCCAATCACCAAGACCCGCTATAAATTGGATACAACCAATTTGGAATATTACATCGAAATGGAGGATCGTTTCCGGGTAGAAATGGTACGTGTTTGTTGTCCAGGCTATCGGAAGATCCTCTTTGGCCTCTGTGAACCGGTGTGCGGTGTCAAATGTCCCGAGAATAGTTATTGCAGTGAACCCGAAAAGTGTCAGTGTAAACGAGGCTATGAAGAGTCGCATAACCACCATGTCCGCTCCATAATACCAAATAGTACGGAATATCTGGAATGTCGTCCGATTTGCATGGGTGGCTGTACGGCACCACATACACATTGTGTGGGCCACAATGAATGCAACTGTCGTCCCGGCTATAAGGATGTTAGCTCATGGTTTGGCCCGATGCGTTGTGAACGTATCCAGTGTCCCGGCGATCAAGTTTACGATTTGCAGCAACGGAAATGTATCAATGTGGATATGGATCTGGAACAGCTAATGCAAAGGGTTGCCCGAAAACTGGCCAAGGGTCTAAATGATTTGGACTATGACGACGATGATGAGGAAGGCGAAGGTGAAGCCGTTGGGGGACAATCGAAAAGAGACTGATTTCAGAATTGCTTTAGTTTTTAGTGGAGAAAAGGAAACCAAAAGAAAATGTGTTGTGTTTTTCCATTTTTCATCTAGAAATAAGTGCATGTGTGTGTGTGTTTGTGAGATAATTTTCCATGCTAAGAAAAAACCAAATGAATGTATTGTGTATTGGTCTCAGTAGTTTTTAATTATACAGAGAGTTTGGAAAAAATGGAAAAATATTAAAAAAATAAAAAAATATTTTAAAAATCCGCATTTATTGTTGGTGGATGGTCCTTGAGAAAAATTATTTAAAAAATCCACGTTTATTAGTCCTTGAGAAAAATTATTTAAAAAATCCACGTTTATTAGTCCTTGAGAAAAATTATTTAAAAAATCCACGTTTATTAGTCCTTGAGAAAAATTATTTAAAAAATCCACGTTTATTAGTCCTTGAGAAAAATTATTTAAAAAATCCACGTTTATTAGTCCTTGAGAAAAATTATTTAAAAAATCCACGTTTATTAGTCCTTGAGAAAAATTATTTAAAAAATCCACGTTTATTAGTCCTTGAGAAAAATTATTTAAAAAATCCACGTTTATTAGTCCTTGAGAAAAATTATTTAAAAAATCCACGTTTATTAGTCCTTGAGAAAAATTATTTAAAAAATCCACGTTTGGCTGGTCCTTGAGAAAATTTATTTAAAAAATCCACGTTTGGCTGGTCCTTGAGAAAATTTATTTAAAAAATCCACGTTTGGCTGGTCCTTGAGAAAATTTATTTAAAAAATCCACGTTTGGCTGGTCCTTGAGAAAATTTATTTAAAAAATCCACGTTTGGCTGGTCCTTGAGAAAATTTATTTAAAAAATCCACGTTTGGCTGGTCCTTGAGAAAATTTATTTAAAAAATCCACGTTTGGCTGGTCCTTGAGAAAATTTATTTAAAAAATCCACGTTTGGCTGGTCCTTGAGAAAATTTATTTAAAAAATCCACGTTTGGCTGGTCCTTGAGAAAATTTATTTAAAAAATCCACGTTTGGCTGGTCCTTGAGAAAATTTATTTAAAAAATCCACGTTTGGCTGGTCCTTGAGAAAATTTATTTAAAAAATCCACGTTTGGCTGGTCCTTGAGAAATTTTTTTTTTAAAAAATCCACATTGCGTTGTCCTTGAGAAAATTTATTTAAAAAATCCACATTTCGTTGTCCTTGAGAAAATTTATTTAAAAAATCCACGTTTATTAGTCCTTGAGAAAATTTATTAAAAAAATCCACGTTTATTAGTCCTTGAGAAAAATTATTTAAAAAATCCACGTTTATTGTCGGAATGGTGGATGAAAAAATTTATTGAAAACAAGTTAAAAAGCAGTAAGTTCGGCCGGGTCTATCTTTGAATACCCTCCACTATTTGGAACAAATTTTGTCATTTTAAAAAAATAAAATCTCTAAAAAATTCTGTTTAAATTTTAAAAGTACGGAATATAGCCTTTTTAATGGGGTCTATACGACGTGGACCTACAAAGGCCATTACCAAATTCAAATTCGAAAACTTGAAATAAACGGTGAATAATGTAGCCAATGTAGAGGGAGTACCGTTATATCGGAGCTATGCGAAGACCTGCACAAGCATAGACAAATTTATGTCATAAGCTGTAGCATCCATTACGAGGTTCAAGTACGACATCTCATACAATTTCGGTGAGTATTGCACCTAAAATCGTCAAAATACCGAATATAGGGAGGTACAGATATACGGGGCATATATGAAGACGTTAACCTGCACAGACAATTTTCTGTCACAGACCGAAGATCACATTACGAATTCTAAATACGTGATTTGAAACTACTCCGGTAAGTACTGTAGCTAAAATCATCAAAATACAGAATATAGGCAGGAACCCTTATATGGGGGTTATACGAAGATGTGGACCTTGCACAGACAATTTTCTGTCTTAGGCTGTAGCATCCCTTTCGAACTTCAAATACCAGATTTGAAACAATTCCGGTGAATAATGTCGCTAAAATCTTAAAAATAAGCCGAATATCGGAAGGTACCGTTATATGGGGGCTATACGAAGACGTGGACCTACATGGCCTATTTTCAAAACCAAAAGTCCTGCAGGCATAACATACTATTGAGCAAAATTTTATCAACCTACATCATTTCGTTTGGAAGCTAGAGTGATTTCCACAGACGGACAGAAATCGTTAAATTGACGTAGAATTTTATGCTGATCAAGGATATATATACTTTGTGGGGTCTAAAATGTATGTTTCGAGGCATTACAAACGGAATGGCAAATTAATATACCCCCCATACTATTTTGAAGGGTATAATAATGACATGTGTGAAATTTGAAGAGAACCGGATGCTTAGTTCGGATTTTACGATTGTTTTGATTATTTGACCATTTTTGTACCAAAAGAAATGCCCCGATCTATACAGTCTTTATAACTGATCTTGTGTTAATGGAAATATTGAGATCTACGAATTCTATATGGAATCGTATATTAATTTCGCGTTGTATGAGCTTCATGGATATTCAATGTTTTGAACCTTTGTGGGGGAGGTACCAGAAGGAGGGGATCGATATATTCCATCTTCACAAAGATGTTAGTAGAAATAATGAAATTTGTGAAATATAAAGAGAACCTGATGCTTATTTTGGATTTTATAAACGTTTTGGTTATTCAAAACTTTGACCTTTTTGTGGGGAAGGTACCACAAGGAATGGTCCGATCTCTACTGCCTTTATAGCAGATCCTGTGTTGAATGAAATATTAGGAGTCTGAATGGAATCGGATGTTTATTTCGCGTTTTATGAGCTTCACAGAAATTCAAAATGTTGATCCTTTGTGGGGAGGTATTAGAAGGAGAGCATCGATATTTCCCATCTTCACAAGAGATTTTCTGTTAGTAAAAATAATGGAAAGTGTGGAATATAAAAAGAACCTGATGCTTTCTTTGGATTTTATGATCGTTTTGGTTATTCAAACCTGTGACCCTTTGTGGGGAAGGTACCAGAAGGAATAGTCCGACCTCTGCCGTCTTTATAACAGATCCTGTGTTAATGGAAATATTGAGATGTACCAAGTCTGAATGGAATCTGGTATTAATTTCGCGTTTTATGAGCTCCATAGGTATACAAAATGTTGACCATTTGTGGGGAGGTATTAGAAGGAGAGGATCGATATATCCCATTTTCACAAGAGATTTTCTGTTAGCAAAAATAATGGAATGTGTGGAAATCCTGATATTTATTTCAGATTTTATAAACGGTTTTGACCCTTTGTGGGGGAGGTACCAGAAGGAATAGTCCAACTTCTACTGCCTTTATAACAGATCCTGTGTTGATAAAAATATTCAGATGTGCCAAGTTTAAATGGAATCGGATGTTAATTTCGCGTTTTATGGAATTCTTGATTATTTACAATTTTGACCCTTTGTGGGAGAGATACTAGAAGAAGTGGACCGATATATTTAATCTTCATACCAGACCTTGGGTTAATAAAAATATTGGGATGTATGAAAATTGAAGACAATCGGACACTTATATGTAAGAGCTATCATTTTTCAAAATTTTGTTTCTTTATAGGGGAGGTACTTGATGGAGTGGACCTATATTGTCTATTTTCGCACCTGACCTAGCACTGGTTGCAAATAATTAGATATTCAAAGTTGGAGCAAAATCGGATTATCGTTTCTCTGTCTATGCAGAAAATATATTTTTTGACAATTTCGATCTTTAGTGGGTTAGGTACCAGAAGGAGTTGACCGATATATTCCATCTTAGCACCAGACCTTGGGTAAATAAAAATATTGGGATGTGTGAAATTTGAAGACAATCTGACTCTTACATCACAATTTGTAAGAGTTTTAATTATTCAGCATATTGGGCGTTTGTGGGTGAGGTGCTCGATGGAGTGAACCGATTATGTCCTTTTTTGCACCTGACCTAGCACTGATAGAAATATTTGGATTTGCAAAGTTGGAGCATAATCGGATTATCCTTTTACTTTCTGTGCAAAAAATATATTTTCTGAAAATTTCGACTTTTTGTGGGGGAGGTACCAGAAGAAGACGAATATATTCCATCTTAGCACCACACCTTGGATCAATAAAAATATTGGAATGTATGAGATTTGATGACAATCGGACTCTTACATCGCATTTTATAAGAGTTGCAATTATTAAAAAATTTGACACTTTGTGGGGGAGGTTCTTGATGGAGTGGACCGATATTGTCCATTAAAGCAAATATTAAAATTCGCAAAATTCGAGTAAAATCGGATATTCCTTTCTCTTTCTGTGCAGAAAATATATTTTCTGAAAATTTCAACCTTTTGTGTAGGAGTTTCCAGAAGGAGTGGACAGATATTGCCCATCTCCGAGCTTGATATAAGTTTGACAAAAATATTACTATGTACCCAGTTTGGACCAAATCGGATACTACCTTCGAGAGTTATCGTGCGCACCAGACAAACAGACAGACGGACGGATATCGCTACATCGACTCCAAATGTCCTGAAACGGATTTGGTCCAAAGAGACCTAGGTTCTAAAACCCTTATTTCGATTAGACACGTTTTGGTCGTATCAAATGATATATACCCTCTGTAGCCATATGACTGAGGGTATAAAAAATACACGTTTATTATCGGGATGGTGCATGAGAAAATGTAAACGGGGAAAGTCCAGCAGCTTATTAAAGTAGAGATAAAAAAACATGTTGTGAACAGTGTGTATCGAAAATTAACCTAAATAGAGGGGCAAGTTCCCCCTAAAATTTTGGAAATTTTTCGGTTATTATTCCTCGGGCTCCATGCACTTTTGGTATATAGTTTCTTCAGCAATGTTGCAAATAAAAATACGAGACATATTTTGGTAGAAAACGTTAGCTATCAATCAAAGAGGGGAATTCATATATATTAAAATATATTTTTGGTGTAAGGCCATACTTTTCGTGAGTTTGTGCCAAAATCTCCAATAGGACATCATTTTGGAGAGATGATGTCAAAGACGATCATATTCTTCATCAAATTTTACTATAGGTCTTCAAAGAAGAGAAATCTCTATTTCCAATGTATATCAAAAAATATTTACATCAATGTTGCCAATAAAACCGAAAATGTTTGCAAATTTCTTTGAACAATCTTTTCTTAGACTTTTTACGACTTTTCGCCTGAAAGTAACATAAAATTTCATTTTAAGCAAAAGTTGTCAAAGAAGGAAATATTCTATACAAAATTTCACTATAAATCTCACAATAAACTATATATCTAGGTGCAATAGTTTTTATGAAAATTACATTCAAAATTTATGTACCAAAAGTGAAAACTATGTCATTGCGATTTTTACTTTCAATTTAACACCTACCCAATCTGAGACAAAATCTCCCTTTATATTTCATTTTTTGGGGAAAAGGTCAAAAGAGGAATTATTCAAGATCAAATTTCATTGTGAGTCTCTGAACAAAAGAAATTTGTAAAGTTAACAAGGACCATAGAAAAATTGCATCAATATTCCCAAAAAGGAATATTCTAAAATAAATAAAATAAATAAAATTAATATTAAAAAATAAATATTTTGATAATTTTTTCTTTGGACTTTTTTCGAGTTGACGCCTGAAAGTAACATAGAATTTCATTTTAAGCAAAAGTTGTCAAAGAAAGAAATTTTCTATACAAAATTTCACTATTAATCTCAGAATAAACTATATATCTGGGTGCAATAGTTTTTATGAAAATTACATCCAAATTTTTTGTACCAAAAGACAAAATTATGTAATTGCTATTTTTACTGTTAATTTAACACCCATACAATCTGAGTCAAAATCTCCCTTTTTACTTCATTTTTTGGGGAAAATGTCAAAAGAGGAATTATTCTAGATCAAATTTCATTGTGAGCCTCTGAACAAAAGAAATTTGTAAAGTTAATATGTACCATGGAAAAATAGTTTCAATTTTTGTTAATAAAAACTGTTATTTATTTCTGAAAAAATTATTTTTCCCCCAAATTTTGCTGCAAATTTTCACATAATTTCACTGCACAATAACCAGTCTGGGTTAGGAAAAATTCCAAGCAAGCTTCAGAGTAGTCGGTTTTAGATCAGAACTCCAAAGAAGTCTCAGTGTCTTAGGCTAAATGTTTTTAAGGTCCTTATGTAGTTTTGCCCATATACAATATTACCCTTATACTTTGAGATATATTCCGTCATATTTAGGATAGAGCTTCGAAATTAGATAAGTGATCTTGGGATTACATTCAGAATCAGTGGTACAAAAGCCCGCTTGGCATTTTTCGTAACCCAGACTGGCTATTGTGTAATGAAATTATAAGGACATTTGCAGCGAATTCTGGAAAAGTCCTCAATTTGTCAAAAACGACCAAATTTTTTTACTAACCAAAATTGATACCATTTTTTGTGGTTTATATTAGGTTTACAATTTTTTTTGTTCAGAGACTCACAATAAAAGTTGATCTAAAAAAATTCATCCTTTGACTTTTTTCCCAAAAAATTAAGTTTAAAGGGGCATATTGTCCCGAATTCGAAAAGAGTTAAATTAACGTTAAAAAGCAAACCCATAATTTTTCGCTTTTTGTACGTACGTTTTGAATGCAATTTTTGTAAAAACTATTGCACCTAGGTATATATTCTATTTTGAGATTAATAGTGAAATTTTGTGAAGAATATTTCCTCTTTTAACACATTTTGCCTAAAGTCTAATTTTATGTACCCTTAAGGTGTCAACTCGAAAAAAGTCCAAGGAAAAATTGCCAAATATAAGGTTTTTTTTTGAACATTGATGCTAATATTTCTTTGACATAAAGTGAAAATAGATACTTCTCTTCTTTGGTGATTTATAGTAGAATTTGATGAAGAATATTTCTGCCTTTGACGTTATCCTTCAAGAAATGATGTTTTGTAGAAGAATTTCGCGTTAAAATGAAAGGGTGTTAATTTAGAAGTACGAAAATATATAATTTTCATTTTTAATACACAAATTTCCAATGAAATTTTCTGAAAAACAGGTTAGGCCAAGATAAATAGTTCATTCTGAGATTGTGTAGATATATTTCCTCTTTTGACACTTTTTGCCTGAAATGAAATTTTATGCACCCTTCAGGTGTCAACTCGAAAAAAAGTCTGAGGAAAAAATTGATAAAAAAAATTAGAGAATATTTTTCAGTTTTTTGGTAAAATTACGTATGCAGTGGGAATAGGGATTTCTTTTCTTTGGTGACTCATGGTGAAATTTAATGGAAATTGTTTTTGTCTTTGACGTCATCTTTCTAAAATGATGCTTTGTTGGAGGTTGTCGCCCAAACTCACACATCGTACGGCTTTAAACTTAAAATGTGTATTAATGTAGATCATTCAGCGTGAGATGAAAAATCTGCAACCAATTTCAGACTGCTGTCATTTCTAAGCCCCTCTTGCGACAGCTCTTAAAATTATTCCAGTGATAGCTCATTATATTGTTTACAAGGGTACAAAAGCATTTTGTTGAGAATTTTCCTGAAAAAAAAAGTTATTCGTGATGGAAATCAAGCGTGATAGTGTGATTTCTTTATATTTGGCTGGAAAACCACAAGTGTCTATGGTTAGAGCACTCCAGCATTTAAATGTGAATAAATCGTTTGTGACTAGTAGCGTGACCCGACGTCAATGAAGTGGACGGAAGAATACAGCAACATCAGCAGAAATGGTTCGAAAAGTAAAGAAGCGACCTGCTCGAAATCCGCATCGCAGTGGCCGAAAAATTGCTCGTGAGCCGAACATATCGCAATATTCCTTTCGGCAAATATTGAAAAATGAGCTTACCCCGAGCCATTGAAATTCCAAAGAAGTGATAGAACTTACACCGCATCAGAAAGAAAATAGACTCAAAAGAGCTAAAGAGTTGCTTCGCTTGGCCGAGTGCCGAGTGGTGAACTGTCCGATGAGAAAACATTCGTTGTCCAGCGTTTTGTAAACAAACAAAATGATCGTGTTCGTCTTGTCAAAGAGGTCAGCTGAAAATATTTACCTTCGGTTGGCCACCAGAACAGAACTCAAGCGCCAGCCATGGTGTGGGCCCCATAACAGCCGATGTATATATATTTAAGTATATTTTAGCCTTGAAATGCCTAATATTATTGCGAAAATATTCTGGAGGGTGTATTAAAGACTTGGGCACGCAAACAATTTGGCCGCAGACCTTGGACATACCAAAAGGACTCAGAACACGCCATCCAAGAATGGTTATAAAATGAGGTTCCTCGCTTCATTTCCAGCGCACAATGGCCACCCAAAATCTCTGGATACCAATCCATTGGACTATTGTGTCTGGAGTATTTTAGAAAGCAAGGATGGCACTAAGAAATACCAAAGTGTCGATTACCTCAAGCAAGCGCTTGAGCCGGAAATGCGCCAAAATACCGCAGAGTAACATTCGGGCAGCGTGTGACGGTTTCATTGACCGTTTGAAGGCCATAATTCGTACCAAAGTTGATCAAATCGAACAGATCTAAACTTATTCTAAAATTTGATGCTATTTCCGACATTTTTTGCTTTCATTCAAAAAAAATACAAATTATGGCGTTTGACTTTGTTGGAGTTTTTTTATCTCACCCTGTAATATCAAAAGAAAGTAGAAATAACAGTAAACTATTCTTCAATGCTATAGCTCCCACATAGCAGTGCCTCCCAAAGTAAAAGAAACTTGAAATTGGGATTCTCGGTAGGTCTGTTCTCTCCTGCCAAAAAATATTCGATTCAGGTCCACTACTTAGTACAGACCCCATATGACGGTACATCCCGATTTTCGGTATTTTGCCGCTTTTTGCCCCTATCAGCTAAAACTTGACATTTAGGGTTCTTGGAAGGTCAGATCGCTTCTTGCAATAAATATTCGGAACTGGTCCACTAATTGGGATAGGTCCCATATAACGGTACCACCCAATTTTTTTAAGATTTTTTGTCAAACATTTTGAACCAAATTAGATGAAATTTGACAATTGGGGTTCTTGGTAAGTCTGCTCTCTCCCTGCAAAAAAATGGTCGCTACAGGTCCATTAATTGGTATAGCCCCCATATAACGGTACCTCCCGATTTTCGGTATTTTGAAGGTTTCTGCCACAGTTTCGAACCAAATTAGCTGAAACTTGACAGTTGGGGGTTCTTGAAGGATGTGTTTCCTCCTCGTAAAGAACAGTTGCTACAGATCCACTAATTGCTACAGACCCATATAAACGTATCTCCCGATTTTCGGTATTTTGAAGATTTCGTACACAATTTCCAACCAAATTAGCTGAAACTTGACAATTGGGGATCTTGAAAGATCTGTTCTATCCCAAGAAAAAAATATCCGCTATAGGTCTACCAACGGTACCTCCCGATTTTCGGTATTTTAAAAGTTACTGCCTCAATTTCCAACCAAATTAGCTGAAACTTGATAATTGGGGTCCTCTCTATTTTGTAGGTTTCATTACCCCAACCCCCCTTTAGGATATGTCACTGATATAATTCGAAAACCCGCAACTCAAATGCTTGTGGCTTTCTCGGTTTTGCGGAGAGAGTATAAAAAAAACCTTTTTTATTTTAATTTTTTCTAATGCGATAAGTTATGACGCCAAACCGCAAATGTTATCCAACACCTTCGAACAAAATAATAAAGAAAAATATACAAATATTTAATTTCATTAAATTTAGTTGAAATTCAGAACTCGTAGCAAGCATTTAATGGCGGCTTGGAAAAAAACACAAAAATGTTTTTAAAAATCCTAATTTTTTTACTGGTGCTCAATCGGATACTATCGCAACGTATACCTTGCTTGGAAAACGATATTGAGTGTCACAAGCTGCTGGCTGCAGATGGAAATTGTGTTGAGTCGCAGTGTTCGGATTTTATGGAATGTGGGCCGTCGAATAAATGCCAATGCAAAACAGCATTCCGGGAATATTTTGATGGACCTCGAAATATTAGTCGTTGTGTATTTTATTTGCCCTCGGCCTGCGGTGATGATATGGAATGTGGTCCCCTGGCCCAATGTTCTTTGGATGAGCGAAATTGCCATTGCATGGAAGGATATCAGATGGTGACCCTAGAAAATGAGTTGCGCCAATTTTGTGAAGAGCTCAACAATGGCAGAGAAGAAGTTCAACCCAAATGTTCACCAGATTATGTGGCATGTTTCGATAAATGTTGTGGTCTTGGGGTTGAGTGTTCCGAAGAGGGTGAATGTGGCTGTGGCCAGGGACTTGTGACTATCTACAATGAAGAAAATCGAACTCTTAGCTGTGAACTGGAAAATGCAAATCAAATAACATGCCCTGAAGATTGCCCCCTAAATAGTCAATGTCGGGAGGGGGAGTGTAAATGCGAGGAGGGATTTGAGGGTGTTACAATGGATGGCAAGTTTAGCTGCAGGTTGGAAATAATTTGTAGATCAGGTCACACGAAATGTTTTGGGAAATGCTGTCCACCAAATGCCGAATGTGTCGAGGGAAATTGCATCTGCCCAAAGGGGTTTGTAGAGTCAAAGGACCCTCTGACCAATAACTTGCTCTGCGTGAAACTTGAAAAACCAACAACAAAATCTTCTATTGGATTTCTAGATGACATTTTCAATTTCGAGAATTTTTGTCAAAATTCCCGCAATAAATGCTCGAAATCGTGCTGCAAGACAAATGCTCATTGCAATGAGAAGGGGGAGTGTGTATGCCGCTCGTCGCGATTCGTTGAGAGGCATACAAAGGTAATGAAGGCGAAATATTGCGAAGAACTGCCAAGGACATATGATAACTTGATTTATATGAGCCTTGGGGGAGTATGCATCCTGGTGGCTTTACTGGTCCTGTGTGCCAAATGTTGTTTGTATTTTAAGAAAAGGACTTAGAAAAAATCCAAAAAAAAATGGAGAGCAGCATTTTTTTTAAATTTAAAAAATAAAATCGTTTCTATGTAGCTTTCAATCAATAAAGAATTCTGATAACATCGAGGTAATTATTTTATTTTACAGGTGTTAAATCCATCCATATATACAGGGTGAGGTAAAAAAACTACAACAATTTTTACATTTTTTTTTTTTTCAATTTTATTGAATGAAAGCAAAATATGTCGGAAATAGCATCAAATTCTAGAATCAGTTTTGATTTGTTCGAATTGGTCACCTTCGGCAGGAATTAGGGCCTTCAAACGGCCAATGAAACCGTCAAACATTGCCCGAATGTTGTTCTGCGGTATTTTGGCCCATTCCCGGCGAAAAGCTTACTTGAGTGGATCAACACTTTGATATTTTTTAGTGCCAACCTTGCTTTCCAAAATACTCCAGAGAAAATAGACCAACGTATTGGTATCCGGAGATTTTGGTGGCCATTGTGCGCTGGAAATGAAGCGAGAAACCCAATTTGTAACAGTTCTTGGGTGGGGCTTGCTGATTCCTGTTGGAATGTCTGCGTCCAAAATGATTGCGTGCCCAAGGCTTTAATACACCCTCCAGAATATTTTCGCGATAATATTCCGCATTTATACTGATGACACGGTCGATTAATACGAGCGCAGAGCGACCATCGGCTGTTATGGCGGCCCACACCATCACCATGGCCGGTGCTTGAGTTCTGGTGGCCAGCCGAAGGTGCACATTTTCAGCTGACCTCTTTGGCAAGTAAACACGATCATTTTGTTTGTTTACAAACTTCTGAGAGAGAGAGAGAAAGAGAGAGAAACCAAAATTCGGCAGACCAACACTTTCGGCCAAGCGAAGCAATTCTTTAGCTTCTTTGAGTCTATTTTCTTTCTGTTGCGGTGTAAGTTCTTGCACTTTGTGGAATTTTAATGGCTTTACCCCGAGCTCGGGGCATTTTTCAATATTTGCCGAATGGAATATTGCGATATGTTAAGCTCACGAGCCATTTTTCGGCCACTGCGACGCGGGTTTCCGTGAAGTCGATTCTTTACTTTTCGAACCATTTCTGTTTTCTTTCGTCCACTTTCTTGACGTCGTATCACGGTAACGACCGATGGTACGAGTCACAAAAGATTTATTCACATTTAAATGCTGGAGTGCTCTGACGATTACCACTTGTGGTTCTCCAGCCAAATATAAAGAAATCGCACTATCACGCTTGAATTCCATCACGAATAACTTTGTTTTTCGGAAAATTCTCACCAAAATGCTTTTGTGCGCTTGTTAACAATATAATGAGCTGTCACTGGAATAATTTTAAAAGCTGTCGGACGAGTGGTTTAGAAATGACAGCAGTCTGTAGTTGGTTGCAGTTTTTTTCATTTCACCCGCATACACTTCGTCTATTAACACGGGTATCAGTCATCGAAAACCCGATATTATGGGCCTCGATAATCTTCAAATTTTCAACCATCTGAAAGGTTACACTAGTATTCCCGATTTCCCATGAGTCGTCGTTAAAACCGAATACCCGATCACCATTTTTAAATGAACTATATATTTGTAGATCCATCTATAGATCTATTATAGATTTCACCAAACCCCCCTCCAAAAAAAAAAAAAAAAAAAAAAAAAAAAAAAGATAGCCACAATTTCCTCATTTTTAATTTTGAAATTGAGCATCTGCCAAACAATCTCCCAAAATAAGAGATGGAAATTAGATTGACGGTTGCTACCATGATTCAATAGCATTTTTTGAAAAAACATTTTTTTGGTATCGAAATAAAATATTTTTCTTTTGCACAGATTTTTTTACCTTTTTATTTTTTTTTTTTTTTTGTCGCACTTCCGTTGGCGTATCGCTAATTTCCTAATGGAATGCCAACAACTGCCAAAACTTTATGACTCACAATTAAAATCAAATTGACGAAAAAATGTGTATGTCCGTTTTCATTGATAAGGTTTGGAATTTTCGGTATTATCAAATAACTTAATGAATCATAACTAAAAAAAGCGTAACTAAAAACTAAAATAATAAAAAAAATTAAAAAAGAAAATATAAAAAAGCTATAAGTTCGGCCGGGACAAATTTTGATTATCCTCCACCATTTGGTAAAAATTTGGCAATTGTCAAAAAATTAAAATCCATTAAAAATTTTGTTAAAATCTTAAAAATACCGAATGTAGCCGTATATGAGGGTCTATACGACGACGTGGACCTGCAAACGCTACTTTTGTAATAAGTCTGCACAGACAAATATCGAATGTCATAGGCTATAGTATTTATTACGAACTTCAAATACTAAATTTAAAATAGTTCCGGTAAATAATGTCGCTAAAATCAGCAAAATACCGAAAATCGGTGGGTACCGTTATATGGGGCCTATACGAAGATGTAGACCTTTTTTTATAGCTCCTCCAGCCTTTGTTAAAAATTCATTAAAAATCCAAGTTTATAGCTCTTCTAGTCCTTGTTAGAAAATCTTTAAAAGTCGACGTTTATGGATCTTCTAGTCCTTGTTAGAAAATTCTTTATAGCTCTGATAGTCCTTGTTTAAAAATTCTTTAAAAATCCACGTTTATAGCTCTTCTAGTCCTTGTTTAAAAATTCTTAAAAAATACACGTTTATAGCTCTGATAGTCCTTGTTTAAAAATTCTTTAAAAATACACGTTTATAGCTCTTCTAGTCTTGTTTAAAAATTCTTTAAAAATCAACGTTTTTGAGCTCTTTTAGTCCTTGTTTAAAAATTCTTTAAAAATCCACGTTTATAGCTCTTCTAGTCCTTGTTTAATTTTTTTTAAAAACCACATTTATAGCTCTTCTAGTCCTTGTTTAAAAATTCTTTAAAAATCCACGTTTATAGCTCTTCTAGTCCTTGTTTAAAAATTCTTTAAAAATCCACGTTTATAGCTCTGATAGTCCTTGTTAAAAAACTTATTTAAAAATCCACGTTTATAGCTCTTGTGGTCCTTGTTTAAAACTTCTTTAAAAGTCCTCGTTTATAGCTCTTCTATTCCTTGTTTAAAAATTTTTTAAAAATCCACGTTTATAGCTCTTCTAGTCCTTGTTTAAAAATTTTTTAAAAATCCACGTTTATAGCTCTTCTAGTCCTTGTTTAAAAATTCTTCAAAAACCCACGTTTATAGCTCTTCTAGTCCTTGTTTAAAAATTCTTAAAAAATCCACGTTTATAGCTCTGATAGTCCTTGTTTAAAAATTCTTTAAAAATCCACGTTTATAGCTCTTCTAGTCCTTGTTTAAAAATTCTTTAAAAATCCACGTTTATAGCTCTTCTAGTCCTTGTTTAAAAATTCTTTACAAATCCACGTTTATAGCTCTTCTAGTCCTTGTTTAAAAATTCTTTAAAAATCCACGTTTATAGCTCTTCTAGTCCTTGTTTAAAAATTCTTTAAAAATCCACGTTTATAGCTCTTCTAGTCCTTGTTTAAAAATTCTTTACAAATCCACGTTTATAGCTCTTCTAGTCCTTGTTTAAAAATTCTTTAAAAATCCACGTTTATAGCTCTTCTAGTCCTTGTTTAAAAATTCTTTAAAAATCCACGTTTATAGCTCTTCTAGTCCTTGTTTAAAAATTCTTTACAAATCCACGTTTATAGCTCTTCTAGTCCTTGTTTAAAAATTCTTTAAAAATCCACGTTTATAGCTCTTCTAGTCCTTGTTTAAAAATTCTTTACAAATCCACGTTTATAGCTCTTCTAGTCCTTGTTTAAAAATTCTTTACAAATCCACGTTTATAGCTCTTCTAGTCCTTGTTTAAAAATTCTTTAAAAATCCACGTTTATAGCTCTTCTAGTCCTTGTTTAAAAATTCTTTAAAAATCCACGTTTATAGCTCTTCTAGTCCTTGTTTAAAAATTCTTTAAAAATCCACGTTTATAGCTCTTCTAGTCCTTGTTTAAAAATTCTTTAAAAATCCACGTTTATAGCTCTTCTAGTCCTTGTTTAAAAATTCTTTAAAAATCCACGTTTATAGCTCTGATAGTCTTTGTTTAAAAATTCTTTAAAAATCCACGTTTATAGCTCTTCTAGTCCTTGTTTAAAAATTCTTTAAAAATCCACGTTTATAGCTCTTCTAGTCCTTGTTTAAAAATTCTTTAAAAATCCACGTTTATAGCTCTTCTAGTCTTTGTTTAAAAATTCGTTAAAAATCCAAGTTTATAGCTTTGATAGTCCTTGTTTAAAAATTCTTTAAAAATCCACGTTTATAGCTCTTCCAGTCCTTGTTTAAAAATTCTTTAAAAATCCACGTTTATAGCTCTTCTAGTCCTTGTTTAAAAATTCTTTAAAATTCCACGTTTATAGCTCTTCTAGTCCTTGTTTAAAAATTCTTTAAAATTCCACGTTTATAGCTCTTCTAGTCCTTGTTTAAAAATTCTTTAAAAATCCACGTTTATAGCTCTGATAGTCTTTGTTTAAAAATTCTTTAAAAATCCACGTTTATAGATCTTCTAGTCCTTGTTTAAAAATTCTTTAAAAATCCACGTTTATAGCTCTGATAGTCTTTGTTTAAAAATTCTTTAAAAATCCACGTTTATAGCTCACCTAGTCCTTGTTTAAAAATTCTTTAAAAATCCACGTTTATAGCTCTTCTAGTCCTTGTTTGAAAATTCTTTAAAAATCCACGTTTATAGCTCTTCTAGTCCTTGTTTAAAAATTCTTTAAAAATCCACGTTTATAGCTCTTCCAGTCCTTGTTTAAAAATTCTTTAAAAATCCACGTTCATAGCTCTGATAGTCCTTGTTTAAAAATTCTTTAAAAATCCAAAAAAATAGCTCTTCTAGTCCTTATTTAAAAATTCTTTAAAAATCCACGTTTATAGCTCTTCTATTCCTGGCTTAAAAATTATGTACAAATCCGCGATTATGGCTCTATAAATCCTTGTTGGGAATTCTTTCAAAATCCCTCCCTCCGAAGTAATTTCCAAAGTTTTTTTATTAAATATTTAAAATTATTTTATTTAAAAAAATTCTAAACTTAATTCTTATTTACACGTATAAATTAAAGGAACTTCTAATTCTAGGTTCAAACATTATGCCTACCGACCTGAGTAACATTGAAATATTTTACACTCATATAAATTAAAGCTAAAATTAAACAAATGACACCAATGAAAATATATGAAGATGGTATTTTATGGGGTTCCGCGCTGACAGCTACACAATGCTTCCTTGTTCTGTTTTCCCCAGCCATTTCCCTAAATCCCTCCCGACATTGGCAACCCTGTTGACTGCTGCAGACAGTATTTTCACCACAGCACAGTGGCGAACAAATATTCTCCGGCTTTAAACAATAATCCGCCAGGTCGTTAGATCGTGTAGTGTTTTCATGCTCATTTTCATTGGGCGGCGGAGCATAAGTCATAATGGGTTTCCGGCGATTTTTGGGAATATGATTTGCCTCCTTGGCGTGTATAGGCGGAAGGGTTGTGGTGTTTGACCGCAGAACAGTTGTTAATTTTGAATGGTTGCTTTGCTTGGTAGTGGAGGTAGTGTTGTTGTTATTTTCTAAGTTGTATTCTGTGGTAGTTGTTTCGTATGCTCCACTCTCTTTAAGAATTTTTTCTCTCTCTTTTTGAGTTTTGCCAATGAGAATTTTGTTGGGATTATTTCTCACCGTTGTCTCATTTTCTTCAGTGTTGTATTTGTTGGCATTCGAAGAGATGGTTTCTTTGTCTGAATTCTCTCCGCCACTGAGAGAAGTTTCATTTACATTTAGAACTTCAGTGTTGCCTGCGTTTGTCCAGGAATTTTTATCTTCCTTTGAAGTGCCTTGCTGGCCTTCCAAAGTTCCCTCAGAAAGAGGTAGGGCAGTGGTGGTCTGATTTTTTGATTGATTGTCAGTCCCTGAAAAGTTCCCTGTCCTCTCTGTTGTTGTCTGTGGAGGAGGCTTTTGTTTTTCCGTATCGGAAAGGTTGTGCTGTTGTTTGAATGTTTTGTACAATTCCTGAAATATAGAGGTCGTTACTGTCTCATACTCATCTAAATTGTGTGGCTCAGATGATGAGAACGAAGAAGCTGCCTCCTTTGAGGAATTACTTTCCGAAGACTTCTCAATCTCCTTAATATCCGTATTAGGAAAACTGCCCTGTTGTTTAAATGTTTTGTAAAATTCCTCAAATATAGATGTCGCTGTTGTGTCATAGTCATCAAAGTTATATGTCTTCGATGACGAGGACGCAGAAGCTGCTTCATCTGAGGAATTACTTTCCGAAGACTTCTCAATCTCCTTGGTTTCCGTACTAGGAGAACTGTCCTGTTGCTTAAATGTTTTGTACAATTCCTCAAATATAGATGTCGCTGTCGTGTCATACCCATCAAAGTTATCTGTCTTCGATGACGAGGACGCAGAAGCTGCCTCCTTTGAGGAATTACTTTCCGAGGAATTACTCTCAATCTCCTTGGTATCCGCATCAGAAAAGTTGAGCTGTTTGAATATTTTATCAAATATAGATGTCGTTGTTGTGTCAAAATTGTGTGTTTTCGATGACAAGGACGAAGACCCTGCCTCCCCTGAGGAATTACTTTCCAAAGAGTTCTCAGTCTTCTCATCGGATCGATTTTTGTTGTTGAACATTTCGAAGATGTCTTCATTGGTATGCGGAGTGGTAGGCGAAGTTAAGGTATCCTCCAACTCCTGATCAGATGTTGGGTTGATAGGTAATTCCTCAGATATTTTTGGAGTTTCAACTTCCTTCAAAGTCTGATCAGATGTTAAATTGATCGGTAATTTCACAGATATTTTGGATGTTGAAGTTCCAAATTCCTCTAAAGTCAGATTATTTTCGAGCCCCTTAGAAATGTTCGCTGACAATCTTGTAACTCCTTCGAACGCATTTCTCGATTTCGAATTCTTTGAGTTCTCCGCGACATCACTTGAGGTCTCAAATTGCTGAGAATTTCCTCTTGCGGATTTGGAATCAATGACCTCCTCTTGTGTGTTTTCGTGTGAAGTTGTAGTGCCCGGAATTTCATCAAAATCTATATCCATGGAAAAATGACCTGCCATTTCCCCCAAGGTCTTGGGTTCAACTTTTTGAACCTTCGAGTCTTCTGTTGAAGCTCTGCCAGCAATATCTTCAGATTGAAAATCATTTGTGGTTGTAGTACTGAATAAATCCGGAAGCGAATGGTCTGAATTTTTATTAGTTTCCCTGTCTGTGGCAAAATGTGTTTCCAACCTTTGGGCGAGGTCGAATTCTGTAGCTGTGACTTTTTGGTGCTCTGTAATGGCGTTGGAGGAAGAGTTCTCTCCTGAAGTATCTTCAGTATGTGGTGTGATTTCTCTCCAAATTGTGCTGGCATTTTTGTCTCCCCTGTTGCTCTCATCAATGGAATTGCTCTCCCTGGTTTCTCGGCCAATAGAGGGGGTGGTGAGATCTGAGGCCTGATTATCTAAATGTTGGCTTGTGGATTCTTCTCCAAGGGAATTATTTTTGAGTGGATCTTCTGTATTAATTAAATTGCTCTCCTTGACTTTTGGGCCAATAGATGAGGTGGTGAGTTCTAAGATCTGATTATCTAAATTTTGGCCAGTGGATCCAATTAAAGAATATTCATCTCCATGGGAATTATTTTTGAGTGGATTTTCTGCATTAATTAAAATGATCTCCTCGATTCCTGGGCTGGTAAATTCCGTGGCCTGAGAATCTAAATTTTGGCCAGTAGACCCAATCGAAGAATTGTCATTTCCATTGGCATTATCTTTGGGAGGATTTTCGGCATTTAAATATGTGGGAATTCGCAGTGGCACAGAGGCCTCTGCAGTCGTTGGAGACGTTGTCCCGGGTTCGTTTGTTGTGGTGGTGAGATTTTCTTCGTAATGGGAGTCTTCAGGTGTTGAGGCATTATTATTGGGCTCCAGATGGTTTTTCTCCCCCAGAAAATCTTCAGGTTCCATTGTTGTCGATGTGAACCTTTCTCCGTGGTCAGAGACATTAGATATTAACTCTGGAGGATTTTTCTCACCCAGCAGCTCTTCAGCTTCAGTTGTTGCGAAGTTGACAATCTTTTCTGAACTAAAGTCGTCGGCATTTTTGGCATTGAGAGTTCCTGAATATGGCTCAACTTTGAGGGTTTTCTCCAAAAGGAGATCATAATTCTCAGGCTTCAGAGTTGTTTGCATTTCTGAACTGGAGTCTTCGGTATCCTTTGACTTGGAATTCTCTTCTCCATGTTGTGAAATATTGAAGAACGATTTAAATTCTGGTACGAAATGCGCACTGGAACTTGAGTTTGAGGACGAATCACTATCCTTAGGGCTTACTGTGGTCGGGGAATTTCTGCCAGCTTCAAATGCAATTTTCTTCTCATCCCCATTGCCGATAATTGAGTTAGACATCATTTCATTTCCTCGTAGTTGTGAATCGCCATTTTGAGATAGCGGGACTCTGGGTAAGGTATTCGCTATTTCTATGGTAGAATCGGAATCTTGATTTCCTGCTTTGGTCTTTATGCTTTCATTGGAATTTGCGTTTGAAGTTTGAAGCTCATTTTCAAGTGTCTCATTTTTGACTGTACTGGATCCATGGCTATCAATTTTTACAGAACCGTGGTCCATTGGTACCTGGGCTTCGGAATCTTGTGTTAAAGAGCCGTTAGTATTCGAATTCAAATTTTCTTCCTCAGAGGAAAATTCTCTTTCCTGCAATGCACTCGATTCCGTTGAAGAGGTTTGTATCTCAGATATTGGATGTCCATTTACAATGTGAGGCATACTTTTGGGCGCGAATTCTGAAATAGATTTATTGAAGGTCTTGAACTCAATTTCATGTGGGGCAAACATCCCAGACGTACTATTTACTTGAGAAGATTCTTCATTTTCCAACAGCGCTGATTCCGTGGAAGCTAAATGCGTCCTATCCATTGGCATTTCAGTATTTTTGTTTGAAATGTGTAGCATATTTTTAGGAGCATCATCAGCTGTCTGATTTGAATTCTCCTTTACGTTTTCACCAAAATATTTGGGATTTAATTCCAAAGAAGTTTTATTAGAGTTATGAAGATTGAGAGAGACTGAGATAGCGTTTCCGGAAAATTCTTCCTTTTTCTCTTCTTCTGAAAGCGAGGCAATCTTACCAACCGGAACATTTCTTGTGGTCATCAGGACCGATTCCGTTGATGGAGTCTGCGATTTATCATCAATTACAGCTAAAGTTTCATCTAAAATTTTAGCTACATCTGCAGGATTTACTTCTTCGGATGACATTCCTTTTATGCTGGGATGAGAAGCATTCAAGCCGTTGGGCATAGTTTCTGTTGAGCTCTCCATCTTGTGGTCATCCAGATCAGATTTTAAATTTGTTGTCTTTGGTTTGGAACTAGTCTGGGAAGCGGCATTAGGATCTATGGAAGCCAATCCTGGCTTCTTTTTATACTGGTTTGATGATATCTGCTCTGTGTTCAATGACTGCTGCATAGTTTTAGGCGTTGTATTTGAAATTGCCTTATGATTTCTTGACGGTACGTTAGGTACCACCGCCACAGTATATTGAGCTTCGGTATCTAGTTTTGGGTAAGCATTCGAATTTTCAGCGATTTCCTTGTTCGTCTTTCTCTTAGTAGATGGTTTCTCCTGCATGCTTTTAGGCATTTCCTTGCTAGCATTCAAAATTGGACCAGCTGTAGTAGGCAGAGGCTTAGGCCGGTTGTAAGAATCATGAATGACTAAGATATTTCCCTCACTTATCAAGGATTCTGAGGGAAGAATTTCCCTTGGCTTTTCCGTTTGGGAATTGGTCATATCATCCTCGGGTATGTATATACCGAATTTTCCAGTAACAATTGGTTCGGGGGTCTGTGTTCTTATTTGGGTCTCTTCAAGATTGTGAACAGCCGTCACTGAGGATCCCGATGTGGGTGTTGTAATTTCAGTTTCGTCGTCGTCCTCTTCTTGGTAATACTTCACTCCAGATTCATGATTATTGAAAGGAGACTTTGCATCCTCTATTGGAATAGGATTTTCCACAAAATCGGCATGATTTCTATTATTATCCTTAGGCATATCATAGCCCTTCGTTGATCCTGTCTCCGTACCTACATTACCCACACCAGAAGAGAAAAAATATTGAAATTGTTGTCTCTACAAAAGAAAAATTATTCTTACCCACGGGAACAGTGTTCTCCCCGGAGGCATCTGTCAGAATTTGGTGTCCCCCGCTGTTCCCAGGATTATTCGATGTGTCTTTGGATGCGGTTTTCACCACCACGGCGTTTTCCAAAGCAAGTTCTTTTTTATAGTCATCTTCCTTGCTTGAAGTACCTTGAGATTTATGAATGGGAGACCCTGTAGTAGACTTCCCTACAGCTGCGGGATCTATAGGCCTGGATGTATGGGAATCTGGGCCCAGAGTTGTGACTTTTACATTTGTCACAATGCCTCGAGATTTTGTGGAATTTTGAAGATGAGGATTTGCAGTAGTCGGAACCAATCTTCCAGCAGAGTTTGCAGCGCCAGCGTTCATCTCAAAGTTTGAAGGATCTGCTGTTAAAAAAATAAAATCTCTTAATGAAATAAAGTACAATTTTGGGTCCAGTAGAACTAACTGTGGAAGAAATCTTCAAAATACCGAAAATCGGGAGGTACCGTTGTAGCGAATATTTTCCGCAGGAAGAGAATAGATCTTTCAAGACCCCCAATTTTCAAGTTTCATCCAATTTTGGTTGGAAATTTTGGCAAAAACCTTCAAAATACCGAAAATCGGGAGGTAATGTGGGGACTACGCCAATAAGTGGATCCGAAGCAAACATTTTTTTGCAGGGAGAGAACAGACCTACCGAGAATTCGAAATGTTAAGTTTCATCTAATTTGGTTGGAAATTGTGGCAGAAACATTCAAAATACCGAAAATCGGGAGGTACCGTCCTAAAGGGGGCAATGCCAATCAGTTGACTTGTAGCGAATATTTGTTTTAGGGAAAGAACGGACCTACCGAGAACCCCAAATTTCAATTTTCACCTAATTTTGTTGGAAATTGCGGCAGAAATCTTCAAAATACCGAAAATCGGAAAATATTGTTATATGGGGGCTATAGAAATTAGGGGACCTGTAGCGAGCATTTTTCGCAAGAGAAGGACAGACCATTAAAGACTCCCAATTCTTAAGTTTAAGCTAATTTGTTAGGAAATTGCTGCAGAAACCTTCAAAATACCGAAAATCGGGAGGTACCGTTATATGGGGGCTATACCAATTAGTGGGCTTATAGCGAACATTTTTTCACAAAGGGCGGTCTGTTCGCCCTTTGTGAAAAAATTCCAAATGTCAATTTTCAGCTAATTTGGTTGGAAATTGTGGCAGAAACCTTGAAAATACCGAAAATCGGGAGGTATCGTTATAAGACGGCTATACCAATTGGTGGGCTTCTAGCGAACATTTTTTTACAAGGGACGAACAGACCTACCAAGACTCCCAAATGTCAATTTTCAGCTAATTTGGTTGGAAATTATGGCAGAAACTTTTAAAATACCGAAAATCGGAAGGCACCGTTATATGGAGGCTATACCACTTAGTGAGCTTTTAGCGAACATTTTTTCGCAAGGGGCGAACAGACCTACCAAGGCCACCAAATGTAAATTTTCAGCTAATTGGTGGGAAATTGTGGCGTAAACTTTTAAAATAACGAAAATCCAGAGGTACCCTTATATATATACCAATTGGTGGGCTTCTAGCGAACTTTTTTTCGCAAGAGGAGAGCAGACCATTAAAGACCCCCAATTCTTAAGTTTAAGCATATTTGGTAGTAAATTGTGGCAGAAACCTTCAAAATACCGAAAGTCGGGAGGTACCGTTATATGGGGGCTATACCAATTGGTGGAACTGTAGCGAGCATTTTTTGCAAGAGGAGAACAGACCATTCAAAACTTTCAATTGTTAAGTTTAAGCTAATTTGGTTGGAAATTGTGGCAGAAATCTTAAAAATACCGAAAATCAGGAGGTACAGTTATATGGAGGTTATACCAATTGGTGGCCTTCTAGAGAACATTTTTTCACAAGGGTCGAATAGACCTACCAAGAACCCCAAATATCAATATTCAGCTAATTTCGTTGGGAATTATGGCAGAAATGTTTAAAATACCGAAAATCTGTAGGTACGGTTCTATTTGGCCTACACCAATTAGTGGACCTGTAGCGAATATTTTTTGGAAGGAGAAGAAAGACCTACCGAAACCCCTAAATCTCACTTTTCACCTAATTTGGTTGGAAATTGAGGCAGAAACCTTCAAAATACAAAAAATCGGGAGGTACCCTTATATGGGGGCTATACCAATAAGTGGATCAGTAGCGAATATTTTTTGGAAGGAGAAAAAAGGCCTACCGAGACCCCTAAATCTCACTTTTCACCTAATTTCATTGGAAATTGTGGCAGAAACCTTCAAAATACAAAAAATCGGGAGGTACCCTTATATGGGGGCTATACCAATAAGTGGACCAGTAGCGAATATTTTTCTGCAAGGAGAGAACAGACTTTTGGAGAAACCTAAATGTCAATTTTCTCCTTATGAGGCAGGAACCTTTAAAACACCGAAAATCGGGAGGTACCGTTACATGGGGGCTATATCTAACCGTGGACCATTTTCAATACTAACCATCTGGAATATAATATTAACCTTTGTGCCAAATTTCAAAGCTCTATACTAAATAATGCGGACTTTATCGGGTTTTAAAACAACAGACGGACGGATACCTAAATTGCCAGGATTCCCAGGAATCTTGATCTGAAAATTTAAAAAAAAGTATGGAAGTAGTATTTACCCACCCCCCCCCCTCCCCCTCTGTTGCTTTCCTTTCATAATCTACTCAATTTTACTGAAATTATTTTTTGTGTTGCATAGTGTAATCTTGGGAATATTTAGTTTTCCACTCACCTGTAGTTGGTGGTAACGATTTTTGGGGGGTAATTTCCGAATTTCCACCACCTCCAATTTTTGGGAGAACCTCAGGCTGAGAACTATTTTCAAGTTCCGAAGTATCTTCTTCTGGGGATTTTTCCTCTGAGTCATTGGACAAAGAGGTAAAATGGCTGGAATTTGGTATTTTGGAAATAAAGGTGTCCTTATGGTCCTCCATGGAAATTCCACTTTCCGTTTCAATTTCTTGGTGAGCGGTATTTTCCAGACGAAGCTCTTTCTGAGGATATTGTGGGAGGACATCTTCATGATATTGTGGGTCCTTGTGCTTATCCTTCATGGAAATTCCATTTTCTGTGTCACTTTCCTGGTGGGCGGTAGTTTTCAGGCGAAGCTCTTTTTCAGGATATTGTGGATGGACATCCACAGGATATTTTGGGTCTTTGTGCTTGTCCTCCAAGAAAATTCCATTTTCTGTTTCACTTTCTTGGTGGGCGGGAGTTTCCAGGCGAAGCTCCTTCTCAGGATATTGTGGAAGGACATTTACAGGATATTGTGGAGAAATTGTTGACTGCTGGATACCGACGTTGAATGAAGGCGATATAAAGGGGTCCTTGTGGTCATCTATAGACAATCCATTTTCTGTTTCATTTTCCTGGTGGTCGGTATTTTCTAGACGAAGGGTTTTTTCAGGATACTGTGGAAGGACATCCTCAGGATATTGTGGGTCCTTGTGCTTGTCCTCCAAGGAAATTCCATTTTCTGTTTCACTTTCTTGGTGGATGGTATTTTCCAGACGAAGATTTTTCTCGGCATATTGTGGTAGGACATCCTCAGGATATTGTAAGGAAATTGTTGGCTTCTGGACATTGTCATTAAACGAAGACGAAATAACGGGATCCTTGTGCTCCTCCGTGGACAATCCATTTTCTATATCACTCTCCAGGTGGTCGGTATTTTCCAGACGAAGGCCATTATCAGGATATTGTGGTGAAATTGTTGTCACATTATCTTGGGGTATATACTCCACTTTGGTTCCGATCATAATATTGTGGTTACCTTCTTTAAATTTCATATTTTTGTCGCTGATGGCATTTTGATCCTTGAGGTCCTGTGAAGTATTTTGAGCAAATATTTGAGATGGAATATCTTCTATAAATGCCTGGGACTCATCTTTGCCAATTGAAGAATCCACATCTTCTTCTTGGGAGGATGAGATAATATCCTCACAATCGGCTTTCTTAGATGAATCTTCTTGGTGGACAGGACTTTCTTGTTGATGGGCTTTCTCGGGATAATGTGGTGAAATTGTTTTTCCATTTCCTTGGAGGACATTTTCGCTCCTCATATTATTTTCGCTGATAGCATTTTGATCTTTGAGGTCCTGTGAAGCATTTTGAGCGAATATTTGAGATGGATTATTTTTTATAAATTCTAGGGACTCATCCTTGCCAGTTGAAGGATCTACAAATTCTTCTTGGGTGGAGGAGGAGTTTATTTCTTCGCTGGTGGTCTTCGTAGATGTTTCCGTGAAATTACCATCCCTGCTTGATGTAGATGTTGTTGTAATTGTTGTATCGGGATTTTCCTCCTCTTTTCCTGGGCTTTTTGGGTCTTCGCTCTTGAAATAATTGTGAGTGATTGCAGGGGCTTTCTGATGCTGGAGTTCCAAGGTTTTTGTATGATCTAAACTCTCATTTTTGTCGTGAACTTCAGGATCTTGTTGATGTTCAAGCCTGGAGGTTGGGGTTAAATCTTGACTTTTAAATTCTCTCTCTTTTCCATTTAAGGATAATGTTTCTTTGGGTTCAGGCTCGGTTTGGGTTTCATGACTTCTGGTGGTTGAATACTGATCCACAAATTGTCTTTCTTTTCCATCTGGCGAAGAAGTTCCTTTATGTTCTGGCTCATTTTGGTGTTGAAGACTGGAGGTCGAAGTTTCTTTACGTTCGGACTCACTTTGGTGTTCGAGACTAGAGATCGTGGTAAAATGTTCGCTCTGAAGTTCTCTCTGCATTTGAGAATTATTTTCTTTGTTTTGGATTTTTTTAAAGTTACTCTCCGGCAATTGTTTTTCTCTCTCCCATTCTCTAGTAGCTTCCGGAGAAGGGTCATTTTCAAATTCAGTTGGAATATCTTCTCGAATTTGATAGGTGTCATGGCCTGGTTTTGAATCTTGATCGGAATACCCTTCATTGTTGTTATTTTTGTTGGGATTTATTTCTGCCATCGGTCTTTCATTCTGCTCTCCGACATCCAAATGCTTGTCTATCACTGCCTCCCCACCGAAGTTTTCTGGGTTTTCAACAGCCAATTGATTGGAGGTTCTTGATTTATGAAGATCCTGAATTTCTTCGGCAATGCCGTTTCTTTTGTCCATTTCCATAAACATTGAAGCCTCCTCATGAATTTGGGAGATTTTTCCTTTGACTTTTTTCTCATCGACATCCAATGAAGATGACGGATGCTGGTCCTTAGCGAAATTTCCATTTGAATCAACTTCTTGGGAATTGTTTTGTGGTTCCGATTCTACGCCGATTTCCTCAGCATTGGAAACATTCAACATTTTCAGTTGGCTACCAACAAAACCATTTTGATTTTCAGACAACACTTCGATGTCATGGAAATTTTCCGAGGAATCGTGTTCTGGCTCTCTCAAAAAATTCGAATCAGTGACGCCTTCAGTTTTCTTCATCTCTGCCAGAGTATTTTTTTCAGGGTGATTAGAATCCGAATTGATTTTTTCTTTAGATGGAAATTCCTCCTCTAGGATATTGTCAGTTGTGCGAGGTAATTGTTCTCTCTGGCTATCAGATGCTGTGGATGAGGGGCTCTCCTGTTGACTTTGATTATCTGTCGAAAAATTTTGGTCATTTGTCTCAAACTCTCCTAGAGATTTTCTTTCCGGGAGCCTAGAGTCCGAATTCAATTTTTCTTCTAATCCAACATTTCTTCCGATCGAAAATCTATTGAGAAGTCCTTCTGTTGTGTCATGCCAATATTCTCTTCCTATTTCAGATTCTGTGGAAGATGTTTTCTCTTCTTTCTCTTGAGATTGTTTCTCTTCCGAATAATTTTTGGAATCTTGCGTCCTTTCCTTTGAATTTTCCGAGAAATCAATACTGGTCGCCGACTTCTCGGGAGCAACACTTTCAGGGAGAATAAAATCGGAGTTGACGAATTTTTCCTTAGACGCAATGTTTTCTTTGGGAGATTTATTACTACTTATCTCTGCCAGTTCTCTTTCAAATTCCGAGGCTGTGGAATGGAGACTCTCTCCTTCCTGTTGACTTGGTTCCGCTCCCAAACTTTCTTTCTCTCTGAAATCTTGGGGTATATTCGTTGTACTGCCAACAAAAGCACTTGGCTCTTCAGCTACCACTCTGACGTCATCAATTTTTTCAGAGGAGCCTTTACTGCTCTCTACCTCCCCCAGAGTGTATCTTTCAGGGAGATGAGAATCTGAATTGAATTTTTCTTCCAATCCAACATTTTTTTCCATCGAAATTTTTTCGGAGACTGCTTCTGTTGTGCTAAGCCAATATTCTCTCCCTATTTCTGATTCGTTCTGAGATGTTCTCTCCTTTTGCCCGTGATTTTGTTTCTCTTCCGAATTATCTTCCTCATTTTCGTGATCTTTGTAATTTTCAGGCATTGTCATTTGGCTGCCAACGAAACGATTTAGTTTTTCCGACAACACTTCAACATCATCCAAATTCTCAGCTGAATCACTTCTTTCATCAGTCGTCTCCAACTCTCTCGAAGTATCTTCTCTTTCACCCGGAGATGCTGTGAAAGATCGCCGCTCCTTTTCAATTCCATTTTGGTTTTCATTCAAGCTTTCATCAGGTTCTCCTTCGGAGGGCACATTGATTTCGGTAAGGCCTCTCAGATTCTTTTCAGTAATGCTGGGCCTATATTCTCTTTCTCTCTCCGAAGCAATGATAGTTGATCTCTCTTCTTCATTTGGAATCTGTCCCTTCTCTTTCGAAGCATTTTCTTTTTCACTTTGCGATGCCGTGGGGGATCGGCTACCCTTTTCAATTCCACCTTGGTTTTCATCAAATATTTCATGAAGTTCTCCTTCGGATGGCACACTGGATTCGTCAAGGCTCCTCAGATTCTTTTCAGTTGTACTGGTAGTAGAACTATATTCTTTTATTTTAATCTGTCCCCGCCCCAGTGACATGGAATGTGGTCTCTCTTCTTCATTTCGACTCTGATTCTCTTCTGACTCTCCATTAAATTCTCCTTCGGTTGTGACATTGGCTTGCGATACCCCGCTTGGATTTACTTCCGTTGTGCTGCTCCGATATTCTGTTCCTCTCTCAGAAGTTATGGTATCTGATCTCTTTTCATCATGTCGATTCTGATCCGTCTCGTGACCTTTTTTAGAGTCTGATATGTCTTCACCGGATGTGGATCTTTGTGTTGAGCTGGTCCAATTTTTTGTTTCCAGAGCTACGGATCTTGAACTCTCTGTTGCATTTGGCAATTGTTCAAGTTCAGAAATTTCACTAAAAATCTGCGGCTTAGCATTATAGGGAACTATTAACTCATGGCCAACCTCGGAGGGAATTTTCTGGGCATCTCCTACTAAGGGCTCTTCGAAGTTAATGAGGTGGAGATTTTTGGGTTCCAAAGTTGTTGTTGTTGTTGTTGTAGGAATTTTGCTATCATTTGTAGGCTCTAAAGATTTTTCGTTTCGAGAATTTTCAGATTTCGGAGAAAATGCTACAGATCCTGGCTCATTTTGAATTGCTGAAAACAAAATGGCCGGTTCTTGGTTTTCGTTGGCTTTTTCATGTTTTACTTCAACATCGGACGGAGCCAATGGCCTCTCGTTTTCCTCATCCAAAGTTTTATTTGTAGCCGAACTTGGGTCAGGGAATTGAAAACGACTTTCAATATTTTCATTAAGCTTCAGATTTGGTTTAAACTCCTCGGAGCTTGGTGGGGTTACAAATTCCTCTCCCAAAAAATTATTGGAACCTAAGTCCAGTTCTTGTTTGGAAATATCCTCTTCATTATTTTCCGGACTTGGCAACTTCTCATCGGCAGGGTTGGCCATTTTTAATTCCTGATTTTCCTTAGGTTTTCCATCTGATATTTTCCTCTCATCATCATCTGACACGACCTCAGTTTCCAGATCAATGGGATTTTCAATGTCCTTGTCTTCCTTTTGAGATGTAGTTGTGGGATGTTCATATTCCCCGAATTTTTTGGGGATTTCTTGATTCTGCTCCGGGGACACCTGCATTTTTTCAATATGGCTTTCGTGGTCCCTATAGCTTTCGGGCTCTGCAATTGCACTTTTATTTGTCATAGAGTCCCCCGATTGGGCGCCGTTTTCTATATATTCGGTTATATTTTCCTTGAGATTAGACTGAGGATCGTTGGAATTTTTTTGAGGGTCTTTGGAGAAATTTTCAATTTCTCGATTTTCGAAATCTACTCCGCTTTTATTTTTCTCACGGTCTTGAATTTCTGAATCTTCCCCAGGATTTTGAAGAGAATTTCCTGATTTGGCGCCATTTTCCATATGTTCGGGTGTATATTCCTTGAAAGTAGGCTGGGGTTCTTTCGAATTTTTTTGGGGACCTTTGGAGAAATTTTCAGTTTCTGGATTTTCGAAATCTACTTCACTTTTATTTTCCTCACTGTCGTGAATTTCTAAATCCTTTTCAGGATTTTGAGGAGAATTTCGTTGAAAATCATTCGTTTCTTCTTCGGATGATATATCTTTTTCACTGGCATGTCCGTTTTCTTTCCTGAAAGAATCCCCCGATTGGGCGCCATTTTCAATAAGTTCTAGTGTATATTCCTTGAGAGTAGGCTGAGAATCGTTGGAATTTTTCTGAGGGCCATTGGAGAAATTTTCTGTTTCTCGATTTTCGAAATCTACTTCACTTTTATTTTTTTCACGGTCTTGAATTTCTGAATCCTCCCCAGGATTTTGAGGAGAATTTCGTTCAAAATCTTCCTTCACTTCTTCCGATGACATATCGTTTTCACTCGAAAATTCGTTTTCATTCGTCACAGAATCCCCCGATTGGACGCCATTTTCTATAGGTTCGAGTGTATATTCCTTGAGAGTAGGCTGAGGATCGTTGGCATTTTTTAGGGAGCCTTTAGAGAAATTTTCTATTTCCGGATTTTCAAAATCTACTTCACTTTTATTTTTCTCACGGTCTTGAATTTCTAAATCCTCTTCAGGATTTTGAGGAGAATTTTGTTTAAAATTATTCGCTCCTTCTTCGGATGATATATTGTTTTCATTTGCATATCCTTTTTCTGTTGTCAAAGAATCCCCCGATTGGGCGCCATGTTCAACTTTATTTTCCTTGAGGATAGGCTGAGGATCTTTCGATTTTTCTTGGAGTCCTTTGGAAAAAATTTCTGTTGCATATCCTTTTTCTGTTGTCAAAGAATCCCCCGATTGGGCGCCATGTTCAACTTTATTTTCCTTGAGGATAGGCTGAGGATCTTTCGATTTTTCTTGGAGTCCTTTGGAAAAAATTTCTGTTTCTCGATTTTCTACTCCACTTTTATTTTTCTCACGATCTTGAATTTCTGAATCCTCCTCTGGATCTGGAGGAGAATTTCGTTCAAAATCTTCCGTCTCTTCTTCCGATGACATATCGCTTTCACTTGCATATCCGCTTTTATGCCTTAAAGAATCTCGCGATTGGGCGCCATTTTCTATATCCTTGGAATTGGAATTTTCTTGGGGGCGTTTGGAGAAATTTTCTGTTTTTCGATTTTCGAAATCTAATTCACTTTCAATTTTCTCCCTGTCGTGAATTTTTAAATTCTCCTCAGGATTGTGGGGAGAATTTCGTTCAAAATCTTTGGCCTCTTCTTCCAATGATATATCGTTTTCACTCGAATATTCGTTTTCATTTCTTAAAGAATCTCGCGATTGGGCGCCATTTTCTATATCCTCGGAATTGGAATTTTCTTGGGGACCTTTAGCTAAATTTTCTCTTTCACGACTATTAAAATCTACTTCACTTTTATTTTTCTCATGGTCTTGAATTTCTGACTCCTCCTCAGGATTTTGAGGAGAATTTTGTTCAAATTCATCTGCCTCTTCTTCCTTTGATATATCGTTTTCACTGGCATTTCCGTTTTTATTTGTCAAAGATTCCCCCGATTGGGCGCCATTTTCGACAAGTTCTTGGGAGTCTTTGGAAAATTTTTCTTTTTCAATATTTTTGAAATCTATTTCACTTTTATTTTTCTCACGGCCTTGAATTTCTAAATCTTCCCCAGGATTTTGAGGAGAATTTCGTTCAAAATATTCATCCACTTCTTCGGATGGTAAAACGTTTTCAATAGATTTTAAAATAGTTTTTTCCGACAACATTTTTTCCGGAGACCGGCTGCTGTTATATTCCTCTCTTTTAAGGCCAGTGTTGGAAATTTGGTTTTCACTATTTTTTGGGAGTTTTTCTTTTTCAAAATTATTTTCTTTTACATTTTCCCGTGGCTCTTCTAATTTTTCTTTTTGTCCAATTTTGGAACTTTCAGTAACTTCCCCAAAATCGGGAGTTGAAATAAATTTTTTCACACTTTCCACACTTCCGAAATTTTCACCAATGAAAAAATTTTCCGTAGTATAGTCCACAACACTCTCCTCCAAATTGGCACATTTAATTTTCATGCCATCATCTTCATCGAGGTATTCCATATAGCCTTCCAGGCAAATGCATTGATTCCATTCATCGCATTTCATATTTTCACCACATTTCACATTGTCACAGTACACATCGGCCACCAGGGGTCGGCATTTGCCTTGAACTAAGGTTTCGTTAGGTGGACACAAGATCTCACCTGCGACCCCAATAAATCCGCCACAAAAAAGTAAAAATAATAATTTTAACATTTTTTTCCGTTACTCGATTATTTTTTTTTTTCTCTTCTTTTTCTTCACACCATTAAAAAATAGTTAATTTTTTCTTAATGCTTAGGTCTTATCCGTTGGACTTTCTTTGGGAAACTGTCAAAAAATTCTAAAGTCAATGTTTGAGGTCACCACAGTGTTGAATGTGCAGAACACAGCAACAATAACAATCTAACAAAAAATACCCCTTTTTTTACGATAACGTATTGTTTGGGTTCATGGCTGCAAACAAAAATTTTTGATATGCCAATATGTGGGCATACATTTTTATGCTTAAGTTCCTTTAGAAAACACACACACATGAACTAATTCATATCTGCGGTTCCAGCAAACTGGAGGTTTATCACATTTTGTTTTTGTTAGTTTTTTTTTTTTTTTTTTTTTTGTATTTCTTTTTTAAACCCTGGAGATGGCCAATCAATTGCAATGACTCTCCTTTGATTTAAAATTTTTGCAGACCACAAAAATCCATGATGTCATAGTTTGAAAATATTTATAGGGAAATCCTGTAGTTTATAAAAATTGAAAAAAAAAATCTAAAAAAAAAGACTTCAATAATACTCAAGTTTTTATCTACAAATATTGACGAAGACACTAGGTACTTAAAATAAAGGGATTCCAAGGTATCTTAATAGAAAAAAATTAAAAAAAAAATATAGAGGGTAGAAATTGTCCCCTCTACTTAGGTTACATTGGGATAAAAAAAATGTTTAAACAATCTTCAAAAAAAAAAAAAAAAGTGAAAAAATTCTTTAAAAAATCCACGTTTTATGGCTCTGAAATTCCTTGAGAAAATTCTTTAAAAAATCCACGTTTTATGGCTCTGAAATTCCTTGAGAAAATTCTTTAAAAAATCCACGTTTTATGGCTCTGAAATTCCTTGAGAAAATTCTTTAAAAAATCCACGTTTTATGGCTCTGAAATTCCTTGAGAAAATTCTTTAAAAAATCCACGTTTTATGGCTCTGAAAGTCCTCGAGAAAATTCTTTAAAAAATCCACGTTTTATGGCTTTGAAATTCCTTGAGAAAATTATTTAAAAAATCCACGTTTTATGGCTCTGAAATTCCTTGAGAAAATTCTTTAAAAAATCCACGTTTTATGGCTCTGAAATTCCTTGAGAAAATTCTTTAAAAAATCCACGTTTTATGGCTCTGAAATTCCTTGAGAAAATTCTTTAAAAAATCCACGTTTTATGGCTCTGAAATTCCTTGAGAAAATTCTTTAAAAAATCCACGTTTTATGGCTCTGAAATTCCTTGAGAAAATTCTTTAAAAAATCCACGTTTTATGGCTCTGAAATTCCTTGAGAAAATTCTTTAAAAAATCCACGTTTTATGGCTCTGAAATTCCTTGAGAAAATTCTTTAAAAAATCCACGTTTTATGGCTCTGAAATTCCTTGAGAAAATTCTTTAAAAAATCCACGTTTTATGGCTCTGAAATTCCTTGAGAAAATTCTTTAAAAAATCCACGTTTTATGGCTCTGAAAATTCTTTAAAAAATCCACGTTTTATGGCTCTGAAAATTCTTTAAGAAATCCACGTTTTATGGCTCTGAAATTCCTTGAGAAAATTCTTTAAAAAATCCACGTTTTATGGCTCTGAAATTCCTTGAGAAAATTCTTTAAAAAATCCACGTTTTATGGCTCTGAAATTCCTTGAGAAAATTCTTTAAAAAATCCACGTTTTATGGCTCTGAAATTCCTTGAGAAAATTCTTTAAAAAATCCACGTTTTATGGCTCTGAAAATTCTTTAAAAAATCCACGTTTTATGGCTCTGAAAATTCTTTAAAAAATCCACGTTTTATGGCTCTGAAAATTCTTTAAAAAATCCACGTTTTATGGCTCTGAAAATTCTTTAAAAAATCCACGTTTTATGGCTCTGAAATTCCTTGAGAAAATTCTTTAAAAAATCCACGTTTTATGGCTCTGAAATTCCTTGAGAAAATTCTTTAAAAAATCCACGTTTTATGGCTCTGAAAATTCTTTAAAAAATCCACGTTTTATGGCTCTGAAAATTCTTTAAAAAATCCACGTTTTATGGCTCTGAAAATTCTTTAAAAAATCCACGTTTTATGGCTCTGAAAATTCTTTAAAAAATCCACGTTTTATGGCTCTGAAAATTCTTTAAAAAATCCACGTTTTATGGCTCTGAAAATTCTTTAAAAAATCCACGTTTTATGGCTCTGAAAGTCCTTGAGAAAATTATTTAAAAATCCATGTTTTATGGCTCTGAAAGTGATTGAAAAAATCTTTAAAAAATTGACAATGGATGTCTCTGATGGTCCTTGAAAAATTTATTTAAAAATTGACATTGGATGGCTCTGAAGGTCCTTGAAAAATTTCTTTAAAAAATTTACATTGGATGGCTCTGATGGTCCTTGAAAAATTTATTTAAAAAATTGACATTGGATGGTTCTGATGGTATTGGAAAAAATTTTTAAAAAATCCACTTTTGATGGTTCTAATGGTCCTTGGGAGAATTATGTAAAAAATCTACGACTCGTGGCTCTGACGGTCCTTGAAAAATTTCTTTAAAAAATCTACGTTTTAATGGTGCTTGAGAAAATTCTTTAAAAATCCAATTTCAGACCAATGAGAAATTTTTTTCAAGGACCTTCTGAGCCTTCAAAATGAATTTTTTAAAGAATTTTCTCAAGGATTATCAGAGCCATCAAGAATGAATTTTTAAACAATTTTCTCAAGAACTATCAGAGCCATCAAGAAAGGATTTAAAAAAAAATGTTTCCAGGACCATCAGAACCATCAACTGTGAATTTTTAACAAATTTTCTCCAGGACCATCAGAAGATTTTTTTCAAGTACCATTATAGCTATCAAGCGTAGATTTTTTAAAGATTTTTTTTAAAACAATTAGAGTTGATTTTTAAAGAATTTATTTAAGGACCTTTAGAACCATCAAAATGGATTTTTAATAATTTTTTTCAAGGACTGTCGGAGCCATTTGACGTGGATTTTTCAAAGAAATCCGTCAAACGTGGATTTTTTAAACAGATCCGTCAAAAGTGAATTTTTTGGAGAGATCCGTCAACGTTTATTCTTAAAACAAGATCTATCAAACGAGATTTTTTTTAAAAAAATTCTAGAGGACCATCAGTGCCATTAAACGTGGTTTTTAAATCAATTTCTATCAAAAGTGTATTTTTAATGAAATATCTCAAGAACCATCAAACGTGAATTTTTAAAGAAATTCCTCAAATTTCTATCAATCGTGGATTTTTAATGAAATATCTCAAGAACCATCAGAGCTATAAAAACATGAATTTTTAAAGAATTTTCTCGAGGGCCATCAGAGGTATCAAACGTGGATTTTAAAAAAAAAATCCTCAAATTTCTATCAACCGCGGATTTTTAAAGAAATTTCTCAAGAACCATAAAAATATGGAATTTTTACAGAATTTTCTCAAGGACTCTGTAGATCTTAGAAAATAATTTTAAACACGCTTGAAGATCTATAAAAACATGTCAAAAAGTCTTGGCCGGTTTTTGCAGTCGGATATATACCTTAAAACAATGTCCGTTTATTTAAATATGTATTTGGACTTGCTTTAAGATTGTTCAAACTGTTGACCCTTTATGGGGGAATGCCTGCGGGAGTGGACCAATATTGTCCATCGAATCTGACCTAAGTCTGATATAAATATTAGAACTAGAAAGATTTGGACTATATCCATTTAAAACTCCCTAAAAATTTGAAAAAAGTCAATAATGAAGGAGTTATGGCCAAAATAAAAATTGATATGTCCATGGATAAACAACAATGATTTAAAACACCGCAAAAAATGCGAAAAACTAAATAAAAAGAAGTTAAGATCAAAATAAAATAATTAAATATTCACAGTTAAAAACGAATTTTTAAAACACCCTAAAATGAAAAAAAAACTCAACCCAAAAAGAAAAAATAAAAAAATTTAAAGACCCTCAAATGATTTTCAATCAGAATCCAAATGATTTTCAAAACGTCTTATCAGTTAAACTCAGTTGGCTCCCACAGTGCTTATCACAGCGGAGCGGAGCATTGTTTCTGTTGAATGGCATCAACTATTTTCTTTTTATCGACAGTTGTAATTCAACTCAAAATTTAAGATAAAATAATTAAAGAAAAATTAATAATGCGTTCGGATAATTTTAGATTGAAAATTCATTAAAAGCGAAATGAAGAAAAATCTTCTCATTCATATTCTAAAAGATATATAGTTTGTTGGTTGAAGTTATATTGAGAGGTTAAGAAAAGGAAAAATTTCTTTAAAAAATCCACGTTTATTGGTCTAAGGGTCGTTGGAAAAATTTCTTTAAAAAATCCACGTTTATTGGTCTAAGGGTCGTTGGAAAAATTTCTTTAAAAAATCCGCGTTTATTGGTCTAAGGGTCCTTGGAAAAATTTCTTTAAAAAATCCACGTTTATTGGTCTAAGGGTCGATGGAAAAATTTCTTTAAAAAATCCACGTTTATTGGTCTAAGGGTACTTGGAAAAATTTCTTTAAAAAATCCACGTTTATTGGTCTAAGGGTCCTCGGAAAAAATTCTTTAAAAAATCCACGTTGATTGGTCTAAGGGTCCTTGGAAAAAATTCTTTAAAAAATCCACGTTTATTGGTCTAAGGGTCCTTGGAAAAAATTCTTTAAAAAATCCACGTTTATTGGTCTAAGGGTCCTTGGAAAAAATTCTTTAAAAAATCCACGTTTATTGGTCTAAGGGTCCTTGGAAAAAATTCTTTAAAAAATCCAAGTTTATTGGTCTAAGTGTCCTTGGAAAAATTTCTTTAAAAAATCCACGTTTATTGCTGTGATTGTCCTTTGAAAAATTTCTTCAAAAAATCCACGTTTATTGGTCTAAGGGTCCTTGGAAAAATTTCTTTAAAAAATCCACGTTTATTGGTCTAAGGGTCCTTGGAAAAATTTCTTTAAAAAATCCACGTTTATTGGTCTAAGGGTCCTTGGAAAAATTTCTTTAAAAAATCCACGTTTATTGGTCTAAGGGTCCTTGGAAAAATTTCTTTAAAAAATCCACGTTTATTGGTCTAAGGGTCCTTGGAAAAATTTCTTTAAAAAATCCACGTTTATTGGTCTAAGGGTCCTCGGAAAAATTTCTTTAAAAAATCCACGTTTATTGGTCTAAGGGTCCTTGGAAAAATTTCTTTAAAAAATCCACGTTTATTGGTCTAAGGGTCCTTGGAAAAATTTCTTTAAAAAATCCACGTTTGTTGGTCTAAGGGTCCTTGGAAAAATTTCTTTAAAAAATCCACGTTTATTGGTCTAAGGGTCCTTGGAAAAATTTCTTTAAAAAATCCACGTTTATTGGTCTAAGGGTCCTTGGAAAAATTTCTTTAAAAAATCCACGTTTATTGGTCTAAGGGTCCTTGGAAAAATTTCTTTAAAAAATCCACGTTTATTGGTCTAAGGGTCCTTGGAAAAATTTCTTTAAAAAATCCACGTTTATTGGTCTAAGGGTCCTTGGAAAAATTTCTTTAAAAAATCCACGTTTATTGGTCTAAGGGTCCTTGGAAAAATTTCTTTAAAAAATCCACGTTTATTGGTCTAAGGGTCCTTGGAAAAATTTCTTTAAAAAATCCACGTTTATTGGTCTAAGGGTCCTTGGAAAAATTTCTTTAAAAAATCCACGTTTATTGGTCTAAGGGTCCTTGGAAAAATTTCTTTAAAAAATCCACGTTTATTGGTCTAAGGGTCCTTGGAAAAATTTCTTTAAAAAATCCACGTTTATTGGTCTAAGGGTCCTTGGAAAAATTTCTTTAAAAAATCCACGTTTATTGGTCTAAGGGTCCTTGGAAAAATTTCTTTAAAAAATCCACGTTTATTGGTCTAAGGGTCCTTGGAAAAATTTCTTTAAAAAATCCACGTTTATTGGTCTAAGGGTCCTTGGAAAAATTTCTTTAAAAAATCCACGTTTATTGGTCTAAGGGTCCTTGGAAAAATTTCTTTAAAAAATCCACGTTTATTGGTCTAAGGGTCCTTGGAAAAATTACTTCAAAAAATTAACGTTTATTGGTCTAAGGGTCCTTGGAAAAATTTCTTTAAAAAATCCACGTTTATTGGTCTAAGGGTCCTTGGAAAAATTTCTTTAAAAAATCCACGTTTATTGGTCTAAGGGTCCTTGGAAAAATTTCTTTAAAAAATCCACGTTTATTGGTCTAAGGGTCCTTGGAAAAATTTCTTTAAAAAATCCACGTTTATTGGTCTAAGGGTCCTTGGAAAAATTTCTTTAAAAAATCCACGTTTATTGGTCTAAGGGTCCTTGGAAAAATTTCTTTAAAAAATCCACGTTTATTGGTCTAAGGGTCCTTGGAAAAATTTCTTTAAAAAATCCACGTTTATTGGTCTAAGGGTCCTTGGAAAAATTTCTTTAAAAAATCCACGTTTATTGGTCTAAGGGTCCTTGGAAAAATTTCTTTAAAAAATCCACGTTTATTGGTGTAAGGGTCGTTGGAAAAAATTCTTTAAAAAATCCACGTTTATTGGTCTAAGTGTCGTTGAAAAAATTTCTTTAAAAAATCCACGTTTATTGGTCTAAGTGTCGTTGAAAAAATTTCTTTAAAAAATCCACGTTTATTGGTCTAAGGGTCGTTGGAAAAATTTCTTTAAAAAATCCACGTTTATTGGTCTAAGGGTCGTTGGAAAAATTTCTTTAAAAAATCCACGTTTATTGGTCTAAGGGTCGTTGGAAAAATTTCTTTAAAAAATCCACGTTTATTGGTCTAAGGGTCGTTGGAAAAATTTCTTTAAAAAATCCACGTTTATTGGTCTAAGGGTCGTTGGAAAAATTTCTTTAAAAAATCCACGTTTATTGGTCTAAGGGTCGTTGGAAAAATTTCTTTAAAAAATCCACGTTTATTGGTCTAAGGGTCGTTGGAAATATTTCTTTAAAAAATCCACGTTTATTGGTCTAAGGGTCGTTGGAAAAATTTCTTTAAAAAATCCACGTTTATTGGTCTAGGGGTCGTTGGAAAAATTTCTTTAAAAAATCCACGTTTATTGGTCTAGGGGTCGTTGGAAAAATTTCTTTAAAAAATCCACGTTTATTGGTCTAAGGGTCGTTGGAAAAATTTCTTTAAAAAATCCACGTTTATTGGTCTAAGGGTCCTTGGAAAAATTTCTTTAAAAAATCCACGTTTATTGGTCTAAGGGTCCTTGGAAAAATTTATTTAAAAAATCCACGTTTATTGGTCTAAGGGTCCTTGGAAAAATTTCTTTAAAAAATCCACGTTTATTGGTCTAAGGGTCCTTGGAAAAATTTCTTTAAAAAATCCACGTTTATTGGTCTAAGGGTCCTTGGAAAAATTTCTTTAAAAAATCCACGTTTATTGGTCTAAGGGTCCTTGGAAAAATTTCTTTAAAAAATCCACGTTTATTGGTCTAAGGGTCCTTGGAAAAATTTCTTTAAAAAATCCACGTTTATTGGTCTAAGGGTCCTTGGAAAAATTTCTTTAAAAAATCCACGTTTATTGGTCTAAGGGTCCTTGGAAAAATTTCTTTAAAAAATCCACGTTTATTGGTCTAAGGGTCCTTGGAAAAATTTCTTTAAAAAATCCACGTTTATTGGTCTAAGGGTCCTTGGAAAAATTTCTTTAAAAAATCCACGTTTATTGGTCTAAGGGTCCTTGGAAAAATTTCTTTAAAAAATCCACGTTTATTGGTCTAAGGGTCCTTGGAAAAATTTCTTTAAAAAATCCACGTTTATTGGTCTAAGGGTCCTTGGAAAAATTTCTTTAAAAAATCCACGTTTATTGGTCTAAGGGTCCTTGGAAAAATTTCTTTAAAAAATCCACGTTATTGGTCTAAGGGTCCTTGGAAAAATTTCTTTAAAAAATCCACGTTTATTGGTCTAAGGGTCCTTGGAAAAATTTCTTTAAAAAATCCACGTTTATTGGTCTAAGGGTCCTTGGAAAAATTTCTTTAAAAAATCCACGTTTATTGCTGTGATTGTCCTTGGAAAAATTTCTTTAAAAAATCCACGTTTACTGCTGTGATTGTCCTTGGAAAAATTTCTTTAAAAATCCACGTTTATTGCTGTGATTGTCCTTGGAAAAATTTCTTTAAAAAATCCACGTTTATTGCTGTGATTGTCCTTGGAAAAATTTCTTTAAAAAATCCACGTTTATTGCTGTGATTGTCCTTGGAAAAATTTCTTTAAAAAATCCACGTTTATTGCTGTGATTGTCCTTGGAAAAATTTCTTTAAAAAATCCACGTTTATTGCTGTGATTGTCCTTGGAACAATTTCTTTAAAAAATCCACGTTTATTGCTGTGATTGTCATTGGAAAAATTTCTTTAAAAAATCCACGTTTATTGGTCTAAGGGTCCTTGGAAAAATTTCTTTAAAAAATCCACGTTTATTGGTCTAAGGGTCCTTGGAAAAATTTCTTAAAAAAATCCACGTTTATTGGTCTAAGGGTCCTAGGAAAAATTTCTTTAAAAATCCACGTTTATTGGTCAAAGGGTCCTAGAAAAAATTTCTTTAAAAAATCCACATTTATTGCTCTGATTGTCCTTGGAAAAATTTCTTTAAAAAATCCACGTTTATTGGTTTAAAGGTCCTTGGAAAAATTTCTTTAAAAAATCCACGTTTATTGCTCTGATTGTCCTTGGAAAAATTTCTTTAAAAAATCCACGTTTATTGCTCTGATTGTCCTTGGAAAAATTTCTTTAAAAAATCCACGTTTATTGGTTTAAAGGTCCTTGGAAAAATTTCTTTAAAAAAATCCACATTTATTGGTTTAAAGGTCCTTGGAACAATTTCTTTAAAAAATCCGCGTTTATTGGTTTAAAGGTCCTTGGAAAAATTTCTTTAAAAAATCCACGTTTATTGGTCTAAGGGACCTTGGAAAAAATTTCTTTAAAAAATCCACGTTTATTGGTCTAAGGGTCCTTGGGAAAATTTTTTTAAAAATCCACGTTTCTTGGTTTAAAGGTCCTTGGAAAAATTTCTTTAAAAAATCCACGTTTATTGGTTTAAAGGTCCTTGGAAAAATTTCTTTAAAAAATCCACGTTTATTGGTTTAAAGGTCCTTGGAAAATTTTCTTTAAAAAATCCACGTTTATTGCTGTGATTATCCTTGGAAAATTTTCTTGAAAAAATCCACGTTTATTGGTCTAAGGGTCCTTGGAAAATTTTCTTTAAAAAATCCACGTTTATTGGTCTAAGGGTCCTTGGAAAAAATTTCTTTAAAAAATCCACGTTTATTGGTCTAAGGGTCCTTGGAAAAATTTCTTTAAAAAATCCACGTTTATTGCTGTGATCGTCCTTGGAAAATTTTTTTTAAAAAATCCAAGTTTATTGGGGTCCTTGGAAAAAATTTCTTTAAAAAGTCCACGTTTATTGATGTGATTGTCCTTGGAAAAAAATTCTTTAAAAAGTTCACGTTTATTGGTCTAGGGGTCCTTGGAAAAAATTTCTTTAAAAAGTCCACGTTTATTGGTCTAGGGGTCCTTGGAAACATTTCTTTAAATAGTCCAAGTTTATTGGTCTAGGGGTCCTTGGAAACATTTCTTTAAAAAATCCACGTTTATTGGTCTAAGGGTCCTTGGAAATTTTTTTTTAAAAAATCCACGTTTATTGGTCTAAGGGTCCTTGGGAAAAATTTCTTTAAAAAATCCACGTTTATTGGTCTAAGGGTCTTTGGGAAAAATTTCTTTAAAAAAATCCACGTTTATTGGTCTAGGGGTCCTTGGAAAAAATTTCTTTAAAAAGTCCACGTTTATTGGTCTAGGGGTCCTTGGAAACATTTCTTTAAATAGTCCAACTTTATTGGTCTAGGGGTCCTTGGAAACATTTCTTTAAAAAATCCACGTTTATTGGTCTAAGGGTCCTTGGGAAAAATTTCTTTAAAAAATCCACGTTTACTGGTGTAAGGGTTCTTGGAAAAAATTCTTTAAAAAAATCCACGTTTATTGGTCTAAAGGTCCTTGGAAAAAAATTAATAAAAAAATCCATTAAAAATTATTTATTTTATTTATTTATTTTATTTCTGTTGATTTTTTAACCTCTTTTTATTTGTTTTACTTCAAACCCCTTTAGGGCGCATTATCAAGGACACCAGTAAAATGAATTTTTTTGCCCAAATACTTAAAATACCCCTCCACCTCGGGACCATCATCGTCAGCACCGGCATCGTCAACACTTCTCATATTATTTCCTATTGGAACACATCCCTCCGTGGACGTGAAATAAAATCCCTGCGAACACCTACAGACACTGGGCGCAATGCATACACCATTGCTACAGCCTTCCGGGCAGCTGGGAGAACATCCATGCTCTGGCGACCAGTTATAGCCATCATTACATTTACAATTATTCGGCGAGAGGCATTCACCATTTTCACAATTATCACATTTCGGTACACATTGGCCATCGGAATAGGCAAATTCCGGCGCACAGATCGACACACAACGGGTTCTATCCATCGGATCCAGCTGATAGCCATCACAGCAAACTTTTATTGTTGTCGTTATATTGGCCCTAACAAAGGCATTGTTTCGTTTGACAGGAATCTCTCGGGTGACATTTTGAAAACAGATTTGAGATTCAACGACTACAGCGGCAGCCAAGAGCTTCAGTAGCACGAAAATGGACAGCAGTGACTGGCGTTGGGACATGTTAGCCATGCGTGGACTTTTTGCTTCCTCCAAGTCGTACAAAACACTAACTTGCCATTTCTTTTGTGGTTCTACGTTGGACTTGAAACTTGTGTTTGCCAGCTGCTGCTGATAACGGAATATTAGGGGGGATTCCGGGCAATTTGGTTTTGGGATTTAACATTTTCAAGGTTATTCTTGAATTTTATCGCTTACACTTGACATCGAGCAGAAGGGAAGGGATTCGAAAAATGAAACTTATTTTAGCTTTGAATCATTCTGTTCCAATGTTTCGCATTTTAAGCGTCAAATCAAAATAAATAAAAAGTTTTAAATTAAAAATTAAAAAAAATACCTTTTTAGACATCATCACAATATTATACTGGAAGAAATATATTCGGCGATGTTGCAGATAGCAATACGAGAATTATTCTGGTCAAACATTTCAATCCATAAGTCACCAAGGGAGTATTTTTGGTCCTTTTTTATACCCTCAGCCATATGACAACACAAAATGGAAATACGGGAGCTATATCCAAGTCTTAGCCGTTCTCGATAAAAATTTGCAAAGGTATTTCCGAGCTTTATAAGATATCTGGTAACATTGTTATCGAATGCATATTACGAATGTGAGGGACTTAAACACCAAATCGGATGAAACATATATATGGGAGTTATAGCTATATCTGAACCGATTTTTTTCCGAATTCGATGTATTTGCTTCTTGACTGAATTCGGTCGAATGTACCAAAATTCAGGACTTTTAGACAGATATTGCACAATTTACCCAAACTCAATTTAAGTTATATATGGCACCTATATCAAAATCTGAACCGATCTTGATAAAATTTGGCAGAGGTATTTCTGGGCTGTATCTGATGACTGGTACCAAATTTCATTGTTGTCGAATGCATATTACGAATGTGAGGGACTTAAACAGCAAAACAGATGAAAAATACAGGGTGAAATAAAAAAGTCAAATGCCATAATTTTTACATTTATATACCCTCCACCATACACCCTCCAAATATACACATTTTAGACCCCACACGAAATACACATTTTATACCCCACAAAGTATATATATTCTTGATCAGCATAAAATACTAAGTCGATTTAGAGATGTCCGTCCGTCTATCCTCCTGTCCATCTGAGTTGTTCCGAACGAGTTGAAGTAGATTGATAAAATTTTGCTCAAACGTTTGCTATGTCTGCAGGACTTTTGGTATTGAAAATGGGCCATGTAGGTCCACGTTTCGTTATAGCCCCCATATAACGGTACCTTCTGATATTTGTTATTTTGATGATTTTAGTGACATTATTTACCGGAATTATTTTAAATTTTGTAATTGAAGTTCGTAATGGATACTACAGTCTATGCCAGAAAATTGTGTGTGTAGGTCCACGTCTTCGTGTAGCCCCCATACAATGGTACCTCCCGATATTCGGTATTTTGATGATTTTAGCGACATCATTCACCGGAATTGTCTCAAATTTGGTATTGAAAGTTCATAATAGATACTACAGCCAAAGACAGAAAATTGTTTGTGCAGGACCACGTCTTCGTATAGCCCCCATATAACGGTACCTCCCGATATTCGGTATTTTAATGATTTTAGTGAATTTATTCACCGGAATTGTCTCAAATTTAGTATTTAAAGTTCGTAATGGATATTACAGCCTAAGACAGAAAAGTGTATGTGCAGGTCCACTTCTTCGTATAGCCCCCATATAACGGTACCTCCCGATATTCGGTATTTTAATGATTTTAGCGAATTTATTAACCGGAATTGTCTCAAATTTGGTATTTAAAATTCGTAATGGATATTACACCCTAAGACAAAAAATTGTCTGTGCAGGTACACCTCTTCGTTAAGCCCCCATATAACGGTACCTTCCGATATTCGGTATTTTAATGATTTTAGGACCATTTTTCACCAGAATTGTTTCAAATTTGATATTTGAAGTTCGGTAACGGTACCTCCGGATATTTGGTATTTTGATTTTATCGACATTATAACCGATTTTTTTAAGTTTCGCATTTGAATATTGTAATGGCTTATGACAAATGTTACCTACGCAGGTTCATGTCGTCGTAAAGACCCTAATATAATAGCTACATTCGGTATTTTTAAGAATTTAACAGAATTTTTAACGGATTTTATTGTTTTTTAAAAATTGCCAAATTCTTTCCAAATGGTGGAGGGTATTCAAAGTTCGGCCCGGCCGAACTTACAGCTTTTTTACTTGTTTTTTTTTTATTGTATTGGATGAAAGCAAAAAATGTCGGAAATAGCATCAAATCTTAGAATAAGTTTAGAATTATGGCCTTCAAACGGCCAATGAAACCTTCACACGCTGCACGAACATTGCTTTGAGATATGTTGGCCCATTCCCGGCGAAGCGCTTGCTTGAGGTGACTTTAGTATTTTTTGCTTTCCAAAATACTCAAGACACAACAGTCCAACGGATTGGTATTCGGAAACTTTGGTGGTCATTTATTTATTAAATTTCCCCCGTAATTATTGAAAAAAAATATTTTGTCTGTTGGATTTTTCCCAGAAATTATTGAAAAAATTTAATTTTGTCGCACAGTGTAGTCTACTGGATTTTTCCAAAAATTATTTATAAAAAAATTAATTTTGCCGCCATGGTAATCACTGGATTTTTTTTTTCCAGTAATAAATTGGAAAAATAAATTTTGTCGCACGATGTAATCTACTAAAATTTCCCCGTAATTATTGAAAAAATTGAATTTTGTCGCACAGTGTAATCTACTGGATTTTTCCAGTGAATTTAAAAAAAATCTACTGATTTTCTCAGTAATCTGCTGATTTTCTCCAGAATTTTCTGAATTTCTCCAGAAATTATCGAAAAAATTGAAATTTGTTGCACAGTGTAATCTATAGGATTTTTTCCTGTAATTATTAATTAAATTGGTCGAACAGTGTATTCTACTGGATTTTTCCAGAAATGATCAAAAAAAAAAAAAAAAAAAAAAAAACAAATAAATAAATAATTTTGTCGCACAGTGTAATCTACTGGAATTTTCCACAAATTTTTGAAAAAAATTTAATTTTGTCGCAGAGTGTAGTCTACAGAATTTTTACAATAATTATTAAAAAAATTTAATTTTGTCGCATAGTGTAATCTGCTGGATTTTTCCAAAAATTATTTAAAAAAAAAATAATTTTGTCTCACAGTGTAATCTAAATAATTTTTCCAGTAATTATTACAAAAATTGAATTTTATTGCACAATGTAATCTACCGAACTTTTTCCTCAAATTATTGAAAATTTTGAATTTTGTGGCATAGTGTAATCTACCGGATTTTTTTCCAGAAATTATTGAAATAACTAAATTTTGTCGCACAGTGTATTCTACAGGATTTTTCGAAAATTATTTAAAAAAAATTAATTTTGTCGCACAGTCTAATGTAGAGAATTTTTCCAGTAATTATAAAAAAAATTGATTTTTGCCACACAGTATAATCTCCTGGATTTTTCCCAGTAATTATTAAAAAATTTGAATTTTGTCGCACAATGTAATCTACCGAACTTTTTTCAGAAATTATTATTGAATTTTGTGGCATAGTATAACCTACTAGATTTTTCCCAGTAATTATTAAAAACATTGATTTTGTCGCACAGTGTATTCTACTGGATCTTCCCAGTAATTATTAAAAAAAATTAATTTTGTCGCACAGTGTAATATACTGATTTTTTTTCAGAAATTATTGAAAAAATTGAATTTTGTCGCACAGTGTAATCTAGTGTAAAATGAAAAAATTGAATTTTGTCTATTGGACTTTCCCCAGAAATTATTAAAAAAATTGAATTTTGTCGCACGGTGTAATCTACTGGATTTCCTTTCAGTAATTATTAAAAAAAATAAATTTTGTCGTAGAATGTAATCTACTGGATTTTTTTCAGAAATTATTGCAGAAAAAATTCAATTTTGTCGAACAGTGTATTCTACTGGATTTTTCCAGAAATATTAAAAAAAAAAAAATTGTCGCACAGTGTAATCTACTGGATTTTTTCCAGTAATTAATAGAAAAAATAAATTTTGTCGCACAATGTAATCTACCGAACTTTTTTCTGAAATTATTGAAAATGTTGAATTTTGTCGCACAGTGTAATCTACTGGATTTTTTTCAGAAATTATTGAAAACAAATTGAATTTTGTCGCAATTTATTATTAAAATAATGATTTTTTTTGGCACAGTGCAATCTACTGGATCTTTCCAGTAAATTTTAAAAAAATCTACTGATTTTCTCCAGAATTTTCTGCATTTCTCCAGAAATTATTGAAAAAATTGAAAATTGTTGCACAGTGTAATCTACTGGATTTTTTTCCTGTAATTTTTGATTAAATTGAATTTTGTCGCACAGTGTAATCTAGAGAATTTTTCCAGCAATTATTAGCAAAAATTAATTTTGTCGCATAGTGTAATCTACTGGATTTTTTCCAGTAATTAAAAGAAAAAATAAAATTTGTCGCACAATGTAATCTACCGAACTTTTTTCTGAATTTATTGAAAAATTTAAATTTTGTGGCATAGTGTAATCTACCGGATTTTTTCCAGAAATTATTGAAATAATTAAATTTTGTCGCACTGTGTAATCTGCTGGATTTCTCCAGTAATTATTATAGAAAAAATTGAATTTTGTCGCACAGTGTAGTCTACTGGATTTTTCCAAAAATTATTTAAAAAAAAAAAATTAATTTTGCCGCCAGAGTAATCGACTGAATTTTTACCAGAAATTATTGAAATAATTAATTTTTTTTCCAGAGATTATTGAAAAAATTAAATTTTGTCGCACAGTGTAATATACTGGATTTCTCCATTAATTATTGCAGAAAAAATTGAATTTTGTTGCACAGTGAAATCTACTGTTCTTTTTTCCGAAATTATTGAAAAAATTGAATTTTGTGGCATAGTGTAATCTACCGGATTTTTTTCCCGAATTATTGAAATAATTAAATTTTGTCGCACAGTAAAAATTTGAATTTTGTCGCACAGTGTAATCTACTGAATTTTTTTTCCAGAAATTATTGAAAAAAATAATTTTGTCGCACAGTGTAATCTACTGGATTTTTCCCAGTAATTATTAAAAAAATTGATTTTGTCGCACAGTGTAATCCACTACTTTTTTTAAGAAATTATTAAAAAAAATAATTTTGTCGAACAGTGTAATCTATTGTATTTTTAAAATTTATTGCACAGTGTAATCTACTGTTTTTTAAGAAATTATTGAAAATAATTTTGTCGCATTTTATTTTCAATTTTTTTCCAGAAATTATTGGAAAAATTAATTTTGTCGCATAGTGTAATATACTGGATTTCTCCAATAATTATTATAGAAAAAATTGAATTTTGTCGCACAGTGTAATTTACTGGATTTTTCCAGATGTTAATGAAAAAATTGGATTTTGTCGCACAGTGTAATCTATTTAATTTCTTTAAGAAATTATGAAAAAAAGATAATTTTTGTCGCACAGTGTAATCTACTGGAATTTTCCACAAATCATTGAAAAATTGAATTTTGTCGCACAGTGTAATCTACTGGATCTTTTCAGAAATTATTGAAAAAATTACATTTTGTTGCACAGTATAATCTACTCGACCTTTTTCAGAAATTATTGAAAAAATTGAATTTAGTGGCATAGTGTAATCTACTGGATTTTTTCCAGATATTAGTGAAAAAAAAATTGAATTTTGTCGCACAGTGTAATCTAGAGAATTTTTCCAGTAATTATTATAAAAATTTAATTTTGTCGCACTGTGTAATCTGCTGTATTTTTTCCAATAATTAGTAGAAAAAATAAATTTTGTCGCACAGTGTAATCTACTGATTTTTTCCAGAAATTATTGAAAAATTTGAAAATTGTCGCACAGTGTAATCTACTGGATTTTTCCAGTAATTATTGAAAAAAAAAATATAATTTATTTGCACAGTGTAATCTACTGAATATTTTCTAGTAATTATTGAAAAAAAATCTAATTTCGTCGCTCAGAGTTTTTACAAATCTCAGACATTCCAAAATCAACACCCTTTTCTGCTACATTTGCCGCCATCTAATATTTTGTATTTATCAACAAAGAATTTATTTTATTTTTATTTTCAGCTAAACCCATTCCCATGTTCAAAACTAAAAAAACAATAAAACCGATTTGCGAAATAGTTGATAACGAACTTTATCCGAGTGCGCACACAAATTCAATTACAAGCGGATTATGGCCAGGGACGCCATACATTCTTCAATGCTTCTGAAGATCATCGGCATTTTGCCGCTCCTGATGGTGGTGGTTCAGTGTCAGATGTGCCTCGTGGAGAAGACCAAAATAAAGGCCATTCAACGAAATGGCCGCCTAGAGAGGGTACCCATAAAGACCACCGTCAAGGATTGCTGTGAAGGTTATGTGGCCGATGAAAACAATCCCGGACAGTGTGTATCGATTTGCCATGATGGTTTCGTTCTGGTTGATGGCGTATGTATACCACGTTGTGAGAATTGTGAAAATGGTGAATGCCTGGCGCCCGATGAATGCAAGTGTAACGATGGTTATGTGGAGACGCCACAGGGTTGTGCTCCCATCTGTGATGAGTGCATCAATGCGGTGTGCATTAAACCGGGCATATGTGAATGTAAGGAGGGTTTCATTTCCACACCCAGCGGCTGTGTGCCGTCACCGTGTCAAGATTGCGACAATGGTTATTGTCTGCCATCGGGTGAATGTCGCTGTTCCGCCGGTTTCAGATGGTCGTTACGTGATCGGAAATGTAAGCCGAGGTGTAGGCGTCGCTGTCGTAATGGCTACTGTTCGGCACCGAATCAATGCACCTGCTATGAGAGTTATCGCAAAATGGGGAATAATGAGTACATTTGTGTGCCCAAGAAATGGGATGACGATGCAGAGGATGATGATGGCGATGATCTGATTGTGGATGATAATGAGGAGGAGGCATTGACCAGTGGTGGTGCTACAGGTGATGGTGACTTTTATGCGGCCAGTTTAATTGATGAAAGGAAGTGGAGGAAATTTCTGAAAATAGCTCCCCAAAAATCACCTTTGTTGGTGATTTTGAAAGTATTGTAATAACAATTTTTAAAACAATAAAAATTTTGAAATTGTACAAATTATTACAACAGGTGAATTATTTAAAAAAAAATTAAATTTAAAAAAAAAATGAAAGAAAAAAAGGTATTTGAGAATATTTTTGAAAAAGGCTGGCAAAAAATGGCCATTTAACAAAAATTAAAAGAGAAAATAATAATAAAACTGATTAATCAACCTTCTTTAATTCGTTCCGAAGCTAGAGTGATTTCCACAGACGGACAGTCGGACGGACATCGCTACATCGACATAGAATTTTATGCTGATCAAGAATACATATACTTTATGGGGTCTAAAATGTATATTTCGAGGTGTTACAAACGGAATGACAAACTTAGTATACCCTCCATACTATGTGGAAAAAGGGCTTAAAGATCGGTCGGGCCAAACTTGTTATACACCCCCCCCCCCCCCCCTACGAGAACCCCAGTTACAAAGTTTCCCCTAATTTCCTGAATCCAACATTTTTTTCAGGGAGAGAACAGACCGACCAAAAACCCCAATTGTCAAGTTTCATATAATTTGGTTGGAAATTGTGGCAGAAAATTCAAAACATATCGAAAATCGGGAGGTACCGTTATATGGGGGCTACACCAATTAGCAGAAATATAGCCACTATTCTTTGCTGGGAGAGAAAAGAATCTACAGAGAACTCCAATTGTCAACATTCAGCTAATTAAGTTGGAAATTGTGGCACAAATCTTCCAAATGCCGAAAATCGGGAGGTACCGCTATATGGGGGCTATACCAATTAGTTGACCTGTCGCAAACAAGTTTTTCCTGGAGAGAACAGACCTTGCAAGAACCCCATTTTGAAGAAACTATAAAAAGACCGAAATTTTGGGGGTAAATTGTTTGCAAAGAGAGAACAGACCTACCGAGAACAATAATTTTCAAGTTTCAGCTGATTTCGTTGGACATTTTGGCAGACCCCTTCAAAAACCGAATATTGGGAGGTACCGTTATAAGCCTCCATATAGTAATTATTGAAGCTGCAGCAAAATTTTCTGCAAGGAAGGGAACAGACCTACCAAGAACCCTAATTGTGAAGTGGATTTTTTAAGGATTATTTTTTGAAGGACCATCAGACCGATAAACGTGGATTTTTTAAGGACTATTTTTGAAGAACCATCAGACCAATAAACGTGGATTACTTAAGGAATATTTTTGAAGGACCATCACACCAATAAACGTGGATTTTTTAAGGATTATATTTTGAAGGATCATAAGACCAATGACCCTGGATTTTGTAAGGAATATTTTATGAAGGATCATAAGACCAATGTCCCTGGATTTTGTAAGGAATATTTTATGAAGGACCGTCAGATCAATAAACGTGATTTTTTTAAGAAATATTTTTGAAGGACCATCAAACCAATAAACGTGGATTTTTAAGGATCATTTTTTGAAGGACCATCAGATCAATAAACATGAATTTTTTAAAGAATATTTTTCAAGGACCATCAGACCAATAAACGTGGATTTTTAAAGATCATTTTTTGAAGGATAAAATAATAAATGTGAATTCTTGAAAGAATATTTTTTTAAGATCCAACCCTGGTCCTTAAACGTGGATTCTTGAAATATTAATTTTTAAGGACCATCCCTGGTCCTTAAACGTGGATTCTTGAAAGATTATTTTTTTAAGGACCATCCTTGGTCCTTAAACGTGGATTCTTGAAAGATTATTTGTTTAAGGATCATCCCTGGTCCTTAAACGTGAATTATTGAAAGAATATTTTTTTAAGGACCATCCCTGGTCCTTAAACGTGGATTCTTAAAAGAATATTTTTTATAAGGACCCTTAGGACAAGAAACTTTTTTTTAAATAATATTATTTCAAGGACCATTGACAAAGAAATGTGGATCTTTTAAAGAACCTTTAGACCAAGAAATGTGGTTTTTTTTAAATATTTTTCTACACGAATCGAGTTTTTTTTTTAAATTTGTCAAGGATCATTACTTTAAGAAACGTGTTTTTTTTTTCAAAAATTATTTTCTAGGATCATCACTACAAGAAACGTGGATTTTTTAAGAAATATTTTTTCAAGGGCAATCACTACAAGAAAAGTGTTTTTTTATTATTTTTCAAGGGCCATCACTACAAGAAAGGTGGATTTTTTAAAGAGAAGAAAAATCAAAGGAGAATAATTATTAAATTTATTAAATATATAATATTTATTAAATATTTTTTCAAGACCAATAATTGTGGAAAAAAAGCGTGGATTTTTTAAAAATATTTTCTTTCAGTGACCACCAGACCAAAATTTTTGGAAGAATATTTCTTCATTTTTCATTGCTGTTCATATACAAATCACCTCGAGTGTATGCAAAAGCTGTAACATATAGAACCTGAAATGGTATGGCTATTATTAAGCTTCAGCTTCATAGAAGCTCACTTAGAAAATATTTAAACAATACCGTTACAATTTAAAAAAAAAATAAGGCAACAACAGATTTCGATTAAGAACCCCCCAAGTAACACACAAAAGCTTTTACGCTTAAATTCTAAGAGGTATTTTGCTGATAAATTGAATGCATTGAGAATGCTTGAAAGGCTGGAAAAAACACAGTCTACGACATTGCTGTATTTCCTGCAAAACGTGGGGACAGATAAAACTGGCTGGAAACAGAAAGTTAATTTTTCTAACATCTTTATGAAGGTAAAAAATAAATATTTTTGGTTGTTTTATTTTTTTTTTTTTTCGAGGGCTACCATGATTATATATTTGTTCAATATATTTTATAAAGCTATTTTATTATTGAATTAAAATGCTGATTTTGAATATTTTTTTTTATGATATTACATGGATTTTTTTTTAAATAATTTTTGAAGGGCCATAGATAAGCGTGGATTTTTGAAAATAATTTTTGAGGGACAATAGATAAGCGTGGATTTTTTTTTTTAAATAATTTTTGAGGTACAATAGATAAGCGTGGATTTTTTAAAATAATTTTTGAAGGTCCATGGATAAGCGTGGATTTTTTAAAAATAATTTTTGAAGGTCCATGGATAAGCGTGGATTTTTTAAAAATAATTTTTGAAGGTCCATGGATAAGCGTGGATTTTTTAAAAATAATTTTTGAAGGTCCATGGATAAGCGTGGATTTTTTAAAAATAATCTTTGAAGGTCCATGGATAAGCGTGGATTTTTTAAAAATAATTTTTGAAGGTCCATGAATAAGCGTGGATTTTTTAAAAATTATTTTTGAAGGACCACAGATACAAGAGGATTTTATAAAAATTATGTTTGAAGGACCATAGATACGCTTGGATTTTATAAAAATAATTTTTGAAGGACGATAGATACCCGTGGATTTTTTAAAAATTATTTTTGAAGGACCACAGATACAAGAGGATTTTATAAAAATTATGTTTGAAGGACCATAGATACGCTTGGATTTTATAAAAATAATTTTTGAAGGACGATAGATACCCGTGGATTTTATAAAAACAATTTTTGCAGGACCATAGAACCTTAAGTAAATCTAAATTTTAAAAAAATATATTTTTTTAAGAACCTTAAGTAAATGTGCATTTTTAAAAAACATTTTTTCAAGAACCTTAAGTAAATGTGAATTTTTAAAAAATATTTTTCTCCAGAACCTTAAGTAAATTTGCATTTTTAAAAAAATATTTTTTCAAGAGCATTAGGTAAATGTGCATTTAAAAAAAAATATTTTTTTTCAAGAACCTTAAGTAAATGTGCATTTAAAAAAATATTTTTTTCAAGAACCTTAAGTAAAATAAAATATTATAAGCGTAAAATATTATAAGCGTGGATTTTTTTTTAATATTTTTTCAAGAACCTAAGTAAAAGTGAATTTTTAAAAAAATATTTTTTTGCGAGAACCTTATGTGAATGAGCATTTTTAAAAAAATATTTTTTTCAAGAACCTTAAATAAATGTGAATTTTTAAAAAAATATTTTTTTCAATGACCTTTAATAAATGTATTTTTCAAACGCCTATATTTGAACAATATTTTTGTCAAACATCAATTTTTATATAATATTTATGTCAAACGTGAATTTTTAAAAAATATATGTTTCCAGTATCGTAAATAAACGTGAATTTTAACATATATTTTTTTAAAATGTGAATTTTTTTTAAATATTTTTTCAATCATGGAATTTTATTTTTTTTTTTCCAAAAAAAAAAAGAAAAATATTTAAGGGCACTAAACAATAATGGATTTTTAAAAATTAGTTTTTTTCAAATGTGAAATTAAAAACTATATTTTATTTAAGGACCCTAAATAATAATGGATTTTTAAAAATTATTTTTTTTTTTCAAACGTGAATTTTTAAAAAATATATTTTTTTCAAAAGTTGATTTTTAAGAAATATTTTTTACCGAACATTAAAACATGTGGATTTTTATTTTTTTCAGATGTGAGTTTTTAAAAAAATATATTTCCAAATGTAGATTTAAAAACATTTTTTTTAAAAGTGAATTTTTTAATAAATATTTTAACTTAAAAATAATTCTTCAAAATATTCCATTCCATTTTTACAAATATGGATTTAAAAAAGCTTTTTCAACAAGTGTGGATTTTTCAAAATTATTTTTTTCAAACGTGAATTTAAAAAATATGTTTTATTTATAGACCCTAGATAATAATGGATTTTCAAAAAATACAATTTGATTTTTATAAAATATTTTTTATGGGTCATTAATATATGTGAATTTTTAAAAATATATATTTTTTCAACCGTTAAAAATGTATTTTCAAATGTGGATTTAAAAAGTGGATTTTTCATTTTTTAAACATATATTAATATTTTTTCAAATAGGGAATATAAAAAATAATTTTTTAAAATGTGAATTTTTAACAAATGTGGATTTTTCAAAAACATTTTTTCCAAACGCAGATTTTTCAAAAATATTTTTTAAAAATATTTATTTCAAAAATCATAAATAAATGAGAACTTTTAAAACTAAAAAAAAACCAGAACTTTCAATCGTGGATTTTTATAATTTTTTTTTTAAACGTGGATTTTTAAACAATATTTTTTTAAACGTGGATTTTTAAAAGGATATTTTTTTAAACGTGGATTTTTAAAAAATATTTTTTCAAACGTTGATAGTTAAAAAATATTTTCTTCAAACTTGGATTTTTTTAAAATATTTTTTGTCAAACGTGGATTTAAAAAAACGTGGATATTTAAAAAAATATTCTTTTGTCAAACGTGGATTTAAAAGAACGTGGATATTTAAAAAATATTTTTTTGTCAAACGTGGATTTTTAAAAAATATTTTTTTTCAAACGTTGATATTTAAAAAATGTTTTCTTCAAACGTGGATTTTTTTAAAATATTTTTTGTCAAACGTGGATTTAAAAAAACGTGGATATTTAAAAAATATTTTTTTGTCAAACGTGGATTTTAAAAAAACGTGGATATTTAAAAAATATTTTTTTGTCAAACGTGGATTTTAAAAAAACGTGGATATTTAAAAAATATTTTTTTGTCAAACGTGGATATTTAAAAACTATTGTTTTGTCAAACGTGGATTTTAAAAAAACGTGGATATTTAAAAAATATTCTTTTGTCAAACGTGGATTTTAAAAAAAAGTGGATATTTAAAAAATATTTTTTTGTCAAACGTGGATTTTAAAAAAACGTGGATATTTAAAAAATATTTTTTCAAATGTGGATTCTTAAAAAATATTTTTCAAGAACGTTAAGTAAATGTGTATTTTTAAAAAATATTTATTTCAAAGATCATAAATAAAGATCATAAAGAACTTTTAAAAAATTTTGTTTTTCAAAATTAGATTTTTTTAAAAAAATATTTTTTTCAAACGAGGACTTTTAAAAATGTTATTTTTTCAAAATTAGATTTTTTAAAAAATATTTTTTTCAAACGAGGACTTTTAAAAAATGTTTTGTCTTTAAACGTAAATTTTTAACAAACGTAAATTTTTAAAAATTATTTTTTTTCAATCGTTATTTGGAAAAATATTTTTTTTCAAACGTGGATATTGAAAAAATATTTTTTTCATATTTTTTTGCATTTTTAAAAATGTTTTTTTTTGGATTTTTAAAAAATATTTTTTTCAAACGTGGATTTTGATTTGCATATTTTTTGCATTTTTAAAAAATATTTTTTTTGGGTGTTTAAAAATATTTTTTCATACTTGAATTTTTAAAAAATATTTTTTCAAACCTGAATTTAAAAAAAAAAATATTTTTTCCAAACCTGCATTTAAAAAAAAAAATTCAAACCTGGATTTTAAAAAAAAATATATTTTTTTCAAATATGGATTTAAATAAAAAAATTAATATTATTTTTTTTAAATATTTTTTTCAGTTTTCGGCAATCATCACGCCTCAACCCTGCCTGATAGTTTCCCAACTCCGAACAAATATTGTTTTTTTTTTAATTTGAACTACATTCATCTTGTCGTCTGACTTAGCCACTGAACCTTGTTATTTTCTCTGCCTCTTCATCTTGTTCGAATCAATTCATGCGGCTTTTATTTTGTTTAAGCTTGGAAAATTTTCAAGACAATCTATAAAAATAAAATACAGCAACAACAACAACAAATGAAACAACAATAACAAAAATAACATTGCCCAAGTCCGTGTAACTCTTTGTTTTGATTCCAGAATAAAATGGATGAATGATTTAATGGTCGGTCTGGGATGACTGTTGGAATGGAGTTGGAAAAAAAAACGAAACAACAAACATTGATATGTCGAAAACATCGACAGCAATATCGGCAACTCAAGCTATTTTTAATACACTTTGACTATATAATATTCTAGAAAGTGTTTTTGTATTTGTTGTTGTTATTTGTTTTTCTTTAATACGCACAAGATAATTTCATCGCTTTTGATTCGTACTTGAAGTCACATGCTGCTGCTGGCTGTTGATGGCGGGCATGTTGACATCCTGAGCTAGGGAGGTGTTGAGCTACAGATAATATGACTAAGTGAGTGGCTGACTTGGCGACATGCGTGCTACAGACGCCCCTGATGCAGAGCGTTGAACGTTCCCCCAGACATGTAGAATTGCTTGCCTCACCACCAGCAGCTGCTGTTGCTGCTGTCACCGCTGCAGCAACAAAAGAAATCCAACAACATAATTTTTCCTTCATTCAGTGATAGTTGGTTGAAGATATTAAACGTCCACAGTTCATTTCCTTTGAACAAAAAATATAAGTGAAACAATAGTTCCAAGCCGAATAAAAATTGGATATGGGTCGCCTAACCGAATACATGTTCAATTCCCCACATTCCATATCAGCTGGCGATTTTGAAGAAATTTTTGAAAACGAAAGTGCCGCCTTAGGCGGTGGTGCTCCCACAACCCTGCGCACCCCACTGGAATCGTCGATTTTGAATTTTATGGAAAATTTCCAGCGAGATGATGATGATGCTGATGGTGGTGCTATGACCGAAAGTACAGCTGTGTGTAAACTGCATGTGCCATCCTGGCTAAATATTTGGTGCATCATTATAACCGTGTGCATATTGGCCGTACTCATTGCCCTGGGGCTGATAATGCGACAGGTGCAGATCCAGAAACAACGGCAAACGCGAACAGGTAAAGAAATATTTTCTTTTTAAAGAAATAAATTCACTGATGTTTCAATATTTGATTTCAGAATGCTACAACTGCTATCCCGCCTCTCCAGAGTATTTCTGTGAACATTTCTTAGATCGCAATCAAATTATGGTCTATTAAATTTTTACTTTTCCAGTATCAAGTATTCTTTTTCCATCAGTATATATGTATGTGTAAATTCGTGTATAAGCAACTTGTAAATATTATTTTTATTAAAATATATATAAATAAATTTATATATTTGTTTACTTTTTTTTTAAGAATTATTGGGTCATTGTCGGGTGATTGAATAAAAATATTAAAAAAAAAAATTAAAAAGAAAAAACATTGGATGCCACCGACTAAGAAAGGACAATGGACAAAGTTAAATGCCATCTGGAGTTCAATGATCGTAAATTTATCAAGGGTTCGGAGTCGATTTTTGGACAAAGGGTAATTGACAAAGTTAAATGTCATCTGGAGTTTAATGATCGTAAATTTATCAAGAATTCGGGGTCGATTTTTGAAAAAAAAAAAAAAAAAATAAATAAATAAACACCATCTAGAGTTCGATAAGCGTGCTATCTGCACTTAAATGGACGAGATTTTTTTAATATTTTTCGAAAGCCACCAGCTGTCTAATAAGAGTGGATTTTTTTTAAATTTTTCAAACGCGTAGATTTTTTCAAATATTTTTCCAAAAAGAGTGGGTTTTTTAAAAATTTTTCAAAGGCCAATAAGAGTGGGTTTTTAGGCCATCTGCAGTTTAATTCGCGTAGATTTTAGGGTGAATTTTCTAAAACAATTTTGAAAGATCACCTGGAGTTCAATAGTCGTGGTGTTTTGAAAACATTAGAAATAGGTGGGATTCGTCACAGAAAATTTATATTGAAGTGAGTGAGAGTGAAACAGGTAGTTTGTCCGTTTATAAATTCGGTAGGTATCGTTTTATGATATTCAATTTCAGGGGCTACAAACTTCGGTATGGTACCTATATTGCTTGCGGCTATGGGCTGAGACGGCTTGGGCAAGGTAATACCCCGGCAGAGTTCAGCTAAGTAAAAGTGTAATGTCAGCTTCAGGCCCACGACTGCTCTTCGACGATTCGATTTGTAAAAACTTCTTTCATCAAAGGCTCATGACGCTTTTTAGAATCTTAGGTTTTCTCGCTACACTTTGATTCGGCTTCAACTTCTTCCACTGCTTATATCAAGGGCCCACGATGGCACTTCGATTCTGATTACAACTCTTCGATATTGATGTCGAAGGCCCACTACGGCACTCCGGTTCTGATTTATTATATTCCAAATTTGATATCAAAGGTTCACGACAGCATCGTTAAGCGTGCTATCTGCACTTCAATAGACGTGCATTTTTTAAAATATTTTTCAAAAGCCATGAGCTGTCCAATAAGTGTGGATTTTTACCATTTTCAAAGGCGTGGATTTTTTTGAAACATTTTCCAAAAAGAGAGGCCGTCTGAAAGTTTAATTCGAGAAGATTTTAGGTTGAATTTTCTAAAATAATTTTAAAACATCACCTAAAGTTCAATAGTCGTGTGGTTTTGAAAACATTATGATTAGGTAGGATTCGTCACAGAAAATGTATATTGAAGTGATTGAGAGTGAAACAGGTACTTTGTTCGTTTACAAATTCGGTATGTATCGCTTTATGATATTCAATTTCAGGGGCTATAAACTTCGGTATGATACTTATGTTGCTTGTAGCTATCGGCTGATACGGCTTGCTGATCCGGTGGCCGGTAAATTTATCAAGGGTTCGGAGTCGATTTTTGAAAAAAAAAAAAAAATCAAAACCATCTGGAGTACCTTAAGCGTGCTATCTGCACTTCAATAGACGTGATTTTTTTTAATATTTTTCGAAAGCCACCAGCTGTCTAATAAGAGTGTTTTTTTTTAATTTTTAAAGGCGTGGATTTTTTTAAATATTTTTCCAAAAACAGTGGCTTTTTTAAACATTTTTCAAAGGCCAATAAGACTGGGTTTTTAGGCCATCTGCAGTTTAATTCTAGTAGATTTTAGGGCGAATTTTCTAAAATAATTTTCAAAGATAACATGGAGTTCAATAGACGAGGGGTTTTGAAAACATTATGAATAGGGGGGACTCGTCACAGAAAATTTATATTGAAGTGAGTGAGAGTGATACAGGTAGTTTGTTCGTTTACAAATTCGTGTGGTATCGCTATATGATATTCAATTTCAGGGGCTACAAACTTCGGTATGGTACCTATGTTGCTTGCGGCTATCAGCTGATACGGCTTGCTGATCTGGTGGTCGTTGTATGTATGATCGCAAATTTATCAAGGGTTCGGAGTCGATTTTCGAAAGGAGTTTCTTAAGCGTGCTATCTGCACTTCAATAGACGTGATTTTTTTTAATATTTTTCGAAAGCCACCAGCTGTCTTATAAGAGTGTTTTAAACATTTTTCCAAAAACAGTGGGTTTTTTTAAACATTTTTCAAAGGCCAATAAGAGTGGGTTTTTAGGCCATCTGCAGTTTAATTCGAGTAGATTATAGGTTGAATTTTCTAAAATAATTTTAAAACATCACCTAAAGTTCAATAGTCGTGTGGTTTTGAAAACATTATGATTAGGTAGGATTCGTCACAGAAAATGTATATTGAAGTGATTGAGAGAGAAACAGGTAGTTTGTTCTTTTACAAATTCGGTAGGTATCGCTTTATGATATTCAATTTCAATGGCTACAAACTTCAGTATGATACTTATATTGCTTGCGGCTGTCGGCCGATAAGGCTTGCTGTCGTAGTGTGAAGGCTGCTCCACTGTCGGTACTTGTCGAATGTGGTGTGGGGGCTAAGTCACGGTAGAGTTCAGGTGAGTGGGAGTGTAATGTAAGCTTCAGGCCCACCACGGCTCTTCGACGATTCGATTTGTAGACACTTTTGTAATCAGAGGCCCACGATGTCCCTTGGAATGGGACGTAGGCTTAGGTTTTCTCGCTTAGCTTTGATTTGGTTTCAGCTTCTTTCACTGCTGATATCGAAGGCCCACAACGGAACTTCGATTCGGTTCTCATTTGTAACTTTTGATTTGGTTCTGATTTATAACTTTTCAATCTTGGTATCAAAAGCCCACGATGGCACTATGCTTCGGCGCTGATCGGATTCTCACTGAAGGCCCAAAACGGCACTGTTATTGTTGCAATTTTAATTTTTTTCCACTTTTTATATCCGAGGTTCATGACGGCACTTGGATTTCACTTGAAGTTAGGTTATTATTTCTGTTTAGTATCCAAGGCCCTCGACGGCACTTGCATTTCACTTGAATTCCGAGTTTTTTAATTTTTAAGACCCCAGGCCCACGATACCCAAGGCCTCGGTGGCATTTGGATCTTACTTAAATTTAGGCTTACTTCTTTTCTTCAACATCCAAGGCCCACAACGGCACCTGGTTTCCACCAAAATTCCGAGTTCATTAATTTTTAATATCCAAGGTTCACGACGAAACTTTAGTTACATTTTAATTCACGTTTCAGCTAACGTTTACCATTACCCACGACGGTACATCTTATTATTTTTTTTTCACTCACCTGAGAATATTTTTAGGTTACCAATCGCCCTGGCACGTTACACTTTTCCTCACCGGCTCTCTGGATTTTTTAAACATTTTTCCAAGACCATCTGCACTTCAATAGGCGTGTATTTTTTAAACATTTTTCCAAGGCCATCTGCACTTCAATAGGCGTGGACTTTTTAAACATTTTGCAAGAGCCATCTACAGCTCAAAAGGCGTGGATTTTTTAAACATTTTGCAAGAGCCATCTACAGCTCAAAAGGCGTGGATTTTTTAAACATTTTTCTAAGGCCATCTGCACTTCAATAGGCGTGGATTTTTAAACATTATCAAAGGCCAACTGCAGTTCAATAGGCGTGGATTTTTTAAACATTTTTCCAAGACCATCTGCAGTTTAATAAGCGTGGATTTTTAAACATTTTTCCAAGACCATCTGCACTTCAATAGGCGTGGATTTTTTAAACATTTTTCCAAGACCATCTGCACTTCAATAGGCGTGGATTTTTTAAACATTTTTCCAAGACCATCTGCACTTCAATAGGCGTGGATTTTTTAAACATTTTTCCAAGACCATCTGCACTTCAATAGGCGTGGATTTTTTAAACATTTTTCCAAGACCATCTGCACTTCAATAGGCGTGGATTTTTAAACATTTTTCCAAGACCATCTGCACTTCAATAGGCGTGGATTTTTTAAACATTTTTCCAAGACCATCTGCACTTCAATAGGCGTGGATTTTTTAAACATTTTTCCAAGACCATCTGCACTTCAATAGGCGTGGATTTTTTAAACACTTTTCCAAGACCATCTGCACTTCAATAGGCGTGGATTTTTTAAACATTTTTCCAAGACCATCTGCACTTCAATAGGCGTGGATTTTTTAAACATTTTTCCAAGACCATCTGCACTTCAATAGGCGTGGATTTTTTAAACATTTTTCCAAGACCATCTGCACTTCAATAGGCGTGGATTTTTTAAACATTTTTCCAAGACCATCTGCACTTCAATAGGCGTGGATTTTTTAAACATTTTTCCAAGACCATCTGCACTTCAATAGGCGTGGATTTTTTAAACATTTTTCCAAGACCATCTGCACTTCAATAGGCGTGGATTTTTTAAACATTTTTCCAAGACCATCTGCACTTCAATAGGCGTGGATTTTTTAAACATTTTTCCAAGACCATCTGCACTTCAATAGGCGTGGATTTTTTAAACATTTTTCCAAGACCATCTGCACTTCAATAGGCGTGGATTTTTTAAACATTTTTCCAAGACCATATACAGTTCTACAGGATTTTTAACAAAATTTCAAAGGCCACCTACAGTTCAATAGGCGTGAATTTTTTAAACATTTTTCCAAGACCATCTACAGTTCTACAGGATTTTTAACAAAATTTCAAAGGCCATCTACAGTTCAATAGGCGTGAATTTTTTAAACATTTTTCAAAGGCCATCTCCACTTCAATATGCGTGGATTTTTTAAACATTTTTCCAAGGCCATCTGTACTTCAATAGGCGTGGATTTTTTAAACATTTTTCCAAGGCCATCTGTACTTCAATAGGCGTGGATTTTTTAAACATTTTTCTTAGGCCATCTGCACTTCAATAGGCGTGGATTTTTTAAACAATTTTCTTAGGCCATCTGCACTTCAATAGGCGTGGGTTTTTTAACAATTTTTCAAAGGCCATCTGCCTTTCAATTGGCGTGGATATTTTCAACATTTCTCAAAGGCCATCTGCAGTTCAATAGGCGTGGATTTTTTAACAAATTTTCAAAGGCCATCTGCCTTTCAATAGGCGTGGATATTTTAAACATTTCTCAAAGGCCATATGCAGTTCAATAGGCGTGGATTTTTTAACAAATTTTCAAAGGCCATCTGCCTTTCAATAGGCGTGGATATTTTAAACATTTCTCAAAGGCCATCTGCAGTTCAATAGGCGTGGATTTTTTAACAAATTTTCAAAGGCCATCTGCAGTTCAATAGGCGTGGATTTTTTAACAAATTTTCAAAGGCCATCTGCAGTTCAATAGGCGTGGATTTTTTAAAAATTTCTCAAAGGCCATCTGCAGTTCAATAGGCGTGGATTTTTTAACAAATTTTCAAAGGCCATCTGCAGTTCAATAGGCGTGGATTTTTTAAACATTTCTCAAAGGCCATCTGCAGTTCAATAGGCGTGGATTTTTTAAACATTTTTCCAAGGCCATCTGCACTTCAATAGACGTGGATTTTTTAAACATTTTTCCAAGGCCATCTGCACTTCAATAGGCGTGGATTTTTTAAACATTTTTCCAAGGCCATCTGCACTTCAATAGGCGTGGATTTTTTAAACATTTTTCCAAGGCCATCTGCACTTCAATAGGCGTGGATTTTTTAAACATTTTTCCAAGGCCATCTGCACTTCAATAGACGTGGATTTTTTAAACATTTTTCCAAGGCCATCTGCACTTCAATAGGCGTGGATTTTTTAAACATTTTTCCAAGGCCATCTGCACTTCAATAGGCGTGGATTTTTTAAACATTTTTCCAAGGCCATCTGCACTTCAATAGGCGTGGATTTTTTAAACATTTTTCCAAGGCCATCTGCACGTCAATAGGCGTGGATTTTTTAAACATTTTTCCAAGGCCATCTGCACTTCAATAGGCGTGGATTTTTTAAACATTTTTCCAAGGCCATCTGCACTTCAATAGGCGTGGATTTTTTAAAAATTTTTCCAAGGCCATCTGCACTTCAATAGGCGTGGATTTTTTAAACATTTTTCCAAGGCCATCTGCACTTCAATAGGCGTGGATTTTTTAAACATTTTTCCAAGGCCATCTGCACTTCAATAGGCGTGGATTTTTTAAACATTTTTCCAAGGCCATCTGCACTTCAATAGGCGTGGATTTTTTAAACATTTTTCCAAGGCCATCTGCACTTCAATAGGCGTGGATTTTTTAAACATTTTTCCAAGGCCATCTGCACTTCAATAGGCGTGGATTTTTTAAACATTTTTCCAAGGCCATCTGCACTTCAATAGGCGTGGATTTTTTAAACATTTTTCCAAGGCCATCTGCACTTCAATAGGCGTGGATTTTTTAAACATTTTTCCAAGGCCATCTGCACTTCAATAGGCGTGGATTTTTTAAACATTTTTCCAAGGCCATCTGCACTTCAATAGGCGTGGATTTTTTAAACATTTTTCCAAGGCCATCTGCACTTCAATAGGCGTGGATTTTTTAAACATTTTTCCAAGGCCATCTGCACTTCAATAGGCGTGGATTTTTTAAACATTTTTCCAAGGCCATCTGCACTTCAATAGGCGTGGATTTTTTAAACATTTTTCCAAGGCCATCTGCACTTCAATAGGCGTGGATTTTTTAAACATTTTTCCAAGGCCATCTGCACTTCAATAGGCGTGGATTTTTTAAACATTTTTCCAAGGCCATCTGCACTTCAATAGGCGTGGATTTTTTAAACATTTTTCCAAGGCCATCTGCACTTCAATAGGCGTGGATTTTTTAAACATTTTTCCAAGGCCATCTGCACTTCAATAGGCGTGGATTTTTTAAACATTTTTCCAAGGCCATCTGCACTTCAATAGGCGTGGATTTTTTAAACATTTTTCCAAGGCCATCTGCACTTCAATAGGCGTGGATTTTTTAAACATTTTCCAAGGCCATCTGCACTTCAATAGGCGTGGATTTTTAAACATTTTCCAAGGCCATCTGCACTTCAATAGGCGTGGATTTTTTAAACATTTTCCAAGGCCATCTGCACTTCAATAGGCGTGGATTTTTTAAACATTTCCAAGGCCATCTGCACTTCAATAGGCGTGGATTTTTTAAACATTTTCCAAGGCCATCTGCACTTCAATAGGCGTGGATTTTTTAAACATTTTCCAAGGCCATCTGCACTTCAATAGGCGTGGATTTTTTAAACATTTTCCAAGGCCATCTGCACTTCAATAGGCGTGGATTTTTTAAACATTTTTCCAAGGCCATCTGCACTTCAATAGGCGTGAATTTTTTTAACCAATTTTCAAAGGCCATCTGCCTTTCAATAGGCGTGGATTTTTTAAACATTTGTATTGGTGACCTGGCATCGGTATCGTACAGGTATTTTTTGAAGGGAAAAAATAACTGTATATTGGAGTTCTTATCTATTTTACTTTAAGGAGCCCTTCTGAAACCACAGCTAACTTCATAACATCAAACGCGGATGAGTTGTATTTGCACAGAGAGATTTTGCGATTATTCGACAACGTAACCCAAATTGAATTGGTGACGTGGTATGTTTAAAGTGTATCGAATTTTAGGAAATTTTATTGAATTTGAAAATATAGAAAATTTATTTTTTTTTTGCGATTTTATTAATTTATTTATTGTGATATTTAAAAAGCCTATATTTTTACTTATTTGATGTATTTTGTAATACTAAATTGTAATTTATTTACATAAAACTTAAAGTTACTATAAAATATTATTTGAGAATATTAAAATTGCATTAAACTTCTGCTGTCTCGGGTGCTCGTATTACATCCGCCATTTGTGCTGATAATTTTACTAGACCCAATTGATTTTCTGAAAATGAAATGAAAAAAAATAGTATTAGTATTTCAAATAGATAATACTCAGCATTAAAATTAAAGGAGCTAAGGGACTATTTTTTATTTGTGGCTGAGAAAAAGAGTTCCGGGATGTAGTGATAGTAAGATAAAGAATATTTTTTTCTTAAAACACCATTTTCTTTATAACTTTATTTTGGCGTAGGACCTATTTGGTCGTCACAAATTTAAAGCGAAAGTCCATAAAAGGGCTCATCGTAGTAGAAAAGGCACTGCCCTCTTTTGAATTCGGCAGTGAGTTCAAAGCAGATTGGTCTAGCATCAATGTACATCGCTGGGAGAAAAATGGATTTGTTGATTCAGACACGAAAACTTGTGGCATCGATAAGTTCCCTGATATTGCTGCAAAGTAGGCTGGTAAAGCCATCATCCTTTTTTTAGCATATTGTTTAACCACTGCCTCAACATCGGTAATTTTCCAATAGCCTGGAAAGAGACTCGAGTTGTGCAATTCATAAGCCCGGAACATACACAACCCTGAGGGGGAGCTATATAGTTTCCTAGATATTTGCGTTTTCGCCCTCTGGAAAGCCTTTCGAACACTTCCTACTGCGCCGAATCATCGAAGATAAAAGGATACCAATTCGGATGTAGAGCAAAACACTCTACAGTCCATGCCCTAGCAGCCTTCACAACATAAGTCACAAATGGTTTCAAGACAAAAATGGGAACAATTGTAATTGGTCTGGACTTCACCACAGCCTTTGATACGGCATGGCAACATGACATTATATACAAAATTTAATCGCTTGGATTCGTTAGACAAACCTCTCTCATGGTAGCAAAACTTTCCCCAGGATAAAGTCTTTCGGATTAGAGTTGATGGCAAACTGTCTGACCAACGACTGGTAATAACTGGGGCTCCTCAGGGTTCACTGCTGGGACCGGTATTGTACAACATGTTTGTCAGCGACATCCCTGGGTCACCAGAAGCAGGATTACTGCTAATGTACAGCGACGACATTTTATCGATCCACGAGGTCGCTTCGGAGCACAGTGGAAAGTAGATTGATTGCGTACATGAATACGCTCCACAACTACTTCAACAAATGGGGACTCAACCTCGACGTTGGAAAGTGAGTACCTATGGTTTGCAAAGGCAAACATCAGTCTACAGCAAAGGGCTTCCGGAGATACATCCCTACGATCAAGGTTGGCGACAAAATAATTGGAAATTCCGATAGGAATCATCCTGCACGACAGATTTGACTTCTGCCGTCACGTGGACTAAGTGTTGTAAAGGACCAAAACGATGAATTACGCCTACCAGAGGCTTTTTCATATGCAAAGAGTACTGCCGCCGGACCTAAAGCTGCTACTCTACAAGTAAGTTATACTGCTCATAATAACCTATTACTTTGTCGCTTGGGCTGAGATATCTTTGGCTCAAATGGAGAGATTAAGAATATGGGAAGGAAGGATAGTGACATCGTGTTTAGGAATGAGGCCAACAATTGATGAGAACGGAATATACAGACGACTGCTCAACTGGAACATCTATAACTCTATAGAATTCAGCCGGACAGACGTCTTCATGGTAAGGGATGCGCCTAACCTCCTCCTAACTACCAAGAGAGAATCCGCAATATACGAAGAAGAAAGCCTGCCATTTTCGTAAAAAGTGTGTTTCGTAGACCACTTATAATTCCGAGAAAAGAAGTTTCGTACGACACTGACAATTCCGAGTTACGCCGCTTATATTCCGAGCTAAGCTACTTCTTAGCTAAGATACTTCTTATCTCGGAATATAAGCGGCGTAACTCGGAATTATCAGTGTCGTACGAAACTTCTTTTCTCGGAATTATAAGTGACATACGAAACACACTTATACGAAACTTCTTAACTCGGAATTATAAGTGGGGACGAAGTACACTTATATGCTCTGAATATGAGCGGCGTACTAAACACACTCATACGAAACTTACACTACATTACGTACGAAACTTCTTAACTCGGAATTATAAGTGGTCTACGAAACACACTTTTACGAAAATGGCAGGTGCTTCCTTCTTCGTCCCCACTTATAATTCCGAGTTAAGAAGTTACGTAGCCCATTTATAATTCCTAGTGAAGATGTTTCATTGGCCTGTTCATATGCCGGGTCTACGATTTAAGATAGGAATACTTCATTCGTTGATCTCGAGCTGCAAAAGTTCTCCGTCTGCCACTCATACTCACGAGCAGGTGTCCTTTTGTCCCGATGTGTGTGTTTCCAAAGCCACCTACGGCTGCCAACCATCGACTGCACCCCAGTCCCTTATTACGACATTTCAACACTGCTAGCAATCTCGGAGACATGTCTTCTCAAAGCTAGGTCTTTTTTCTCCTGACCAGCCACAAGAAATCCCGCGCATAATTGCCGAGTTCCCTCCAAGGTCTCGAAGATAAGATTGAATTAAGTGAAGAACTCTGTCGAAGCCTGATAGCACCCGAATAACATTGAACTGTTCTTCAACCAAAAAAAGGAGGTAAGCTGTGTCTGATCAGTAGCCGAGTTCCGTCCAAGGTCCCGACGGCAAGCTTGCGGAATATTCCAGTCAAAACCAAGTTGAAAACACTGTCGGAACCTATTAGCACCCGAATAAAACCGAACTGTTCCACAACCAAAAAAAGTTAGAACCAAGTTGAAAACTCTATAGAATCCTAATAGCACTCAAAAAAACCGAACCGTTCAACAACAAAAAAAATTAAATTGTGTCTTCTTTACTCTTCCGCAGGAAATCCAGCGCAGAGTTGCGAAGTTCCGTTCAAGGTCTCGACGTCAAGTTTGCGTAATATTTTTGTTAGAACCAAGTTGAAAACTCTTTCGCCTAATGGCACCCGAATAATACCGAACTGTTCCTCAACAAAAAAAGATAAATTGTATCTTCTTTACTCTTCCGCAGGAAATCCAGCGCAGAGTTGCCAAGTACAATAGAAAACTCTTTCGTCTAATGGCACCTGAATAATATCGAACTGTTCTTCAACCAAAAAAAAAAAAAAAAAACTGGGTCATCTTTACTCTGGTCACTGAATCAAATATATTTATATGATTTACCCTCGGTCTCCGCGAACTGACCCCAACCCACGTAGGAAATGTAATAGCGAAAAATAAAAATTACCAAAAAAATCCAAACTCACCTTTATAGTCCACATTGTAGGATATTTTCCTTCGCGCATAAATGCACATGATAATCAGGATGTTAAAGGCCACCACACAGGCCAATATGGCCAGAATGAAAAACCATTTCAGCCAGGGTCTTGATGCAAATGCCCCACCACTGCCGGCCAGCAAGGCACGAGGTTCACAACGCATATCGGCAAGAGAAAATTCGAATCCTTCACCACAGGCACAGGTACCATTCGCCCGACAATAACCATAACCGCATTGGTAATCCTCATCACAACGCAGCAGACAGGCGGTTAGTTTATCAGTGGCCATTAGAATCATGTCTTCCGGACAGGTACAGATATCATTTTCACAATAACCATGGATACATATTAGGGGGTTACATAGCTCATTGGGTCCTCGATCTTCCGGCGAAGAGTTTGTTATTGTCTTTAGAGGTTGACATTCGTTGGATTCATTTATTTCATAACCCTCATTGCAGCTACAGGTATTGGGAGCTATACACTTTCCATTGAAACATTCATTGGCACAAAGAGGTTCACATTTTTCGGCTTCAGATTTCTGATATCCATCCTTACATTCACACTGATTGGGCGCCACACAGATGCCATGTTCACATGCCGGAGCACATTGAGGTTTGCATTCATTATCACCAGCATCGGAGTCATCTTCATTGCGACCATAACCCTCCAAACATTCACAAATCCCGGGAGCTGTACATAGAGCATTCACGCAACCCTTTTCACAAAGGGGTTCACAGGTGTCGGATGATACTTTTGAATACCCTGGATGACATTCACAAACATTGGGTGCTATGCAGGAGGAATTTATACATTTATTCTCACAATGGGGTTCACATTGTTGCGTGGAGTTCATTTTATAGCCTTCGGAACATTCACATTCTCCTGGCGCTTTACAGTGACCATTTGGACAGCCACTGGGACAATGGGGTTCACATAGCTGCAAGGGGCTAAGCACATAACCTTCATGACATTCACAGACATTTGGGGTAACACATTCGCCATTGCGACAAGGGGGTTCACACGTGGGCATACATATGTAAAAATAGTCCTGAGTAAATCCCTCCTTGCATTCACATACATTGGGCGCCACGCACTCACCATTTTCACATCCTCCCTCACAAATGGGTTCACATTGTTTGGTGGCATTCAATTTGTAACCTTCATGGCATTCACATACATTGGGCGCCACGCACTCACCATTTTCACATCCTCCCTCACAAATGGGTTCACATTGTTTGGTGGCATTCAATTTGAAACCTTCATGGCATTCACATACATTGGGCGCCACGCACACACCATTTTCACAAGGAGGTTCACATATGGCCGTACATTCGTGATCTGTTAATTTCCCATAGCCTTGTTCACATTCACACGCATTGGGCGCCACACAAATGCCATGCACACAAGTTTCCTGGCAAATTGGCTGACACTCCCCGCCTACCGTGGGCATTTCATAACCCTCCTGGCACAGACATTGGCCTGGAGCCACACAAATGCCATTCGGACAACCGGACTCGCACACTGGCTCACAAATGTTACTGGAATTCATGGCATAGCCCTCAAGGCATTCACATTTTTCGGGAGCCACACATATGCCATTGGCACAACCCAGCAAACAAATGGGTTCACATTTATTGCCCTCTGTCAGGCCATAACCCTCGCGGCATTCACAGACATTTGGCTGAGTGCACTCACCATTTTCACAACCCTCGGGACATAAGGGCTGGCATTTGTAACCACTTTGCAGTTCATAGCCCTCAAAACACTCACAGACATTTGGTCGTATGCATTTGCCATTTTCACAATCGGGCTGACAGATTGGCTCACACAGGGTTGCATTTCGATTGGAATAGCCCTCCTGACATTCACAGTTATCGGGAGCCACACAGCGGCCAAATGGACAATTTCCTTGGCATATCGGCTCACACACGGACATTTGGTTTAACTCGTAACCCCGGTGACATTGACACACACCTGGGGCAATGCAATCGCCATTGGAACATCCCAACTCACACACTGGCTCACAGTGCTGAGGTCCAATACTGGATCGTGCGTAACCCGCAAAACACTCACAGGTATAGGGTGCAATGCATATGGAGTTACCACAAGGAGGTTCACACACCGGCTCACATTGCTGCTCCTGGGACATTTGATAGCCTGGCAGACACTCACAAATGCCAGGAGCCGTACACTGGCCATTTCGACAATCGGGCTGGCAAATCGGTTCACAATGAGTTGCCGAAGATTTTCCATAACCCTCAAAACATTCACAGCTATTGGGCGCCACACATTTGGAATTTGAACACAGAGGTTCACAAATGGGCTCACATTTGTGATCCTCCGACATTTGATATCCCTTCAGGCATTCGCAGACTCCAGGAGCAACACACTCCCCATTCAGGCATGGCGTTTCACAAATAGGCTCACATTCCTTGGCATTGAGCATTTTATAACCTTCCAGGCAGTCACAGGTATTGGGCGCCACACATTGTCCATTTTTACAACCATCTGCACAGATGGGTTCACAAATATTCTCCAGGTTCATTTTATAGCCCTCATCACACTGGCAGGTGTCGGGGGCAATACAACGGCCAAAAGGACAGCCTGTCTCACAAATGGGCAGACAGATATGGGGAGTATCCTTGGCATAGCCGGCAAAACATTCACAAACATTCGGGGCCACACAATTGCCATTTTGACACCCGCCTCGGCAAACCGGTTCACAGCGATTGGGTGAAATCATGCCATAACCTTCAAGGCAGGAACAGACTTCGGGAGCAATACAGGCAGCATTGATGCAACCCGACTCACAGTGGGGTTCACAGCTGCCATTTGTGGCTTTGGTGTAACCCACAAGGCATTGACAGTCATTGGGCGCCACACACAAACCATTTAGACAACCCTCCGCACAAACTGGCTCACAAATGTTGGGTGCCACCATTTGATATCCCTCCAAGCATTCACATTTTCCGGGAGCCACACAGGTGCCATGGGAACATGGCATGTCAGAAATCGGTTCACACGTGAGATTATTTGCATTTCTATAGCCCTGGTCGCATTCGCAGATATTTGGAGCAACACAACGACCATGCGGGCAATTGTTGTCACAAATCGGCTGACATTCCTCATCCGATGCGGATTGATAGCCCTCATTGCATTGACATTTCCCTGGGGCAACACACATGCCATTCGGACAGTTGGAATTACAAATGGATGTACATTCATGCCCAGAGATGGGAGTATGACCCTCGAGGCAAGAGCAGGTATTTGGTTGCAAACAAACACCATTCTGGCAAGCTGGTGAGCACTGGGGCCTGCATTCTCCCTCCTCCATGGCATAGCCCTGCAAACATTCACATTTCCAGGGGGCCACACATTTGCCATGAGGACAGCCTCCGGCGCAGGTGGGTTCACACGTTTCGTTATCGACTTGATGATAGCCATCATTACATTGACATTTTCCAGGAGCCACACAAGAGCCATGGGGACAATTGGATGGGCATATGGGGATGCATTGTTGCGGTGTCAGGGCCGAGTATCCCTCCAGACATGCACACTTCTCTGGAGCCACACAGCGGCCATTTTCACATCCCCGGGAACAAATGGGCTGGCATTTATTTGGATTTTCTTGGGAATAACCCTCCAGGCACTCACAGACATTGGGTTGTATGCAGTTGCCATTTTCACAACCCCCCGGACACTGGGGTGTACAGATGCCATTTAGGATTTCATAACCTTCCAAGCACTGGCATTTTTCAGGAGCCACACATAAGCCATGGGGACATCCAGAGGAACAAATGGGTGCGCAGTCGGCAGGTGATTTATTCTCATAACCTTCATGGCATTCACAGCGATTTGGGGCCACACATTTACCATGGGGACAATTGTTATCGCAAATCGGCTCACATAATTCCTCTCCCACCTTGCGATAGCCTTTATCACATTCACACTGGCCCGGTGCAGCACAACGGCCATTTGGACATCCCGATTTACAAATAGGTTGACATTCATTGGGTAAAGATGATGAACGATCATAACCCGTATGGCACTCACATTGATTGGGCGCCACACAGCGGGCATTTTTACATTCCGCCAAGCAAACGGGTTCGCATGCCTTTTCGGCATTTAAACGGTAACCTGTATTGCATTCACAAACACCAGGGGCCACACATTTGCCATTGGCACAACCCCTCTCACAAAGGGGTTCACATTTACCATCCGTCGTCATAATATAACCTCGACTACATTCACAAGTCTCTGGGGCCACACACTTGCCATTTGGACAACCTGCCGAGCAGACGGGCCGACATTCCTCCTCTTCCCCAGACTTTTCATAGCCCTCATTACATTTACAAGTCTCTGGGGCCACACATTTGCCATTCACACATATCGTGTGGCATATGGGTTCACATCGCCCTGGCGTCACCTTGGCAAAGCCTCTAGTGCATTCACACAAATTGGGCGCCACACAGCGAGCATTTATGCAACCCTCTTTGCAACGGGTTGACATTTATTTTCAACCATTCATTGATAACCTTCCTTGCAGGAACACATGCCGGAGCACTGCACACACCATTCACACAGGGCTGATCGCAGACGGGTTCACATTTCCCATCCCCGGACATTTCATAACCCGAATTGCATTGACATTTGCCGGGCATTTTACATGTGCCGTTTTCACAATTCTTACAGGCCGGTTGACATGAATCACCCTTAAGTTCGAAATTTTCATAGCAGCTACACTTGCCGGGTTGCACGCAGAAGCCACGCTCCATTTACCACAATCCGGCACACATCTGGGGAACAACAAATTTTGGGTAATCTCATAATAAATTTTGAAAATCAGAACCGAAGCTTACCTCGTTTTCTCCACTTCGCTGAAAATCGATAGCCCGGCAGAATCGCACTCATTGGGCTTAACGCATTTGCCATTGGCACAACCCTTTACGGACAATCGGTTCACAGTTGCCCTTTATCATGCGATAGCCCCGACAGCAGAATTCACGACTCGGGTAACCGTTGTGGTCTGGAAGAGAGATTCGAAATGAAAGTCGTTTATAGGAGAGGATAAGAGAGAATTATTACAGAAAAATTGAACGATTATGGCTTTAAAGCTAAGAGAGTCAATTTGGTTGCAATCATACTGACGCAAGCGAAGATAGGTCATTTGGAGTCGAGTTAGCGATGTCCGTCCGTCTGTCTTGCTGTACATCGTAATATTATTGTCAAACTTAGATCGAGTTCGGAGATGGGCAATATCGGTCTACTCCTTCTGGACCTCCCACACAAAATGTCAATATTTTCCAAAAATTAATTTTCGCCATGAAATCTAAATTTCAAATCCCTGAGTATATTATGAGAGTAATAGGAAGCTATCAAAGTTGAAGAGTGCTTAAATACAGTGCCTATGCAGGTCCACGTCGTCGTATTGGCCCTAATATACGGCTACATTCGGTATTTTTATGATTTTAACAGATTTTTTTTGAAAATTGCCAAAAGTGTACCAAATGGTGGAGGCTATTCAAAGTTCGGCTCGGCCGAACTTACAGCTTTTTTACTTGCTTTATTACATTATTATTTTTATTATTATTTTACTATTATTATTATTATTATTATTATTATTATTATTATTATTATTA